CCGTGTATAATACACTATTTTTTTCTGTGACAGAAGGAAGGACGAATCAATATTGAGAAGATATTACATTATTTCGAAATCTGAAAATTATCGACGTGAAATTTCAAGTTTTTAACAGTAGGGACACCTGCGTTTTATAGGCATCTTTATCATTGTTTTGAAGTAATCAAATATCTGATGTCACTTCTGTCAGTTCAATTCTGTGATTTGATTTTAAAAAATTGCGAATTCAGTAGTTGTTTAGTAATATACGAAACCGCAAAGTCGAATGGAAGATAAAAGGACTTGCAGTTCTTTCTCGGAGACGGTATTATTGACTCATTTTTCGGAACTATAGCACAACAAAAGCCATTAATAGAGTATATATATGTGATATATATCCGGGAAAAAAGTACTCACTTTTTTCCCACGGGAAAAAAGTAATTTATGAAAAGTGACATTTTATAACCTGTCAACAGAGATGAAATGCCAAACTTTTTTCCCGTCACAGAAAAAAAATAATTGTGATCTAAGACAGATGTGACAAATATAGCTATTTATTCACTTACATCAAAATTGAATTTGTTCTTAGATTAGTTCCATTTTCTTTTAACGCATAATGGTATTTTAATTTGGGTAACTATTTTTTTATTCTTCCGTGCTCCCCATTGAGATTAAATCGAGCCATTTTGCATAACGAAGAGAAAGGAAATAATAATCGTCAGATCGAAATCTTTCGACGTTCGTTGGTTTATTATTGTGTTCACAAAACTTTCAGAAGATCCATTCACATCATCGAAGATGCATATCGGGTGATGAAAAATATCATTTATCCACCCGCTGTACAGTACAGTGTCATTCATAAAAAACTTTTAATAATGATTTATTTTGAAATAAAGTTTCATTTTTTTCAAATTCATCGTTGAAAATGGGCTTATTTGTTCGGATTTCAAAGAAGTTTACAAAAAAGAGTCGTTTCTATTCCAGTTTTATAAATGTATCTCGAATTTTAACGTTTCATTGCACCCAAACATACAGGGTGGGCCACCAGTAACGCCTCGGTCTCTAGAAGGCTAACCACTTATCTTCTTGGAATTCTTCCTCTCTAGGAAGTTGTATGTCAACAAATTATTTCGAAACATACAGGGTGTCCCCAAAAACCATAAAACACTGAAGTTAAACTTTTTTCTATCGAGCACCCTATATATTATTTCATTTTGAGATTCTCCCTGATGAGCTGATTTCAACGACCCATTATATTTGAGGTCTAGCAGTTATAATTAGGTACTGAATATAGGGTGTGAAAAATCGAGATTTTCCAAGTTCAAGAATGTTTTGTGTCGAAACTATTCATAATTGGTCAAAACGGCTTACATGTCCCTATCTCAACTTTTGATTAACTATCTACTGATATTTAATTGGGACATATACCGGGTGATCAAGATTCTGAATTCTGCACCACCCTGTATTTGTTTCAATTAAATGTCAGTAGATAGTTGATCAAAAGTTGAGATAGGGACATGTGAGCCGTTTTGAAAAATTATGAATGGTTTAGACACAAAAAATTCTTGAACTTGGAAAATCTCGATTTCTCACACCTTATATCTCAGTAATTATAACTGCCAGACCCCAAGTATGATGGATTGTTGAAATCAGCTCACCAGGGAGAATCTCAAAATGAAATAATATATAGGGTGTTCGATAGAAAAAAGTTTAACTTCAGTGTTTTATGGTTTTTGGGGACACCCTGTATGTTTCGAAATAATTTCAAATGGTAGCCTATGTTGACATGCAACTTCCTAGAGAGGAAGAATTCCAAGAAGATAAGTGGTTAGCCTACTAGAGACCGAGGCGTTACTGGTGGCCCACCCTGTATACCCTGAAACTGTTGGATTCTGTATAAAAAGGGCAATTCGTCTCGTGGGTGATGCCTCGCTCACAAAATCACTCACTTCTCTGGAACACCGTAGAAGAGTTGGCGATATGGCTCTATTTTATAGATATCATCATGGACGATGCTCTTCTGAAATATCAACAATTGGTCCTCCCTTGGCAGTCCCCGCGAGATTAACCCGTCGAGTTGAGGCTTCGCATCCCTTCGTGGTCACTTTGGAGACCTGCAGAAAATCTCTTTCTAAAGACTTGTTCATCCAACAGGCTCTGGAACACATTACCAAGGAAGGTGTTTCCCGAGGCATATAACCCCCAGAAATTCAAGAAGAACACCAATTTCTATCTTATTTCCCTTGGTTCTCACGATGTTTTCTGAACATTACAGGATATCCCCTTTCGTGGGAACCAGAACATAAAAAAACTTTTAGTTCTTGATATTTTTTCTACATGTAACTTCGACAAAACTAGATACGTAAATAAGTTTGATGATATTCTGTTGGATGACTTCGGCATTCTAGTACTGAAAAAAACAATTCAAATAAATGTTGCTTTTGAATGATAAGACGTTACTTCAACTTTGCATCAAACATAACAGAAAGTTTAAGCATGGATTATTATTTTCTGAAGAAAATCATATTTTTGTCGATAATTAGTGATTGAAAGTTAGTAGCATGATGAAGCTACTAGAATGAAATAGTTTTGTCAACAATAAAAAGACAAGAGCTTTTTAATCGGATAAATTCATTTTCCTAACGAAAAACATTTGCCAAACAGTATTTTTTTCTAATGTCAGTTTTTCGAGACGACATATGATGCGAACTTCATGAATGACACTGTATATTCCGGGTGTTTTTCAGAAGTGTCTCACCCTTATAAATTTTTTGTATCGACAGATAATATAGTGGAATCCGGTGTGCTTTGGTGTGATACACAAATATGAATATTTTGGCATTTTAATTTGTTTCCTTCCACTTCAGGTTTCACCAGAAATGACTTTTACTTCCTTATTTTGCATGGGACACCCGGTATATTCTACTTATTTCAATAGAAAGTGTTACGTTTTGACAGCATCCTGAAATTTTCAATTTTCAGTTATCAACCTAGAGTTTATGGCGTTTTTTTCTAATTATTTCTTCCCACCGATTGTGTGAAAATAATTTTCTAGTAGGTGTGAAAACTAATTTGTAACTAGATCGTGGGATAGTTTTAACTCTGAATGCAATTTTCTTCGTGATGCAAAAACGTGATCAACAATTTCTGAACTATTTTATTTTAATTGATAGTTTGAGCTGTGAATTATCATAAAATATAATATTCTCATACAGTTCATTGTTTCTTCATAAATTATTCAAATTTGTCTCGATGTTAATCTTTCTTGATTAATACCTGTTTCGATTATATCGGGTAGCGCTTTGAAGAAGATGTTTACATCCTGATCCACCATAAAACAAAAACATGAATAGGTGAACCAAACTTGAAAATATTCTGACCTTGAAGTAAATAAATCAGTGTTATTCGCGGTAAGGGTAATTTATTACAGCCTTTTTTTGTGAATTCGTCATACAGTCAAGCGATTTTTTTAGAATGGCATAAAGTCGAATTTTTCCTTGACCATATAACAAACTGAAACTTGGGGAGTAATATAGGCAAAACTTTTCTATTTTAAAAATCAGGAGACAAACTGAAATGTGATTCCTAGGACATATGTGGGTCAAACAAGTAGAACGCGTAGCTACCGTATTCAGGAACATCAGATGTGTGATATCAAAAAAAGACAACTTCAACATACGCTTACAATAGTTCATGAGAAAATCATGGATTCGATGATACTATTGGAGTCAACAAACTCAAAAATTTTATATAACGACCAAAAGATCAACAATTCTCTTAAATTCATAATACAGTGTGGTCCCTGAATATGGAATATTTCAAATGGAATTGGAACTATTCTTGGTACACTTAGTATAGGTAATACACTAGATGATATTGACAGTATACATTATACAGAAAAGACATACCGACAAATCTACATGATGTATATTAATTTGAAATTCTTATTCCTTTATCTTGTATGCCGCAGGATTGAGAAAGGTATCATAAAGTCGAGCAAATTCTTTAGAATGGCATGTATTCGAATTTTTCCTAGACCACATATCAAACTAATACTTGGGGAAGGTTTCTCAAGAGTGATATAGACAAAAGTTTCCAATTTTGGACATCAGGAGTCAAACTGAAATGTGATTCCTAGGACATATGTGGGTCAAACAAGTAGAACGGTTAACTACCGTATTCAGGAGCATCATATGTGTAATATAAAAAAAAGACAAATTCAACATACGCTATCAATAGTTAATAAGAAAATGATGGATTCGATGATACTTTAGGATTGAACAAACTCAGAAATTTTACATAACGACCAAATGGACCTCGAAAATTCTCCTAAATACAGTGTGGTCCAGGAATATGAAATTTTTTAAATGGAATTGGAACTATTCTTGGTACACTTAGTATAGGTGATACACTAGATGACATTGGCAATGTACAGTATACAGAAAAGACATACCGACAAATCTTCAGATGTAGATCAATTTGGAATTCTTATTCCTTTATCTTATAAGCCGCAGGATTCAGAAAGGTATCATAAAATTTTTGCCAATCGATGATTATTCCACTGATAACATACCAATAAGATTACGCTTACATGTTTGTCATGTCATCTAGTGGGTGATTGACCTATTTCGAACTGTGTTATATTTAGGTATTCCATTTTAAATGATAAGTGATAAAGCGGAAAAACGATCATTACTTGTTTTTCCATTATATACTTCATACTTCACAGTTCACGTCACTTTCTATCCCATTCATCTACGATACATTATCGGGACCATCTATATAGTTGGCAGTGATCTCGCTGTGATACGTTCTTTTTTTTTTTCACCGGCATCGTTGATCGAATTACCGTTTCCTTTGTTTCCATAATATATCAAACCCGCCCGCTTGATGGAAGTATGTTTCCTCGTTATTATGTGCACATTCGACGTGAGAGTTTTCCTACGATGATTACTTTTTATTTTCTCGCACGGTTCTCGGGCATTGTTGCCGCCAATTGACGGTGTTTTCCTTTGCAGAACTGTGCAGTGGTGAATCGTTGCCCGAGGTGGAGATAATCAGCCTCTTGGAGGAGCAGATTCCTAGGTACCGGTTGAGGGCGGACACCCTCACCAAATTCGGAGGTAAGATGATTTATTTTTCCCTTTCAGTCATAATTCTAGGTACAGGGTGCGCCTCTTGAAATGGAACCCCCCTCAACTCTTTCGTTTTCAGAGATGTGAAAAAATGTTGCATTAAAAAGTTGTTTGAAACGACCCAAACTTTTATTTCGTGAAGTTGCTTCATATACAGGGTCATTCGTTTTTCCGGAGAGGACATTAACTTCTCAATATATTAGTACATTGTTTTATTGGGATCAAACGTGACACTTTGTTTGACAAGCGATATTGCGTTTGCGAGGCGAAGCGAAGCGACAGCGAAGCCGAGCACGCAAATTTTTCGAGTCAAACATTAACACAAATGATTGATATCTAATTGATGAAATGTAAGTGAAAATACCACTATTTTGAGTCACTTGGGCATGTCAGTGTCAAAGCAGCTATCATATCAGCTGACATCCAACACGTTTTTAGTTCCTAGGAGTTGAACTGCAACTTCAACTCCTAGACACTGAAAATGTTGCCTAACAACATACATACTTATCATATTATTGTGTCAGTAAGAGAAACGTCAACTTCAAGAGCTAATTTTGGAACAAAAATAGACGATTTTTGAGCCGATTGCAGAAAAAGGTATTTTTCACTATTTTGTGAAAAGTCAATAATATTGTCGATGAGAGAAGCTTCAAACTGTCAAATGACATTCCAAACTAGAGTAGGAGTAAAATGTTCATTGATGTCATAGGTAGCTAAAACTGATTTCTTAGCTTGAAAACATTGTAGTGGAGAAAAATCGTTATTTTCGATTATTCGTAACACTTTTCTGGAGACATGTTATCGAAATTGGCAACTTAGCAACCAAAGATTTTTCGATCCCCTACAGGAAAATTTCTCTTTACTTTGTACTTTGTATATACAACAGATATAACAATATTCAATAAAATACTCCCTGTTAAACAGGGTGTTTCAGATTTAAATGTACATACGCTACCTGTAGATAGAGGACACTTTGATGGTTCCAAATCACCCCCTCGGGTGTGTCTACAGTCCTTCATAACTGAGATACAAGACGTTATCTTAATTTTGTCAAAATATTCATCTGCTCATAACTTTTGATCCACTTTGTATAATATATTCATACGAGGTGGGAATATTCCACCTATACTACCCATCAAAACAAAATAAAAATCGGGATCATAATCCAGGTCCGTCTTGGGAGAAAACAGGAAAATTCGTTTATTTTAAAAACAACACCCTGTATTTAAAAATTTTGTAGATCTGTTTGGATATTCGGAAAGAGCAGGGAAAAATTAAAGGAGTGACCTACTTTTTACGAGCGCGCATCTGATTTGACAGATATTTTCTGAAATGCTCAGCTCTATTTTGAGGCATTTTTATCGAACTCGGAATTCAAAATCTAATTATTTCACAAAAAAATAACATTCTCCAAAGATCAACATCATTAGAGTTAAATTAGGTTGACTATCGATAGATTTGTTCGTTTGACAGAATAACTTGACTGTGGTTTTGAAATTTTTGGGGGCTCATTTTATTTTTCACTATTGATTCATGAGCTGCAGTAAAGTAGGCTGTGCAAATAATACTGATATTCCGACAGTTCACTAGTGTGATATTATTGGTAACGTTAAGATAATTGTTGTTGCTTGTATATTGGATTGTTACAATCCAGAATGTTCATAATTATGCCTCAACATCATAACCTCAACAATAATATCACACCAGTGATAATGAACTGTCAAAATTTGAAAATGTCTTGCACAGCCTACTTTCCACAGGTTATGGTGAAGAATAAAATGAGTCCTCGAAAATTTCTAAGATCATCAAGAAACGAACAAATCTATAAATAGTTCACCTAATTTGACTCTACTGATGTTCAATGTTGGAGAATGTTATTTTTTCGTATTGAAATTGGATTTTGAATCACGAGTTTAATTAAAATATCTCGAAATGGAGCTGAATATTTCAAAACATAATAATAAACCATATGTCAAATGGGATGCGCGCTCGTGAAAAGTATTTCACTTCATTCATTTTTTCCCGCTCTTCCCAAATATCAAAACAGATTCACAAAATGTTTCCATACTGAGTGTTGTTTTTGAAATAAAACATTTTTTCTGTTTTTCCTTAAGACGGACCTGGACCCTGATTTCTATTTTTACTCAGTTTTGATGTGTCCTATAAGTGGGATATTTCAACGAAGCATGAATAGATTATACAAGGTGGTTCAAAAATTATGACCATTTCGCCAAAATCAAGATAACGTCCTGTATCTCAGTTATAAAAGACGGAAGACACATCAACGAGAGGTGTTTAGAAACCATCAAAGTGTCCTCTATCTGCAAGTATCGTATGTCCATTTGAGTCTGAAACACCCTGTATAAAAAATTACCACAACTTATATCATTTTAACGAATATAAAATAACCAAATGAGAAATACAATTTACTGACATTGAGATCTCGACCAAATCATAATTTTTTTTATATAACTAAACCGAAATTGCTTGACGAAACATAAATAGACACAGAAAATTACTGGAACTTATGAAAACCGCTAATAAATTCGTATTCTTCAAGGTTCTACTTTTATCATTCATCAGTAATAGTAAAACGTTTATTTGTCTGTCAGTTCAAACTATTATTTTATCGTGTGCATCATGAAGGTAGTATCAGTTTCAACATGTTCTTTTTCCTCTTTTTTATGTTTTGTGCGCGCCGAGGGTGCTATGCATTTGTTTCAGTTTTTCTTTTGTTTGTTGAAGGTTACGAAAATCAAGATTGGTTTATCCCGTCTCCGGCCCTTGAAGTTGACGAGGCAGACCTAAAATTATCACCGGATCAAATCCGAGAAACGTTGAACTATTTTCGTAAGTATTTTTTTGTTTTCTATCGATTTGTTAGTTGAATCAGGAAGTAGCGACAGGAATTTGTTCTGATGAAAATTCGAAGCTAATCACCCCAATGTGGGTAGTGTAGGTTCTGGTCGGAAAATCACTAAAAACACAAAATGGACAATGTTACCAATTTATACGACAGATTAATTTCGTGAAAAAAATTACTTTTCTTGCAATCACACGACGAGAGTATTTCACGTTCTCGATACAGTACGCGAAATTAAATTTGGCGTCTTGTACTCATAGCAACAGCCGCGGAATTTAATATTTTTTATAAAACATGAAAGTAGCAGGGCTATTATCAGTCTCAGACCATATTTGCGTTTTGTCAAAAACTGTATTTGTATATATTCAAACATGTCATTTCGATACCAGTTCTGTGACTTTGTTGATTATATTGAATCGCTGTTGATTTTCAAGCAATAATAGTAGATTGTTTTATTAGGATCAAAAATGACGAGCGAAAGCAAAATTTGCGAGTCACTTGTGATCCGAATGAAACATGCTATTTTTTCTGCAACCGAAACAATTAACTCAAATAAATATGTGAAGTAACCACCGATGCCGTGCCATATGTATGCAATGCAACAAATAATCCGTGTGATGAGAATATTCTACCTGCATAAACAGCAGGTTTATTCAATTTTCAAGGATGTTCGAATTGTAGTTTCAATATAAATACAACCACAGAGTGACATATTTGTATATGGACCAGGTGCTCTAATGGCAAATACCGCGCCAGTACCAGGTATAGGAACAAGACGTGGAAAATGTTAGGTTAGTGAGCATATCAACAATAATAATAGCGATTATTTATTTCTCTCCATACACCACTGTGTTTGGCTTGATAATCAAATGGAGGTAAACAATATCGTTGTTCGAGACAAAAAACTATTGCTGGCAATGACTATTCAAAAACAAGGTATCCTTCCCGAGAATAACCAATGAAATACAGATCAAGCAAGTATGTGAATCTTGAAGGCTTCCCTGATGAAAACAAAAATACTTAACTATAATAAGGTGTATTTGTATTTATATCTCCAGCATGGGTATGAAAGTGCCATATCTGCCGAAATCGGAAACAAATGAGGTGTGCGTCCCAACCCAAATAACCAACCCTAACAATGTTGTTCATTCTTGATACGACCTAGGTATACGAATAACTATGAAAGTAATTTTTTTTTTCGGCTACCGTCCGAGAAGTACCCACTTTACTTAAAGGGCGTATCGCACGTTTTGTATCTGGGGAAGCTAGCGACTGAAAAATAACGAATTCAATTATAATTATCTCTTGAATATAAACAGGATGACATATTTTTTTCAATTTTCAAAGTTTTAAAATGGAATATGATTATTCATTCAACTTAAATTCAATATATTCTATTCCAAAAGTTGATTGATACATGGTGTCTACTAGTCGAAATGATATTTTTCAGACTTGTTCACATAATCCATTCCTGAAATATCACCAGAATATGACATGCAATGATGAAATTAATTCATAAAAATACGTTAGTAAAATGTATGATCGGAAGAATAGATCATTTTTCAAATCGAAAAATAAAAATAATATCAACCTAATAACCATTGTTATTGAATATATAATTATATAATTATTGTTATTGAATATATAATTATATTAATCAATGAGAAACATTACACATCACACGAACATTTTCATTTGATTTCGATTTTGTTCAGTTAGGTCCATTGCTTTCAATTATGTATTTTTTCAAGGATTGGTAAAGTGGCAAAATTCATTCAAATGAAATTCTGGCGTGAAATCATCGCAAAATATCGTGATATCTAACATCTAACGTGGAACATTGCCATTATATCTCTTAAATATTCGTAAATATTTTTATTGCAAAAATTAGTCGGAACGATAGCTTTTCAATTGGTAGAATAGGGAATTTCACGTGTATAATGCGACAAATATTGATTATTAGAATAAACATTGAGATATTTCCGGAGAAACTATCGATGAAATCAAACGCTTATATTAGGAGGAATGTTTTTTTTAACATTTTTCATTTGTAATGATAGTAGTATGTGAATTGCTCTAGACTAGTCTAGACATACCACAAAGTGAGAAGACTCTAATAATACCTTTGTTTTACTTGTATCCTACCCCATCACAATTGACATCCACCCTATGAAGGGCATGGATTTTTAATCCAGATCCATCATATGGTGACTATTCACTCTTTAGTGTCTAACAGGAAAATTGGATATGGCTGTATGTCCTATGACAAGAGGTCAGGAAGTGAAGAAGAAGAAGAATGATAGTAGTAGTAGACTGCAACAAATCATCACTGGAAAAAAGGCGTATAAAGATAAAACATTTCCTGAAGTTGAAGAGATTATTTATTGGAAATTTTATGTTGTTTAATTTTGTATACTTTCATTTTTTCGCTAGAGGTCGCAGTTTTGAAACTTTTCAAGAACAACTTGAAAACATAACTAAGTGTGCCCCCAATTGTTTCGTCAGAATAATTCTCGATATAAACAATTGAATACGAGCTCGGAACGTGGGGTTCTCATTTTTGATGATAGATGGCGTGAACGATAGAGAATTTCTCGGAAAATTTCAAAATGCGTTTCGAATCTTGTTATGAAGTTGAACTAGACTTTCAAGGATGTGTGTTCCTTCTTTTGGGACCTGAAGAGTTTCGTTCGTATTCAATAATAGCTGAATAGAAGCATTCAAAGACAGGACGGAAACGAGACAGGGCGCAACAAATAATTCGTGCGGGACCATCTTGATCTTGACTCAACATATCTGTCACATATTACGTTTTCGAAATATCCATGATTTATTTGTTCAAATTTCAGATAGAAAAGTTATAAATTATTATGAATGATACTTTATAGGAACATTAATAGGTTATCAAGCAGGTATTGATATTATATTAGTTGAGTGAGTGTATTGTACTTTCATCATGGGCTGACTGCTGCAATTCGTTTAATTTTATGTACCAAAAGTGAGTAAATAAACTATTATCACAGGATTTTCTTGAGTTAGGACTTCGTGTCGTTCATGAATTCACCATTGAAAGTCGAAAATATAACGCACCGTTTCCATTTACACAAAAAAATGTGAAAATGGAAATGTGAACTCAAATGAATGTCTCAGGATGCCTGCAAATTTGGTTTGAAACTTCGGAAATTTAGCAAAATTCTCCCACGCCTCGCTACTTTTACCAAGGAGGCGATATCGAGAGATTTTGAAACTCATTTCGATAGGAAGTGAACACACGCTCCGCTCGTCCCGTACGGGTCAGAACTTCTAGGTTAGTTGTTCATGGCACTTTCCCCTACCATACTACAAAAATTTGCGACTATACGATTTTCCCCTATTCGATGTTTTTTGGCTTTCGTTGATTGAACTAACGGCCCCAATTTGACAAGCAGTGTATGCTCGCGAGTCTGAGAGGTCTAAAGGTATGTTCATGCTTGTACGAATTCCGCAAAATATGAAATTTCCGACAGAATTTGACGTTCATACTCATGCGACAAAATATGCAGGAGATAAGGGTTCTGTTGTGATATTAATTTCTTTATTTCTGGTCCCACCATTGATAGAAGTTCATCAAATTGAAGGCACGTCACACGAAAGTAAAAATATTCATTAGGGTCATTCAGTCGCATTCATCGAACGAGTCTGTACCAATCTCCATTCATTTTCGGCATTTAAAAATGCTTCGAACAGTACAGCTCCTTTTTATGCTTCTGGATACATCATTAGTTCTATAGAGACGATACAGATGATACTTTAAAATTAATTCGTCCAGAGAATCCATTCTGCGAAGAAAATTCAATCAAATGAAGGAATGATGAAATTTTTAATTATAATTCTGTACTTACCTGTAGTCTAGTGTCTATAGTCTCGTCTTTTTTCGACCTCTGCAGTCCGCTCTCTAATTCCCCAATTTTGATGTTATCAAAATAACAATACATTTTATGTGGTTATGATTCCATCCGAATTCGCAAAAAAGTTCAAATATTTCAACTTCATTGCGATATTCGCAGTCGCCATTTTATTCGCATAAATTTTCCGGAATTCGTACAAGCATGAACATACCTTAAGAGTATAAAGTGTCAATAATTGGTATCCAGTAATCAATATTTGTCTGGTCGACAACATGAATAAAAAACGTGAATGAAAAATATTCGCGAATCAGTTATGTGCTGAAAAGTTGCGAATGCCTGTACCCACACAGTTTATCCGAAGACCAGACGATATAGTTGAGGCAGCAATTACTTTTAGCATAAAACATTAATAGAATTTCCGTGTTAGTGTGTCATGCGATAATGAAAGGTTAGGGTCATGAACATGTAAAATGATTGTCTAATAGAATGCACTTATGGATATTCTGAAATTATATACATTTATTATGGTTTAAGATCACTGATGCTATTAACATAATGCTGTGGTTGTTTCTTGCATTTTGCTTGATTTATTTCCATGACATTGGTTGATAACTTCACCAATGCTCTCAACTCTTAATTCAATATAGTCACTGGGGTTTTTAAAAGAAAAAGTTTCGGATATTTTTTTGAGATTGTTTTTGTCTACTGTGACCTATAATTTTATTGAGCGGATATGTTGTGTCAGTTGACAATTTTATACTTCATGAAAGAGTAGGAGGCAGACAAAAGCTATTTATATATCAAGGGAGCAAAGGTATCCCTTTCCTCCTAGCGGAGGGCATTAAAACCGTTACCACCGATACAACAAGGCCTGCATGCTCCATGGGTGACGTCACTTAGTGAGGCCTAACCAGCGGCTCGAAACGACAAGCGCTTATAGCGCTATAAGGCGACAGCGTATTCCGATTTTAGTTTTAGATCATCATTGAGCCGATTTTGCTGTTTTTTGAAGGGCTTCCGGTTAAAAAAGGATGCCAGTCGTCAACTGAGCCCTTCTTCGCACCCCATTCGATTTTATTATGGAAAAACGAAGTTTTAAAGCAAAAACCAGGATAAAACACAAATATCCACCTACAGTAACCCATTCGAATTAAATATATTGGCAAAAATTGTGGTGAAGGTAAACTTCACACTTACTTATACAGGGCCCGCAGAACATAAACTTATCGTGAGATTGATCGAAAGAAAATTGTGGAAAATGTATTTTATTTTGATTGACATGCCGTTTGTTACAATTACCTATATTTATCTTGGAGAATTCCTATTACCTGAAAAAATAACCAGTGAGTGTTTTCAATTTTCTATTGTTGGATTTTTCACCCAAGTGGATCGTTACACTTGAAACCGTAATTTTTAAGGGTAAAACTGCATTTATCATGCGATGGTTTTTTTTTTGAAAATTTTTTTCGGTACTCACGTATTTTTGTCTGTGATAAACCGAATTTTATAATGAAAATGTGAACAAACCACTATTTATTGAGATATTTCAAGAAAAAGTTCGGAATTTCGCCTTCTTTCTCCCCTTGTGTTGGGGGCATTTGAAGCTACTTGCTCTTATTTTGTCATTGGACACTTTATATACTCATGATGTACTTCGATGGCACATTTTTATATAGAAATTAAACAGGAAATATGATTTTTATGGCGAGTTTTTCATATTTAGTGAACAAGCATTCCAGATGACGACCATTTAATCAATAGTCAATCAAAATACGAGATGTCAAATGTCAATAGATTGCTTTCGAATGACATTACACACGCCATTATTTTGAATGATATTCTTCCTTCTTTTCACTAAATATGGATTTATCTCAAGAAAATCATATTTATAGTTGAATTATATATATAAATTGTCCAATATGATGAAAGAAGAAGGGACATTTGTTCTAAATGCCATCCAGAAGACAGGTGAAAAAGAAGGTGAAATTAGGAACTTTTTAGTCAAATATCTTCATTGCCACGAGGCAAATGACCGTTTTCAGAAAGACATTTGAGAATGAGAATTAAAAATGCCCGTTTATTATGAACATTCAAGAAAATTTCCTCGAATTCAGAGATGATTTTGTTGACTATAATATACGAATACAAAAATAACTGCACAATCAAAGTTTTTCTATTTTTCCTCTACTCATACTTTTTTATGAGAGAGTAATTGTCTTCTATTATTAATTCATCATTATAAACTAAAAGCATGAACTTTTGAACCACCCACATAATTCCCCCGACAAAAGGGAACACAACACTTGAAAGGCATTGTTATTTCGCCGATCACAACACAAAATATTTCACAAAACAGTAATTTTTCCGCCAATTATTTTGATGAATAAACAACAAAAGAATTCGGGACCGATTCAAAAACATACGTGAATCACCGATGAATTAACACGAACTGACGCGTTAGTCGACAAGCGATAAAATAAAACACTGGCCTCTCTTGGCGACGTCACGAGCTGTTTACGTCAGAGTCTGCTGGCCTTGTTGTATCGGTGGTAACGATTAAACACACATGGAAGGAAATGAACCTTTGCTTAGGGCCTTATATCGCCACATTTTCCTTCATATGCATATCCTTTGACAGATGAATTGTCAAATTGGTGTATGACATCAGTTAGTCTTATCAATACCTAACCTAAAAGTACTAACATTCTGCATGCCTAAGTGTAAAAGTTCCCAAGATATTTGCAAAAAACTAAAGATAAATGTCTTGAGGTTGAGACCCAATTTGCTGCGTGCCACAATCGCATAATGCTGAACTTTTACGACGAATCACAACATTTGTACATTTGTTTGACATATTAAAAACGTTGCCATGGTTTCCCTTAATTGAAAACTGTTGTTTTAATAGTTTGATGGTTCTGACAAATTTAAGATGGCTTACTATACTATCAACCTCGAGTTTGTCGATTCACTTCTGACTCACCCACACAATGTTTTTAATTTTCTCGACATTCAAAAAAGTTTGAACAAACAGTCTGAATTAGAATTCTTGACAGTTATATCATCCGCTGTTGACGGCGATATATTTTAGAATACGCTCTCTCCATTGAAAATATTTTCTGCAATGCAGTGTTGCCGCTTCTATCAAAAAGTAGCAACAACTTTGTTATTTCAAATAAAATACCCTGTATTTCATTGCAGTTTTAGATTCTTCCTGAAGAGCTGATTTCGTCGATACATCACACTTGTGGTCTATCGGAAGTGATTACAGAGATATAGGGCGTTCAAAATCGCGATTTTTTAACTTTAGGATTTCTTTGTGTCGAAACTATTTATTATCGGCCAAAACTTTTGATTCACTATTTACTGATATTTAATCGATACAGATACAGGGTGATCAGAATTCTGGACCTTGAACCACTCTGTCTCTGTTCCGATTAAATATCAGTAAATAGTGATTCATAAGTTGAGATTGTGACATGTGAGCCGTTTTGACTAATAATGAATAGTTTTGACACGAAAAAATCCTGATGTTGAAAAATCTCGATTTTAAACACCTTATATCTCTGTAATCTTTCTAGATAGACCCCAATTGTGAAGTATCGATAAAATCAGATCATCAGGAAGAATCTAAAAATGCGATAAAATGCAGGGTGTTCCATTCAAAATATCGATGTTGCGTATTCTAAAATATAAACATACACATTTTCATGGATTTCTCCCGACTGATTCTTGATATAAAGATAGTGTAAACTCGTCGTGACATACCCTTTATACAGGGTGTTTCTTAAGTACGTGTAGAAAATTCATGAGCTTGTTCCTGACGTCAAAATAAGTAGAAAAGTTCGTATAAATTTATGTCCGAAAGTTATTTGTTTCTGAGATTCAGAGTGTCGAAGTTGAATTTTTATCTTTGTTTTTTGTTAATAAATTTCAAAATAATTGTGATATTTGAATAAAATTTGGTATCCAGGGGTATTTTTCAATGACAATATCAAATTTTATTATTTTATTAGTTTGTCTCTGAAGAACAGCTTCTCCAATTTGTAGAGTTCTAGTTGTCAACGGTCTGCCTATCACTAGAGCTTTTTTAATGGATCCAGACTCAAAAGACGCTGAAAATGGTTTCTGAATGTCTGGTGATTCGGGGCAGTCGATGATTAGGGAATCTTTCATTTGATTGTTATTTTTTTCAATTGGAAGTGTCTAATGCTTGCTTATATTCCAATGTTGAATGTAGGAGAATATTGAATGGATGAAAAAAATGCACTGGCGTATCTTTTATAATATTTACTACTCAAAGGCGACTAACGAGCCCCATGAAAATAATTCAAACACACAAAGTTATGACTTTTCAAAAGACTCAAAAAACATGTAGGTGGCGCCATCCCCACGAAAGAGACAAACCAACATAAGATTTGATAGTTTCATTGAAAAATACCCCTAGATACTAAATTTTATTCGAATATCACAATTATTTCGGAATTCATAAACAAAAAACAAAAATCAGAATTCAACTTTGACACTCTGTATCTCAGAAACGAAGAACTTTCGGACATATATTTATGCGAACTTTTCTTCTTATTTTGACGTCTGCAACATGCTCCTGAATTTTCTACACGTACTTAAGAAACACCCTGTAGATCACCCTGAATAATAACCAACTGTGAACTTTCATATTTGAACCAAATACACATATTCTTCACAGTCTGAAATATTTGTTGCTGTATTTGGAACAATATTACTACAAAAGTACCGTTATCACACGAAATTATGTATTGAGGATCTATTTAAATTTCATACATTATCATGTATAAATCTTTGTTTTGCGAAAAAAACTGTCATGTATCTTATCTCCGTTATCTAGATTCACGACTAAGTGACTGATGATCCAGATTCACTTGCATACGGTATGTGATATGTGATTGCTCGTATCACATTTCGCGACTGTATGCGAGCTAAAAATACGCCTAGATCCAGACCCAAAGGGCGGTGTTGGTCGAGTTCCTCAACCTGTCTTTTTGCCTGTTTCAGTTCTATGTAGCAATCGCGTGAGCCAAATGACCAAGACCTACGATGACATAGAAGCAGTCACTAGGCTTCTGGAAGAGGTGAGTGCATATCGCGTCATGTTCTAAAATTTCCAAAGAAAAAACAAAATACACCAAGTCGGTCGACCACAAAATTATATTACACAATTACTAGTGTGACTAGTTTCGGCTAAACAGCCATCTTCAGACACAAACTGAATAAAGTACCTGTAAGAGATGAAATTACAGACGAACAATAAGTTTGCTGAGTGAAACTAGTCACACTAGTAATTGTGTAATATAATTTTGTGGTCGACCGACTTGGTGTATTTTGTTTTTTCTTTGAAAAAATCTGGACCACTTCGAGAAGGATGGATGGTTTCCATGACTTTCTAAAATTTCATCTGGTTATTACTGGTGGATGTCTTTCACGGATAACTCGTTGATGTGTAGATTTCCACTGAAAATGGGGATGATTTTTATGTACCAACTATACCTTTTCAACTTCAATTTCGGAATCGGTAAGTTATATTTCGGAAAAAGTAATCTCGATTTCAGAATTGGTTAGTTCGATTTCAGAAATGGTAAACTCAATTTCAGAATCGGTGAGATGAATTTCAGAAAAAGTCCATTCAATTTCAGAAATGGTAAGTTGTATTTCAGAATTGGTAGGTTCAATTTCAGAAAATAAATCCTGCAATGAATGAATGCAAACAGATTTGAGGTGTTATCATTCTCATTGAATGATCTGCACATTCTTCAAGTCATTGTAGTCTGAATTCTATCTGGTTGAGCAATCTGTTCGGATCTCCAGCTATGACCATTTGGCGATGCTCTTGCAAGAAGCTCACTTCTGACTTGAAGGCACCCCATATATGGTCAATCTGATTCAACATAGGGCTCTCAAACACCGTTCCATCCACTGTAAACAATTTTTTCTACAAGCGTGCGTGATTCACCCTATACCCGCACGCAATTTAGTGTCATTTTCCCGCAACAGTACGGGAAAATTTTCCCACACAAAGATATGATATAATCGCTAGTAATATAAGTGGTTGGTGATGGAATATAAAAGTTTAAGATTGTTTGTTGCAGTATTAAGTATGTATGTTCAGAATCATCCATCAAATTGCACTATTTATTGTAAAAATTAAGAAATATTGAGAAATAAAAATGGATTATTATAAAAATCCCCCTATAGATTTGGATTTATCTGACGGGAACCGTCAATTTGTCATGCCAATCAAACCTCAAATAAGTTTGAAATTGTCGAAGTGACAGACACAGCGTTACTGTCATTTTCGATTCAGTGGAAATGCCACAATGTGATCAAAAACTTCTAGCTATAGGGATTTGATACAGATGCGTTAATATCACCAACGAAGTCTCAAGAAAGGTATGAGAAGCTATACACGCGTTTAATTGAATAGTGCAACAATAAAGAAATGAAAAAACCGAATGAAGAATAGGTATTTTTGGCTCATTCCATAGAAGTGTCTGGAACTAGGTCTGGAACCTAGAGACCAAACTCCTAATGGGCCTGCTGGCTTCCGCAATGAACCAACATAATGCGTCAAACTGTAAGTTCACAATAGCTATTACTAATAATTGATAGATAGAGAATATATATCTCTTGTTAGTTGTTCCTATTTGCTTGAATAATTAATTGAACGATTCAATCAATTTCCTACGCTTGTAGAAAAAATATTGTTCCTAACTCATGCGGAAAGTGTCTTTCCCGCACTCGACTGCTTGCCCAAACTCCGCTTCGCGTCGTTCGTGTCAACGGCAGTCACGTGCGGGAAAGAATCACTTTCCGCACTTGTTAGGAAAATTACTATTCTCTTTTGCAATTCAAAACATTTCAAACATATAAAAGGATCCATCTCCTGAAATTGAACCTACCAATAATTCTGAAATACAACCTACCATTTTTGAAATTGAATGGACTTTTTCTGAAATTCATCTCACTGATTCTGAAATTGAGTTTACCATATCTGAAATCGAACTAACCAATTCTGAAATCGAGATTACTTTTTCCGAAATATACGTCACCGATTCCGAAATTGAAGTTAAAAAGGTATAGTGTAAATGATGCCGACGTAGGGAAAAAATAATACGACAATATGGCTACTTATTTGAAATTTTCCATCCTTCACTTTCCGTCCTTATAGATTCAGAAAGTACCTCTCATTTTGGTCCCATTTTTGTTGAGATATCATATAGGCCATGCGCTATATATAGAAATAGTACATATATGTATTTATCAATAACGACATGTCATAATATGCAGTCATGGTCATGGCTACTAGATTTAAATAGAATTGAAAAAAATATACTATTGATATTCTTTACTACCTTGGTGTATTAATAACTATCTTCCACCACTAGCAATACATTTCAATAATTTTAGTTCTGTTAAATTGAAATATCAACCTATTGTCACTATGAAAGTACTTATTTTCAATTCTAATTAAAATCTAGCTGCCATGACCATGACACACAAGTCGTTATTGATAAATACCTATACTAGAATCGGTTGTAATTCCTGCGATGTCGCACAGGAACAGTGAATTCGGATTAAATATAACAAAGGTGGCTATGTCTTTATTGACTAGTGGTTTATAAAATGACCAAAAATAACTTGGTAGTAAAAACACACTTTAGACGTCGAAAAGGAGTAAATAATGGTAGGTTTTATAGCTAATGGTGGGAAGTTCTGTAGATGATGGTGAATAGGTAATGTAGGTATAATAAACTTTTCATGTTCTTACTACCTGTTGATTGTTTACAATATGTTTTATGGACAACTTCCACGAAAAAAAATACATCATTATACTGCAACTGTAAAGTAATTATCACTATAATATCGACCATTGATCCTTTAATATTGCTGTATACAGGGTATTATTGAAATAAATACATTGAATTTAAACCCTTAGAAGGCTCGAGGTGTACATTCTATCGAATGTTTTCACTATTTGACATATTTGACTTTCAATTAATCGATAAATCAGTCCAGATGAATGTTCAATTGAATTATCCACTGAAATGGAAAGCTATCTGCTGTTGACGCGATGTTCGTATAGCTGAATTAAGATACTACCTGAATTTCAGTTTTATTTCCGAAATTCATCGATGAAGAAGACGCCTAATGTGACCTTGACGTTACCGTTAATGGCTTCAAATAAAGTTGTTGTGATATGTACGAGAAAACAACAATATTGAACTACATCTGTTGTGTGCCTAAAATAATCTTGAGATACGAATTATCAGATCAAATCGAATGACAGTGATGAATCTACTTCTCATCAAATTGATATTAATCATTGTTGATCAATTTATTGTCTATCGAACATAATATGTTTTCATGAATATTTTGAAAGTCTTATTACACTTTTTTCCGATAGTGTACTGTGTATTTCAAAAATAAAATACCGAGTCATTCCAGAAAACTAAACTAAACAAAGTAACATGATGTTTTCATTGATCAACTGAACAGGAAGCGATGATACATTTCAATAGTTCCGTTGTTATGGCTAAAATGGACACTGTCATCATGTTGTAAATGATGTTACTTACTATGGAAAATTGCTCTTTCTCACCATTCATATCATAATAATCAGCTCCTTTACTCGCTTACAATAATAATGATTTATTGAATTGAGTACACATGATATACAATCATTATTAATCAAATCTACTACACTAAGCTTACACTAATATAATATACTATCAGTCCTACTTGTTTTTATAAATTAACCCTATAAATTGTAAATAATAATAATAATAATAATAATAATAAGGATTCAAATAAAAATAATAATAACAAAATATATTCATACAGGGTGTTCTGGTGATCATGTTACAAACTTCTAGGGTAGATAAAACACACAAAAATAAGAAAAAAAGTTCATGTGAACATGGGTCAGGAAACGCTTCTTCAGGGAGCTAGGGCCCTTCGAAGATGACCTTCAAAAACTACTTTTCGTTTTATAGCTTCGGTACTAATGCAGCTATCGCAACCAATTTTGGGACATGAAATCTAGTTCTTAGGTTCATCAATTTGGGCCTTCCGGATTTTGTCACTTTTAACCAGGGGCGTACAAACCAGGGGGGTATTTGGGTAAATTTGACCCTACTCCTCTCAGGCTTTAATTTCTTACCATTTTTATATCTGATTATGATACTCCAATGCCTTTTTCATAAAAAAGGTACTCTTGTGAACGACAGCGTTAGTAAATTCATCTTCAAGACAAAAATTTACTCTGCCTTATCCTTGACTCACTTGTTAAACCTGTTTGTGTTACTTGTTTATTTTGTACTTTTGAAACTTCAAAACTTTCAGTTTTTCATTGGTGCTCGTGAATGATTTATTGCAAATTTATTATTGGTTTTGCTTGTGTAGGTTTAATTGTTTTTTTTTGAAATATTTTGTATACGGTCCCTTTTACTTTTTATACCCCCCAATTTCGAAAAGGCAATAGATTTCTCTAATCTAATTCATTTTCATTTAAGGAGAAGATTTGACTAACTAATAATGCTCACTATCTGTACTGAACCTCATTTTCATATTTCAACGTAATAATTGGTTTAAGACCAATAATTTATTATTGATTGGATTTAGCCATTTTCGGAGGAAACGGTGACAGATAGCGATTTTTACAAGAGTACCTTTTTTATGTAAAAGGCATTGGAGAATCATAATCAGATATAAAAATGGTAAGAAATTGAAGCCTAAGAGGAGTAGGGTCAAATTTACCCAAATACCCCCTGGTTTGTACGCCCCTGGTTAAAGGTGACAAAATCCGGAAGGCTCAAATTGATGAACCTACGAACTAGATTTCATGTCCCAAAATTGGTTGCGATAGCTGCAGTAGTACCGAAGCTATAAAACGAAAAGTAGTTTTTGAAGGTCATATTCGAAGGGCCCTAGCTCCCTGAAGAAGCGTTTCCGGACCCATGTTCACATGAACTTTTTTTCTTATTTTCGTGTGTTTTTTATACCCTAGAAGTTTGTAACATGATCACCGGAACACCCTGTATAAAGGGTGAGTCAGTTTTTTGTAGAAGGTAGATACTACTACATGTTAATGATCTCATGTGAACATATATGCATCGGAGCCCCTTTTTCCATATACAGGGGATGTGATATTTTTATATATTTTCTTGTGTTTTTTTAGTTTTGCCATTAAGATTAATCAACACATCTTATGAAAGTTTTCGATCATTCCAGGTCTTCTAGTCAATTATTAAGAAATTCCAGAAGAAGACGGAGCTCATCTAAATTTTTTCGTATTTTTCTATACAGTTTATTTAACTCTCGCGAGCTACCTAAATCGCCTTCGCCGTCGACCTCTTGGCCCACCCTGATCTATAGGAATCGATTCCAAATTTCAACCCATGAATCGATACCCTCTGATCCCGTTCCTTTCTTCTTTGCAGAAAGAAAAAGACTTGGAACTGACGGCGAGAATCGGCAAGGAGCTGTTGTTCAACAACAACAAGCTCGAGAACACCGTCGCCTCATTGGAAACTGACCTCAAGGCCGCCCACGAGAAGATCGTCCAGTTCAGCCATGAGATCCAGAAGAAGACGGAGCTCATCCAGATCCTCACCAACGACATGGACGAGTCGGCGTTCGAGGCGGGCTCTTCCGGCCGCATAAATCTGGAATTGGTCAACAAACGGATATGTGAGTGGAAGTTTTTGTTTCAATAGTTAGTCAACCAACTAGTGTATTAACCTCTCAACCGGTGAAGGTGATGTATGACTGATGCACCCACTCTGGGCGGCAAAATCGTCGCATGCGTATATATCCATCATATTCGAATGAGTTCATTTTCGCGTATATGCAGCAGAATTACATGAGATATTTCAAACATTTTTATACACATAAACTCATTGTTGGCATATTCTCAGAGACTTTGACGATCACAGATTACTTGGTATGGTAATCTCTGAAACAAGGAGCTGGACAAAGTCTAGTTCTGCAATCCAAGCACCAGTATCAGGATTCTTTCCTGACTCCCCACTGCGAACATAGAACACACCGTTTTGTTGGTTTTTTCTTATTTACTGTGGGGGAATGATGGCTGGAAAGTGCCGTTCTGTAAGCCGACTAGGATTATCTGTTTTTGAACGCCTTATTGGATTACTCATGGGCTCACTGATAAATCATAATTACTATTCAATGTACTGATTGACAAGAGGCTATCACCATCTGGCAATTCGCTGTCTTCAGAATCATTCTCTATAGCTATTATTTTTCTCTTAGACATCGTGATGCACCCACCGAATGTTCACTGCTGACTGTCCAAACAAAAATTAATCGGAAAAATAAGTTGTTTACACCAAATTCTTCAGTGAAGAGTGGGGATTCCCGTGATTTATCGCTAGCGAACTTATACGTGTTATCCATGGAGAGGACCAAAAAAAATCCGTCGGCGAATATATTCGTCATACTCGTACTCTTATTCGCTTAAGAGGTTAATGAGGGCCAGGTAGCCGCGCGGTTGAAGCAGGTTAGGGACATGCCGAAGATCAACAAACACATTCGTCTTTATGAGACAACTGGGATAACTCACCCATTTCGAAGACGCAGGGTTTAACATGAAGTTCTAGTCATGTTGTAGCCATCTAGTGGCAAAGCTCTAAGGTAGGATCAAGAAATCGCGACACACACTATCTATACGCTACAGAGTGATACTACAAGTAAACCACTCTGCTGACCTATGGCACTACCTGATATGTCATGTCATGATTTTTCGTGTCATTTGGCCTTCTGCTACATTATCTTCTCTGTTAATGTAAGAATTGCGCCTAAAAATTCACATTGACAGTAAAACACGCAAGTCTGCTCAAGTCTTGCAATAATTTGAGTTTTTCTATTTGTTTACAGAAGCCACATCATTTTTTCAGAATGTTTTTGATAAAATTGGCCACGGCCTTTAGTGCTACCCGGGAAAATTCTGGGACTTTCGACTTGGACATTGCCCTAATTGATCATTAATAGGGGTCATTAACGTTCAATTTCATAAATATCAAACAGACTTGTTAATACGAGGTCGACATATATAAACTACTCAACACTAATTTCGTCGCACACCAAAATGTCGCCCCTGTTATAATGTGAATAACTTTTTTCAGTTTAGATCAATTTGGATTTGATTCACACTGTTCGATAGCCCAGTCCTTCAGCTATAATCTCGTACTTCATTGAAATATAAGGGTATTCACATTAAATCTCTACATAGTGTTTTCCGACACTGTGCGAAATTTCGGAATATTCAAAAGGCTTTCAAATGGTGAAAAATTTTTTTTTCTCAACTTCGACAACAGAGGCATGAAGATGATCTCATTACCTCGAGATATTCCGCGAATCAACTTTTTATCTCTCTCATTTACAGAGTGATCTCAAAAAATCAACTTTTTGGTTTTGCAGCCATAACTTTTTTCCACGTCAACCGATTTTGGAAATCTTAGGCTCATTTTGAAGATAAAACTCCAGATAAAGAGATCTGATTATCAGAATTGACTCAAGATGGCTATCAAAGATCTAGAGTTTTCTTGAAAGTGACCAAAATTTGGAACACCCTTCGAATCTTGGTTGGGAGGAGAATTGAATGAAAATCAACTTGTTCTCGGAAAAACAATTCATTCTGAATGCGTCCATATTTTCCTCGCTCTCAGTAGTCAAGAATTTGCGTGAGAAAACACAATTGAAACATGTTTTGGCAAAAACATCAGACCATTTCTCCTCTGTAATGCATGGCCCGTAACCAACGTTACAAGAATCACGGTAAGGGATTGACAAGTCAGGTTAGACATCGTTTTCGAATAATGAACAGATTTTGATAGTTTCGATGCCGCATCTAACGCCCGACCAGTTGGAACTGATTCCACAAATGAGGGAACAAGGGCTATCTTTCCTCCAAATCGCGGATCTGCTAAACACGACAGTCCGATCCATTCAAAGGGCTTATCTCCGACACGAATTGTTAGGTTATTACTGTCGATTCGTTCGGCGCATTATTGCGACTGAAAACTTTACGTAATTGGCAAACTTTTTTCGTGAAATTTTCACCATTTTTGGAATGCGTTTTCACAATAAATATAAACGTTGTTTGCTTGAATACTTCTCCATATTCTTAAATCGCATGTTATGTACGTGACAACTGTTAAAAAATCACTTTATCGAAAAAATCAAAATCCGTTGCTCTTGTTGGTACACCATTTATGATGAGCCTCAGCTGGTCGGGTTTGTCAGTCACTCATTGTGATTCTTGTAACGTTGGATACGGCGGGCCATGCATTACAGAGGAGAAATAATGATCTAATGTTTTTGCAAGAACATGATTCAATTGTGTTTTCTCACGCACAATTCTTGACTACTGAGAGCGAGGAAAATATGGACGCATTCAGAATGAATTGTTTCTCCGAGAACAAGTTGATTTTCATTCAATTCTCCTCCCAACCGAGATTCGAAGGGCGTTCCAAATTTTGGTCACTTTCAAGAAAACTCTAGATCTTTGATAGCCATCTTGAGTCAATTCTGATATTCAGATCTCTTCATCTGAAGTTTTATCTTCAAAATGAGCCTAAGATTTCCAAAATCGGTTGACGTGGAAAAAAGTTATGGCTGCAAAACCAAAAAGTTGATTTTTTGAGATCACTCTGTAAATGAGAGAGATAGAAAGTTGATTCGCGAAATATCTCGAGGTAATGAGATCATCTTCATGCCTCTGTTGTCGAAGTTGAGAATAAAAAAATTTTCACCATTTGAAAGCCTTTTGAATATTCCGAAATTTCGCACAGTGTCGGAAAACACCATGTAGAGATTTTATGTGAATACCCTTATATTTCAATGAAGTACGAGATTATAGCTGAAGGACTGGGCTATCGAACAGTGTGAATCAAATTCAAATTGTTCTAATTGAAAAAAAATATTCACATTATAACAGGGGCGACATTTTGGTGTGCGACGAAATTAGTGTTGAGTAGTTTATGTATTGGATGGGATGGCAGGAATGTATGAACTTCTTGTGAGTTCCTATCTCACCAGATCGTTCTAAAGTTGGGTCCATGACACTTCGCCGAGTGGACAAAGCAGAATTTTTTGTCAAAACACCGATACAGATCGGTGGACACTTTGCCGAACGTGGTCATTAAGACGAAAAACAGTTATAGACTGTTGGCCCGCGACACAGGGTTTATCGATGTTTTAAGTCGGTATACCATTTAAGGGACCCACTCACTTAGTCCAAGTTAACAGGAAGGAGTGCCTCGGAGAGTCGCAACCCAGTCCTTGCCCCGGCCCTGACCTCACCTTTCGGTTAGAAAAAAGTTCAAAATTTTGTTTAAGAAGAAGCTCGGCAATGAAGTGCAATGATCTTATCTCACGAAAATTGGGGCGCTTTCCGGTTTGCATACGCCTAGGTCACTCCCCAAGGGCGGCATACGAACCGGAAGTGGCAATTTTTCATGGTTCTTGTCGATGATTCAAGAATGTATGTCCTTTGGCGAAACAATGAATTCGGAGCCATTAATCAGTTTCCCGACATTCGCATACGATTCCGGAGTGGGGAGCTCGACTTATTCGAACATCAATTGACTAGAAATCTTTCAAATAATCGATGATTCAAGTTCGTATGCACATCTCTGGACCGATAAACTAGGATATTCTGTATAACTGGATGCTATTTGCATACGAATTCAATGTGATATAATAATAATCGGGCAAACCCGCGCGTGCCTCGGTCCGCCGCGGCGCCCCGCACTGCAGGCCAGAGGTGCACCGAAAGCGAACTAGATAATCTGGAAGTCTCATAATCTCACTTCACATGAAACCGGGTCAAAGATTAACTTCCTGGGAGTGATGGGGGTATTCGAAGACGCAAATTGCAGATATATTTGTATTTATTCATCAGAAATTTACAGCTCAACAAAATTACATGTGTGAGAGGTTTAGTATCAAGAAATTCATTTGTGTGATTTTAATTTGAAAAACAGGGCTTTGAAAAGATGATAAAAAAATGTACGATAAAATACTCGCAGGATGATCAATAGGGATCGTACAGGAAGAAGAGGGGTGGATTATTGCTCATGATCGAAACTCACAATAAATCGAATTGAAATTCTTCCCTGGGTCCCAATTCATTGTTTCGCCAAAGGGCATACATTCTTAGATCATCGACTATAACACTGAAATGCCACTTCCGGTTCGTATGCCGCCCTTGGGGAGTGACCTAGACCCCAATTTTCGTGAGATAAGCTCATTGCACTTCATTGCCGAGCTTCTTCTTAAAGAAAGTTTTGAACTTTTTTCCAACCGAAAGGTGAGGTCAGGGCCGGGGCAAGGACTAGGTTGCGACTCTCCGAGGCATTTCTTCCTGTTAACTTGGACTAAGTGAGTGGGTCCCCTAAATGGCATACCGACTTAGAACATCGATAAACCCTGTGTCGCGGGCCAACAGTCTATTATTTAGACATTTCGCCGAAAGTGGTGAAATTTTGGAAATAACTCTTCTCGGCGTTTATTTCCGCAATTAGAATAGAATATTGACGCTTCTACTGACGCTAACATAACTCGGTCTAAATGAACGAATGAAATGAAAAAAAAAAATTATGACAACACTGGGATTGAAACCTGGTTCCTCAGGAGTCAGGAGTGGCAATCCGAAATACAACTCCCTGCACCAATCACTTATTCAAAAATGAGGGTAGGTACCGTGGAATGGAAATACTTATTGAAACACTTTTGAGATACAAATATACATGACAAAGTTATTGATCATGGATCATCAATGTTGCCCTATCATTAAAAGAGATGTATGAGTTGATACTATAATCAAGTAAATATATCACACCCTCGATTTAGGGACATTTCATATTGGCAACACTGTAGAATGTAGGTGCTGTGATGTCATGCTGAGAAAATATCAATTTCACAAAAAAAAGTCATGAGATGCATTATCATAAGTTAAACATTGTTATATAAAAGCAATGGTGATAGATAACCTTGTTTATACTTTTCCGAATATCGAATCAAAGGATACAGCTGATATTCTACTTGTTCAAGATATCGTAATCTAAGTCAGTCTTACATTGTAGTGTGCCATTTTCTTCAGAGAAAATCCGTGACAAATTATTTATACAGGGCTAGCTCTGGGCTCAATGAACATTTTGAAAATCCGATGGACATGGTAGTGTTTTAACTCTGCAGTTACATTACAGCATCATTGGAGGATGAGAACAAGGCGCTCAAGACTGAATACTGTCGATTAGCCTCATGCGCCGATGACATAGAAGCTCAAGAACAGAGACTATTGAAAGATTTGACGGGACAATTGAGTGAGTCGCCTGCGAATTCCATGAAGCGTCCCAAACTAACATGGATTCATTTTTCAGCTTGCGCTAATTCAAGTATGGGGTATTTGGAGGATGAAATCGATAGGGTGAAAGAGGAGAACAGGAGTCAGCATGAACAAATTTTGGCGCTACAAGGGCAGTTACAGGATACAGAAGAAAAGCTGACAAAGGTATTTGATGAATTCATCTCATAGTGAAGCGAATATGATTCAGAAAAAGGACACACGACAAAGTAATCTCCACAACTTTTAATTATCATAAAGCCACCCTATCTCTCATAAAATAGCTGGTTTCAATGGGGGAGATCACTGATTTTTTTAAAAACATCATTATGAACTCTACCAAGTGTCGCAGGATCATGGTACACCAAACCATTTTGATGAACTTAATTTAGTGATAAATCAAGAAATTTGACATTTTTGACAGGATTCAATTTTTTTCAGCCTCAGACCTGTCGATATGAGTATAACAGACTCAGACAGATCAGAATAGTCATGGCACATTTAGATGGATGATCAAAAATGAATTAAAATCAATATTGAAATTTGGAATGTCACTTATGTGGTATCATTGGATTCAGAAAATGATGTAGAAATGGAAAATGCAATAATATACAGGGTGTTTCATTTGAAAATCGGTGGAACCGGTGAAACCGGAAGTAGAAAATGAAACATATTCATGTCAAAACATGACGTTTACCAACTTGATGGGTCATTCCAAATTTCAATCACTAATCTCTAAAGCTAAAGGAGCAAAGGGGGGTGTACCTTAATCCTGTTAAACCTGGTAAACATATTCATCAATGCAGTGTTGCCGCTTATATCAGGAGGTAGTAGCTACTTTGTTATTCCAAATGGAACACCCCGTATATTATGTCATTTTTGGATTCCTTGAAGGATTCTTCAATACTGTTCCTGATAGTTTCCTTTACCTATCTGAGAGTTTTGTCGATACAACCAACGATTTATTCATAATGCAAATTCACAAAATATGGCAATTTGGATCACAGTCTCAGGATACAGGGAGGCTCAGGAGTAACTTCCTTCCGTGGACTCATGAAAATGATTGTTACGCAGCTTTTTTCAAATGAAGCACTCTGTATATTATTACTCATTTGGAAAGCTGTGACATTTTTCCATTTCAAAAAATACAGATCTAAATTTACGGAGTCTGATATTTCGAAGATACTCAAATCTTTTATGTACTTGTGAGACATCTCTAGAAAAAAAAATATGAAGAAGGGAAGTAAAGGTAAAAAACGAAATCCGCAGATTAGGTGATTATCGAATATCACCACATTCTTCCATCAATAATTCATCTCTAGATGAACGAGGCTGAGGACTTTCTTGAAAAGTGAATGAAAAATCATGTGTTGAATGGGAGGCACGGCGAGAGGGAGTAGACTCACCAAGAACAAGATTCTCTCCTTGATCGCACATGTTTCTTCATAAGTAATTCAGAAAAAGGAACTAACCAGAGCAGCCTTTGGTAGATCTTCGATTATGCATGAACATCCGTTCATGGGGTGTTTCGTTAGTTGCTGTGCAAAGGAGAGATCTGATGGAATGAAGCGCATCAGGGAGAACCATTTAACAATTGGATACTTCCAAGTTTCTTTATTTCAGGGCGAGAGACACCGTTTGCCAAATAGTGCCATTCTCGCGCTCTATCTGTCGTACCACAATGTGGTGATATTCGATAATCACCTAATCTGTTATTAGTTAATGTCATTCTGACATTTTGACGTCTTATTATTTGTGATAGTTTCACATAAGTTTTATGATGAATAAAGCCTTTATTCCCTAAAAAGTTTTATCGCTACACAAATTCCGATTCAGCATTTATAGACAAATGTTTATAGGAATTTTGTTCATAAAAACCTCAGGAATAGTCCACCACTGTCTTCATCACCGATTCTAGAGAAACACCCTGTATAGAACAAAAACGTCATATAATAATTCCAGTTGCTGTCCGAAAACGACGAGCTAAGCGGCCTGCTCCAAATAACGAAAGACAACCAAGGTTGTCTGGCGGTGGAGCTGTCCGAATTCAAAGCCAGGTACTACGAAGTGGAGGCGCTGCTGCGCGATGCGCAAGACCAACTGCGCAAACTCCGGAAGAGATCCATGCCGGGCGCCCGGATCTCCATGTTCTCATCGCTGGGACAGGCCGGATCCGGACCGTACGACAGTTTGCAGAGCGAAATGGAGATGTCGATGAATTCGGAGTTCAGTTCTGATTCGGGGATATCCAATCCCGATATAGTGTAAGTGTTGAATACTATTTCAATATACGTGTAGTTAGGACAAATCAGATGATTTGCCTCAAAATGTCAATTCGTTCAAAGACTTCCTATCAGAGAGCCTAAAAGAGAAATTCACTAGCTTGTCAGTGACAATTTGTACTGAAAATGGTTTGGAGAAGAGAAATAGAGGTATATAGAAAAAATATCAAATTTTTACTTATCTTTTGGACGTTTACGTTTTCAACGTAAAAAATGGATTCTCTGTATTGCAAATTCGTATTTGTCCTGACACTTCTGAGTTCTCAGTGACAATTGGTGACGTTGGCAATCAAATGAGTTACAGGATGTTTTCATTAATTGATCTTGAATTTACCATTTTCAAATTTCAGTAGTGAATACCTTGTTCTATCTATATCAACTGAACAGGAAACAATGCTATTGTCCCCGTTCAGAAGAATGCATGCAGATTCCTTGATTTTTCTCTTCTGGTTGTTATCTTCTTTTCCAATGATTTTAATATTATTCCACTCTGCCATATGTTGTCCATCTTCAGTAAGGATATGTTCAGCTAGTTTTGATTTGTCAATATCGATTTCATTTTTTGCTATTCTCATAAATTTTGCGGAATTCGTACAAACATGAACATACCTTAAGTTTTTATTATTCTGTAGTACTAACCCTAAGTAGTTTCACTATATCATACCGTTTTTCCATCAGAGCTCTGTAAGATTGTAAAAACCATTTGTGTGGTTATAGTCAATAGTTCAAATATGTCGGGTACAAAGATTCTGATGACTTCGCCAAAACCACAAGTTTCATAAATAATATTGCGCCTCAATGATTTTCTAGTATGATTTCACGAGGAGGCTATAGTATATTCTGAAATACAGTGTGAGTCACTTGAAAGCGGGATACCTTAATAAAATTTGTATTAATTTACTCATTTTTACCAACTTTCTTCTGAATTGCAGAGCTTGAAAAATTGTACTCCAGGACGAAACTTATTTTTATTTGTTCTACAAAAACCAAATACTGCGTATATTTTTAGAGGCTAAAAGATAAGAAATTATATTAGCAATTTTTTTTACAAAAAATGTAAAATCACCAAGAAATAGTCGATATGATTAATTTTGTGGCGAAATCAAAGAGAATGGCTGAATAATAATCATAGAAATAGACCTCGCATTCAATGGCCGCGAATAACCCCAATGCTGACACCACTATCTTTTTTTCAGGGTATTGTGAAGCAAAAATTTTACAAGTCCAGGTAGCAGTCAGTGCTAAATCCAATGGTGATTTTGAATTTTTCGTACATGACATTTTCCGAATCGTTTCATCGGTCTTTCTATACCTGATTCTGAAAAATGAAAACAGAATCGATGATACAAAAAAGCTTCATTAACTGTTCGTTCCAGGCCGCAATTCAAGAAAGTCTTCGACACGGTCCGCTGCGCCTCGCAGAACTCACTAAGCAGCAGCGACAGCCTGGGCAGCCTGCATTCCGGCATGGGCGGCTACTCGGGCATGGGCGGCTACTCAGGCATGGGCGGCTACTCAGGCATGGGCGGCTACTCAGGCATGGGCGGGTACGCAAGCGCGGGTGGGGGCGGTCCGCGCATGAGTGCGCGTGCGCAGAGTGGCGGCGAGATGCGCCGGTCGTCGGGCAGCGTCTACAGCGGCAGCTCGCTGGGGTATCCCAGCATAGATTCGACGGGGTATTCGGACACGGATTCCAGTCATACGGACTCGGAGGAGGGATATCCGTAAGTAGAAGATGCTCCTTTTGCAATTTCAGGATATCTTTAAGGGTATGGTCCGTAAGCCTACCAAACATCACCAAACATACGGGACACGGTTCCTGAAAGAAGTGGTCTGATTATTTTACCAGAGAAACCATTCCTAGGAGATCGGTTTTCCGGTTATCAAAAATATTGTTGTCAATTATTGTCAGTCCAGCATTTCTTCTTGGAATTGAAATATTGAGCAAAAATCATTTTACTAAGAAGACGATTATTCATGTTTTTTTCTATAATTTAGAAAGAATAGGAAGGACAGATATCAGTGTTCATGTTGTGGATTTGTTTTGAATAGGTGTTATATATTTATTTATTTGAATTCTTACAAAACACTGTGAAGTAATTGAAATTTAATTGAAGGGCTTATTGTAAATCAGTAAGTGCTCTTCTCGGTTGAAGCAAGCTACTACAAAATTATTACGGGCTTTCGTTAATGAAAGGCGCGAAAAACCAATGGTCACAATATTGCATAGGTCTATTTTTTTCTCTAGTTACTACCCGACATAATGACAAGCCACACAAAATGGCTGACACGAGCGAAAGCTGTTTCTATAATTATGTGAATTTTGACGATTCTAGCAAAAAAATATTGAAGTTGAGTCGACATTCAATTACAGTGACCGTGTCCCTTACTTTGACCAATCCGAAAGTGACTCAAGTGATGGAAATACAGCAGTATATTTTTTTTTTCAAATGTGGTTTGTCACATTATTATCATTCAAAAATGAAGCATAATAAAGTGTTATTGTAGTGGCATGTCACAAGGCTTGTTATATTATTTATTGCATTTTGTTGTGGGTGAAAGAATAAGAAAAAGGAAAAAACAAACACATCCGAAAAAATTTCAATTAGTCGATGGAGACAAGGAAATTAAAAGTGTTATTTGGGATCCAATAGAAAATTTCGAGGAAATTGAGGGCAACAATATGTATGATTTTAGGTGTCATTCTAAATGGGATAATGTAACAAGTCACTTTTTTTAAAATAAAGCCTGTTTTTTATCGAGTCGGAATTAATTTCATCAATATTCTTGTTAACTATAGTCCCATATGGCATGAGGAATCGACTTATATATAAGACTGAAACTATTGGAGTTGTTACTGGATTTTATATATTATTTTAAACATTCAAAGTCAAATATCTCATATTTACCTTTCTGAAGCATGTCATTGTTTCACAGTAAGCTCTTCAATTCATTACAAAAATACCTTGAAAGTAGCACAAAGTGTTGAAATATAAATAAATACAAAAATAACAATTACAAATAACATAATATAACATGAAGAAGTCAACATGCTCATTCCTAAAGAGATTATTACAAAGCGTTTGCATTTGTCTTAAAGGGTTATCTAAATATTTAATGGATACTTACTACTAAATAATTTGTCACTCTCAGAATATCCATGATCAATTGAGGCTATTTATTCATTTGAGTGAGAAACATGTTGTTGCCAGAATCAGAACAATACAGTACTTTGTATTGAACCTGCATTATTTCCTGAAGATAATCTCCCTCAATATGATGCTAATTTCATTCATATCTCTTGGCATGAAAGATATCAAAAATTATCTTCAGAAATGATATAAAATGAATATTTTTTTCAAACCTTCACCTGGAGTAAAGGGGAAGTTTCCTTCAGATGAATTTTCATAAAATAAGTTCGAAATTCCTCAGTTTCATGTCCACGCTGTACAGAATGGCGTTCGATAAAGTCCTAGTCGTTTTTATTTCCAAAATGAAGAAATTTTCAATTTTCGGGGCGGCAAACCGTGGCGTACATTCAGAATCTAGTCTGATTTTAGCTGATGATGAAAAATATAACGAATAAAAAAATAGAAGAAGACAACTTGGCGTCGTTGTTGATGTTTATATCATAACAAATAGCAATAATCACCTAACAAAACAACTATAAACTGGAGATCAGAAGTCGACACATAATATCGGTAAACAAATACATAACAATATCAGATCAATGTCGATGTGCCTGTTAGTATTTTGTGTGGTGTGGATAGGCTCAAAGTGCATAATGCACTGTTGCAAGATATAATCTTCAAAATAATGAGTGATAAGTTATGATTATCATTTTGTAATATAACGAAAGTGAAAAATTATAGATACTATTGCAAAATATCATAATGAACCTTTATTAGTCATCAACTTCAGTCAGAAAATAAGAGATTTATGAAAATTATTCATAATACTTGGTGAAGTAGGATTAAAAAAACCTATTATATCCCATTGCTGTGTTGATATTGTTATAATTTATTCAAAGAACAATTTCCGGAATTCTAGACATTGATGATGCCGGCAACGTCATACGTCATAGGAATGGTGAAGGAGCCAAGTTCCTTTTTAATTTATTTCTTCCTGAAGTGAAAATTTATTTTACGAAAAAAAGAAAGAATTCGTATTCATTAAAATTTCACAGATAAAAACCTCATATCATTATTTTCAAATGACTATTGAAAGGTCAAATCCTATTTTCCAGTGGTGCCCCATCGAAAGGTGTGCCAGGAGTTCCCGGCGCTACTGAACTAGAGGCTGCTCTAAAGAGACTGACGCCCGGAGAAATTTTAGCAAGAAGGGCAAATTTACAGCATGGTCCCACATTCGGAGGGTAAGGCAAAGCATTCAAGTTATATCTCATGAATATTTGTATTACTTTCATGGATATTTATAATACAAGCACAATATATTTTTATATGGGATACATTTCTTTGTTTGATGCAACAATTTTGCCAATCAATCAGTGGTATAAGAAGGTGTGGATGGTGGCAAATGTGCTGTGACCTGATTATATCAATTGTGCCCCATCTTCTGCTATATCAATCTTTTCTTGTCAAAAAATTACTAGAGTCTAGAGGTTATGTTATATATTTATTAAAATTTGGTTTCCCGTTGTTGAATGTTGGAAAATTTTAGTGAAATGGAGAACATTGATATAGAAGTATTCCTAGCGGCTGCTCTGTAATTTAGAAATCCCGCTTCAGTCCTCTCAGGGATCTGTACATGGTATTTCTCCCACAGTTAGCTGTTATGATCCCAGTATATTCGATCTTTTGTAATGTACAGAATAATACTCTAGCTGCCAGAGTGTTATGTTAGAGTCTAGCAAGATGATATGGGGTGTTTGTGGATGTTCCCGGCTGTTCTCCTCTAAGCCTAGCTTCTTCAGCGTTGAGTCTGCAATCTCAAAACCCTTTATACGAAACACATCAAGCAATCATAAACTGTCCTAGAAAAAAATCCGAAATTTTTTCTGTTGGGATAACATCGAAAATATTGTTTTCTGTAATTGTTCCAGATGCGGAAAGTATTTGACTTCAAAATTGGATGAAATATTCAGGTTGGCTACTTCATTTGTCACTTTATTGTCAATTCCAAAATTTTCGGATATTGAAGAAGTCATTGGAAAAGTCATTTAACCAACTAATGAGGGCCATTTATGATCGAGAAATTTTAACGTGCGAGCAAAGCGAGTGCTTTAATGTCTAAGTTCAGATTGTTGTAAGTAGTAAGTAATACACAATATTTTCTGATTCTGTCATTCTAGAAACTATTGAGCTCAGTTAAATACTAGGCGATTTTCCGTTAGTGATACATGGTGATACTCTTTCAATCTTAATTTTGCGATAGGCCAAAGGCATCACGAGAAATTCATCCAGATTCAATGAGGCCTAATATATTTTGATTGTCCACCAGATGACGCGAGATCGAGGTTGATTTAACTAGTTGGTAAGTCCACCAGATAGGCTACTGTATTTAAGATCGCAACATCAATGAGGCCGGTATTTCAATATCCAAGATCAGATTGTAGTGAGTAGTAGTAGCAAACAATATTTATGTGGACAAACATTATTTATCAGAATATGGATACAAACCTCAGAAATGGGTGACTTTGATACCTCAGTGAATCGAAGAGTTTTCTAATCTCCGTCAGATGGAAACTTCACAAAGGTTAGCAATCCTGTCATTTTATAAGAAATTCATGTATCCTATGGACTGGACACATCTACAACCAATATCCCTTATACATTCTTGTTGGTTGCATGCAGTTGCATAGTATTTTGTATCTTGTTCTCAATTTCCATTCCTTTCGAATTATTCAGTAGGTTAGCAGGTAGGTTAATTTAATTTTCGGAATTATGGGATCTTGTTTCAAAGAGGAATTATGAGTTCATTGAAAAAGTATAGTTTGTAATGCGAGTTACGAATGCCACAACAATAGGAAGCATTAATAGAAGATGAGCCATACTTCCAGATTATCCTGCAAGGAACATGCATCGTAGAAACAATAATTCATTGTTCCATTTATGAACGTTATACTCTTCTAGAACTCGTTTATCGAACACTAGCTCTGCTCTGCTGCGCTCGTGCTTAAAATACTCGTCACTTAAGGACGTTTGTGACATTGCACTGCACTGTTTCAATGAACAAAACACAAGCATGCCTTTCCTTTAGAACAGCCGATATCACTGTGCCCAACATGAGCTTGTCAGGAGTAACCATACCTTTGAAGACATACATTTCGATGCTTGGTATTACTACCAGCAATAACCTTGGGAAAAATCAATTGCTAAAAGTGCATCCCAAAGACTTGGTTTTCTGTTTCGGGCCAGGAGCTATTTCACTTTCAGTCAGCTGCTTATGATCAATAAGGCACAGATCCGACCTGTCCTGGAATACTGTTCCCATATTTGGAGTGCAGCACCCAAACATTCCCTGAAACTGTTGGATTCTGTCCAAAAAAGGGCAATTCGTCTCGTGGGTGATGCCTCGCTCACAAACTCACTCACTTCTCTGGAACACCGTAAAAAAGTTGGCGATCTGGATCTATTTTTTAGATATTTCCATGGAAGATGCTCTTCTGAAATATCAACGATTGTTCCTCCCTTGGCAGTCCCCGCGAGATTAACCCGTCGAGTTGAGGCTTCGCACCCCTTTGTGGTCACTTTGGAAACCTGCAGACCATCTCTTTCCGAAGACTCATTCATCCAACGAACAACGAAGCTGTGGAACACATTGCCAAGGGAGGTGTTCCTCTAAGCATGTAACCTCCAGAAATTCAAGAAGAACACCAATTCCTACCTTATTTTCTTTGGTTCTCACGATGTTCTCTGAACATTGAAGGATATTGGTTAGAGAAAAGGTTGTCTATACTTAGTATAATAATCAATATTAATGATTAGGGCTCAGGCTATAGTATACAATTTAATCATTCAATAGCAACTCGAACGTTTTCGGCACTAGGCTATCATCAGGAGAGTATCTGAAAAGTGAATTTTCCTTGATTATGTCATTATAAAAAAGTTGAATAGAACAAAAACTCACTTGTCAGATATTCTTGCAGAAGATGAGCATTAAAAACTATGCAAATGTATTGAACATGCGATTGTATTTACATAGTTTCTATTAAATGATTAAATTGTATACTATAGCCTGAGTCTTACTCATTAATATTGATTATTACAGGATATCCCTTTTCGTGGAAACCAGAACATAAAAAAAACGTATTACTCAATATATTATGATGATCGATCATCGATATCTTAGATACGAGGGCGAGTCGTACGTGCCGTTCGGCTGCCGCACACCCGACAGCCTGATGTCGACCGGCTCGGGCAGCTACAGAGGTTGGAAGCTGCCCGAGAAGCTGCAGATCGTGAAGCCGATGGAGGGGTCGCACACGCTGCACCAGTGGTCCAGGTTGGCGCAGCCGACGTTCGGCGGGATACTCGAGGAGAGGCCGGGCGTCAAGATCAGGTGAGAATAGGAAAAATTCGGGAAGTTTTATATTGTTGAAAGGACCCCGCACCATTTGCATTGAAATCTTGTCTACGGGGATATTTTGTGATAATCTAGGATCGGATAGATCAAATCATGCTGAACAAGAAATGTCCTTTGGTCCAAGGCCCGTTATGCCCGTTAAAAGAAGTTATAAAGGATATTTCTTGTTCTGCATGATTTGATCCATCCAATCCTAGATTGTCAGAAAATTCCACCGTAGACAAGATTTCAATGTAAATGGTGCGGGGTCCTTTTTATTTCTCCGTGAAGCTTTGACGATCCTCGTTCTGTTGATGTTTTTCTGTGACGAGAAAAAAGTTTGACATTCCATCTCTGTTGACAGGTTATGAAATGTCACTTTTCACTGGTGCAGAAATGGTGATGTAGTACTAGTATTCATGCAATGTTAGGTTAAGCAGCGTTTGAATGGTTAGGTATGCGTCGATAAAAATCATAGTAAAGTAAAGTAAAGTAAAGTAAAGTTTATTGAACTACGTTACATATTTGAATGTTTGTAGCAAGTCAAAATTGTACAATAGACAGACAAGACGCTGGTTTATCACACACACACTTTAAAATCATTCTACAAGTCATTAAAACAGTATGACAGGACAACAGCACAAATATATAAAATATTGTAAGGATAGTCATAAACTTAATGATAATAGAGAAATAGAGATGATGCGGACCCTTTCAATATGCCTGCAATGATGAAATAAAAGCTAACACTAGCAAGTCACAGTGAAAGTAACAGAATTGAATAATAAAACTACATGAAGAGTTGATATACGACACGTTACATGAAAAGAAAAAGTGTTCTTCACAGATCATCCGCCGCGAAACTGTAATTGAGAAACTCATCTGCTGAATAAAAGCACTTCTTTAGAAGGAATGATTTGATTTTCATTTTAAACTGGAAGTCGTTGACTTGTCTTATTTTAATCGGAAGTTTGTTGTAGAAATCGAAGTTTAAAGAATTCTTTTGAGATACTGCCAGCCTGTATCTAGTAGTTCTCAGTAAGTTACTTGTCCTTGTTGGGTACGGATGAAAATCTGACTGTAAGGGGAGCTTCAGTCTCTTTTTATGTATTTCAATAAGTGTGTGAAAAATATATGCAGTTGGAAGTGGCATGATTTGAAGCCTGATGAAAAGGGGACGGCAGTGATCACTGTATCCGGCACCTGACATAATCCTCACAACTCTTTTCTGGAGAATGAATATTTTGCTTGCATGACAAGAACTGCCCCACAAAATAAGACCATATGTCATATGGCTATGAAACAGACCAAAATAGCTAGACCTGAGGGTACCAATGCCCACCGATTGTTTCAGTCTACGAATTAAAAATATAGCACTGGATAATCTACTAGCAAGTTTGTTAATGTGGGACAACCAATTGAGTTTATCATCAATATGGATTCCAAGTAATTTCACATAATTTCCATCGGCAATTGTAGGATTTGACGATATAAGAAGACTTTGTGTTTTCTCGGCGTTGAGCATGAGCTTATTCGAGGAAAACCACCTCTCAGCCAATTCCAGGGTGTGGGTAGAAGAGAGGGTTAGCTCATGTAGATTACTATTTTTGTCAATAAGCGTTGTATCATCGGCAAAGAGAATGCAATTTTTAGGGAGGACCTGATAATATAAGTCGTTAATATACAATATGAACAGAGATGGTCCTAAAACTGAACCCTGTGGAACACCATGCGAGATTTCTTTCAAGTCTGATTTAACTCCATTCACCAGAACACACTGAGATCTCCCCCGCAGATACGATTTAAAAAATTCCAATGGAATGCCACGTATTCCATAGTAAGTTAGTTTTTCAACCAATATATCATGGGACACGCAGTCAAATGCTTTAGTGAGATCACAGAGGGTAATATGCGTATATTCCCCTTTCTCTAGGCCATCAACAGCTTTTGAAACAACATCTAAAAGAGCTTGTGTAGTTGAAAAACCTTTTCTGAAACCAAATTGACCGGGGCAAAGTAAACCGTTCACCTCTAGATAAGAAATCAATCTCTGTTTGACCAGTATCTCTATAATCTTAGCAATTATGGGAATGATCGAAATTGGCCTAAAATTGTTCATTACCTGAGGATCCCCCTTTTTTAATAATGGAAGAATTACAGAAATTTTCAAAGCATCTGGAAAAATACCCAGAGAGAAGCAGTTGTTCAATATAAAAGCTAGGGGTTCGGCAATGATATCAGCAATAGGTTTGATGATAGCACTATTTAGTTCGTAAATGTCACGACAGCCAGAATCTTTCAGACTAGAAATGGTACTCTTTACTTCACCTGGTGTAACCGGAAAAAAAGAAAAGGAGTCTACAGGTGTTTGCAGAGTTTTCAAGAAATCAGTATTTTTCTGTGACGGGAAAAAAGTTTGGCATTTCATCTCTGTTGGCAGGTTATAAAATGTCACTTTTCATAAATTACTTTTTTCCCGTGGGAAAAAAGTGAGTACTTCTTTCCCGGATATATATCACATATATATACTCTGTTAATGGCTTTTGTTGTGCTATAGTTCCGAAAAATGAGCCAATAATACCGTCTCCGAGAAAGAACTGCAAGTCCTTTTATCTTCCATTCGACTTCGCGGTTTCGTATATTACAAAACAACTACTGAATTCGCAATTTTTTAAAATCAAATCACAGAATTGAACTGACAGAAGTGACATCAGATATTTGATTACTTCAAAAGAATGATAAAGATGTCTATAAAACGCAGGTGTCCCTACTGTTAAAAACTTGAAATTTCACGTCGATAATTTTCAGATTTCGAAATAATGTAATATCTTCTCAATATTGATTCGTACTTCCTTCTGTCACAGAAAAAAATAGTGTATTATACACGGGAAAAATATTAGATTTTAGCTCACGGTTTTTTGTCTCCCTCCGCTACGCGTCGGGAGACAACACAACCTGGAGCTAAAATCTACAACTTTTTTCCCTTGTATAATAAATAACTATTATTGTTTTCCAATATTTTGGGAAATTTTATGAAGTCGAACTGGAAGAACTCACAGTGGCAGTAGACGCTGAAACTGCCACTAATCTACAAGATGGTTTCCCACTTTTGATTTTAACACAACTTTCCATGCAATCTTCGCCATTTTTTCTTCTCATATTGAAGGCCCAGTCTTCCAAAATTGTGCTGATTTGGCTGACTGGAGTAGTTGAGACGAACTGAATGGTGAGATTTTCTCTAATCATCACCGAACCGTTCTTCTTGATTCGATCATCATAATATACCAAAATAGTATAAAATATAGGTAAAGTTATACACCTAATGTATTTTTCCACATGAAACGTGCAGCCAGAATAAAATTGTCTTGCCTTTCACACAAAATGTCTCAGTAATGCGAATTATAAGTAAATAAAATAAAGTCGGTACTTATAGGTTATTGTCTCTGATTTGAATCCAAAGCAATCTTGACCAGACACGATGTCAAAATTTTATCGCTGATAAACGAGATTTGTTGGTCACGTGTGGGTCAATTCGCCTTTTGTATTGGTAGAGCAAGTCCGATAAAATTTAATAAATAAAAAATATCACTAGAATACAGAAGAAACCGTGAAAATGGTCGATTCATATTGGTTCTCGAGAGCAAGAGTGGAATAGTCTTCAATATTCTTTCATTTTCTCAATAAATAGGGCAATTTGATGGATGATTTTGTACAAACTTACTGAATACTTCAACAAAAAAACCTAAAATCTTTATATTGTGTCACCCACCACTCATATTTTGCGAGAATATTATAAAAATGTTTTTTCTGTGACGGGAAAAAAGTTTGACATTTCATCTCTGTTGACAGGTTATAAAATGTCACTTTTCAATCATTACTTTTTTTTCTGTAGGAAAAAAGTGAGTACTTTTTTCCTGGATACTCATAAGTATGGTAGATATTTGATTCAGAAAACGAAAGTTACATTTTCTTCAAATCAAAAGTACAATTATTGAATGTGCATTGCATGAATGACACGTTCCTTGAAGTATTCGGTACAACAGTAGAATTTTCTCGTGTTGAAATTATATTTCTTTCTGCCATGGACACAACTGCCGTTGATGTACCTGGTTGCAAATGGGGTGTTATTTCGGCAATGCCACAAGTTCTGAATACTTTATTAGCTATTTCTGTTCTGTGTGATACCGATTCATCAACATATCCTTCAGCGACCGTTGATGACTTTCAACCGCCATGTTTCTTCAGTGTCAGCAAATCTCCCCCAGATTCAACTAAAAGTGTAGCAGATGATCTTCGAAATGAATGACCTGTATATGAGGTAGCATTTTCAAGTTTTAGAAAACTAGCTACTTTTTCAGGTACCTTGTAAAACTGATTTTTACCCACAACTTGATTGATACATTTTCCATTGCGATATGCATAAAACAGACGGCGATCCTTTGCTGTTGCTGGACGCAGGGCTATGTATGTTCGGTAAAATTTGATATATTCTTCAGTAACTACAAATCTTCTGTCCACATCATTCTTTGTTTGCTTGAGTTTCACAATTAATATCGTTCCTGAATCTTCAATATCATCTAATGTTACCTGGCTGATTTCACAAATTCGAAAAGCTCCTGCAATCCCGAATACAACAACAACTTTGGCCATTAAATAAACTTCATCAGGAGCATTATTTAAAAAATTCGCCAATTTGTGTACTCGTAAAAATCGCTGCTTTCTTCGGTTTGTAACCTTTCCCATTTTGTTTCAGGAATGTAATTAGTTTGGGATATTTTGAAATGTCTACATTATTATTGGATTGTAACATACTTTTAATCATTGAATAATTTGACCACACTCTTGATGGCTTTTGTTGCTGAGCCAGTTCGGAAAAATAGGCCAATACCACCGTTTCCGAGAAAGAACTGCATGACTTTTTCATTCTCCATTCCATGAATCTTGAATACGCGGTTTCGTAAATTTTCCGCGATTTAGCTGGCAATAATTTTTGTGACGCTTCTTTCGCTGCTTCAACTAACTCCGGTGGAGTAAAAGAAAACTCGAATTCAGACATTTAATATTATTCAAAATAACTACTAAATCACTATATAAGTTCGCAATGATTTTCAAATCAAAAATCAAAACACAGAATTACATTGACAGAATATGACAATAGAATGACATAGCAACAAAGATGCCCACAATGGATGTGTAAGAAGGACAAATTTCACATTGATAATTTTTTGATTATATTATGTAATATCTTTTCAATATGAAGCGTCTTTCTTCCTGTCACAGAAAAAAATAGTGTATTATACACGGGAAAAATATTAGATTTTATCACCAGGTTGTGTTGTCTCCCGACGCGTAGCGGAGGGAGACAACAACTTTTTTCCCTTGTATAATAAATAACTATTTTTCCCGGACTACTGCGGGAAAATGACACTTCCCGAACTGAATTGCGTGCGGGTACAGGGTGAATCACGCACGCTCTTAGGAAAAATAATTATCGGAAATCGAGTGATGTAAATATGATGATGTGTCAGGGTGGGCAAGGACTTGGAGGAGCTCGGCCTCGAAGCGTACGCCCTCAGCGACCTCGAAGAGGACGAGGAGTACACAAATCCGGGCAAGGTGTTCGAAGCGTCGGCGCACACGTACACCTACACCACCAGCACGATCATGCATCCGGACGACGGCACATCGGTGACGGGCAGTCAGATGGGCAGCCGGATGACGTCGGTGTGTTCGAGCGCGCAGGCGTCGCCGCCCGCGACGCCGAGAGCGTCGAGCCGGAGGAATTCGTGCAGTACGTTCTCGACGACGTTCGGGTTGGCCAAGATGCTCAACGAGAGAGGTGGGTTCGGTGAATCAATAGAACAGAATACAACCTTATTTACGGTTCTCCATTGCATACATTATTATCACACACACATATTATCACAAGATGGAAAAATATATTTATATATATAAATATATTTGATATAATTGGAAATATCGGGGAGTTCAGTCAATCGGGCTACAAGCAAACTACTTTATTGCTATTCCAAGATTTCGAAGATTTTTATTTTCTTCTTCAAGGCTGAAACAATATATTGTAAATGAAACATTTTGTTACGAGTCAATTCAACAAAAACATGAACTTACTTGCAATGCGAGTTAAAAGGTATAAATTGAAATAATAATGAGTTTAAGAAAATATAAATGATGTAGACATAAAAATTGATAGGACAGTGACAAAAGTCATATAATCTATATACCGGAAGAAATGAAATTATAAAATTAGATTGTTGTTGAATATCTTATGAGGTAGAGTCATTATGAATATCATCATGAACAAAAGTTAATAAATAAGAATATATCTGACTGAGATTATCAATATCTGTTTTCTTATCCATAGTATATTTCTCATTAACATTCTTTTCTGAATGCAAAATTTTTGTTTCTTCAAATTCCATATGATGATCATTAGTGATGACATGTTCAGCGAGTCCATAATTACTTTTTAGATCATGTGTAGTTTATTGCATTCCTTGTAATGACTGTAATCTGAAATATATTGGTCAAACTACTCAGAATCTCAAATCTAGGATATCTGGTCATAGAAGTGATTGCAGACTTCATCAGTTTTCTTGGGAACTAAAATTCAGGCTAACATTCCGAAACATGAATGACGAATGAAAGAAGTCACAGGGTGTTCAATTTGGCATTTTTCTTCTGGCTGTTTTTTTGCCGGTAAAAGAAGACTATCATCTTGCTAGGGTCCCTTGATGTAAATTGACGTATTTGTCTTAACAGGGTACGGACAGATCCTCGCCTCCTCTCACTTTAAAGTGTTTGTGAAACAGTTATATAGTTCCATCTTTATTCATTTCTGGGGATAAACACTAGATTTCTGACATTTGTTGTTTTTTAGGTTACACGTAATTTCCACATGTTATTTCTCATTCTACTCTACATATTATATCCAAATAATGATGATGATTTTCGAGATTTTTATTTTTCAACTCCAGCATAATCTTTGTGAGGCAGTGAGCGAATTTTTCTGAAAGTTTAATACGTTTTATCAACTGGGACTGTTCTTAGGCAGTACCTATCAATAAATGAATTTTGATATCAGACTAAGCCTTATGGTTGAGTAATGGTGAAAAATTTTATGTAGGCATTCAAACTAATGTGCCTCATATGTCATGTGTGCTGTATATATTCATGTTGGGAATCATTTTTGCAGTTTTTCACGAACACTTAATATTTCCTGAATGTAGGTATAATTTTTTAAATGGTAGGCCATATGCCTCTTCTTTTAATCCTCCGTTTTAATCAAAACTGTTTCTACTAAAATGCATTCAAAAACTTGTGGAGTGGATGATTATAGGCACAATGAGAAAGTATAATATGTGATTTCGTATTAGTTTTACCTCGAATATTTTGCTGATGTATTTACCAATTTTCCCCATTCGGTCACTTCACTTTCTATGTTCTCATTTCATTCGCATTTGATGGAAAGCTGACAAATTCAAATTTGCCATCCAACTGATTGATACAGCCTAACGCAGCACATTTTACCATCCTTCCAAAACATAATTGAATAATGTATTAAGATCAAGTATGAAATTGAAATTTGAAATACACAAAACCAAAGTCACTAGATGATTGAAAGAGAAAGGAGCTATGATCTGTCCGTACCCTGTTAGATGACAAATACGTCAGTTTGCATTAGAGTTCCTTAATGTACTTGACACTGCTGTTTTGACGTTTTTTGTATATTAGAGTACGGACACTATGACAAGCACTGACAATCAGACATAACTACAAATAAATTGATGGAAAAAGCGGGAACTGACAGTACACGGACGTACATGACATGAATGTCAAAGGTTAAACAAATTGAGAGAATTAGGAGAAAGATGCAAAAATAGAAACAGAATATGATGCGGCTGGCATAGAATATAGGTTTAGGCCACAAAATTTGCGAGGTATTTCTTGGTAGGATATAGAACATTTTTCAACGCATTTTTATCAGGTACACTTCAGAATGGAAGATTTGATGTTGAAGGATAGGTATTGAGAGAAAGAGCCGAACCCACAATTTATAAACGGAGCAAGTATCGGAGAGAACCTTATTCCAATTTAGAACCATCAAGAAACGAAAAACTTGCAAGATATTATCAGAGCACAGAACAAGAACGCTTAACGAGTGCACCATTTATGTTAGGTATTGAAAATGATCTTCCGATGGCCGGGTTCAAACCAACAATCCCCTTTAGCAATGTGAACGGCGATCTATAGTGAGTCGAACGCTGAAGTCCATTCATACCTCGATTTATACCTACTTCCGCAGGTCTTGGAGAACCTTTATCATTTATCCTAACTGAAATCAGCTGTTTCGTTGCATGATATTATTAATTCATTAATTACTTATTACCTACCACTCTTGTACAAGTGAAATAGTTCCATACGAAATAAAACTTTGTTTGTTTCATTGGTTGAAATTTATCAGTTTTCACCCCATTCTGAACTTTGTGATAAAAAAATATTCAACTGAACGTATACATATACCTACATATGAGAGACCTATTTCATAGGAATAGTATATGTATTTCCTTGGTATATATGTAAATACCAACTTGACATCGACCTCCTTTGAGATCCTTCAGCCTTATCATTCAATATTTCGAGAAGAAATAATTTTCTAATCAATTTATCGTACCCTTTTACCCACTCGAGGAGACGCTATGCACTCTCATACAAAAATCAAAGACAGAGAAAGATATATGGATGTACTCTTCCCAGGACTTGTGGAGGAAGGAAGATGCGAGGATCCTTTATCTGAGCGAAAAACATATTCTTGTCCTTGTCTGGCAAAACATATGATTTGCTTCAAAATCGTTTGTGGTTATGTTTGATTGTCACTGCTTGTCTAGTGTCCCTACTATAATATACAAAAAACGTGAAAACAGCAGTGTCAAGTACATTAAGGAACTCTAGTTTGCATCAAGGGACCCTACATCTTGCATATTTTCCACAGGCATAAAAGCGGTGACGCCCTCTTGCGTGCCCACGCCCTGCGGCCCGGCCAGCTTCACGCCCACCGCCACGCCCCACAACAGTCCCGACGGCACGCCTGCGCATTCGCGCTCCGCCTCCCCCGAGCCGTACGAGCAGTTCAGTCTGCCGCAGCTGATTTTCGGCTCGGTGCCGCACTTTTTGCGCGACACCATCGGAGTGGGCGGGGCGAAGAAGAAGGAGAAGAAGCAGCAGGCCACGCCCCCAGGGACGGCGAAGAGGACGGGCGAGGACAGGCAAGAGGTAACATCCGTCGATGTTTGTAGCGTTGATTTTTTCTTTCTTTGACATTTGGTTTTTTATTGAGAAGGTGGGGGCAATAGGAATGGGGGGATGGAGAGACAGAGATTTTTTCTTTGAGGTTTGGTGTTTTATTGAGAAGGTGGGCGGAAAGGGAGATAAACCAAAGGAAGAGCGAAAGGGAGAACGGAAAGGGGAGCGAGAGTGAGAGTGAGATAAGGAGCAAGAGCGAGAGGGAGCGAGAGCGAGTGAAAGAGGGAGCGAGAGTGTGAAAGGGAGCGAGGATAGGCAAGAGCTAACGGCCGTCGATGTTTGTAGCGTTGATTTTTTCTATTCTTTCTTTGACGTTTGGTTTTTGCTCGAAAGGGTGATGGAAATGGCAAAGGGAGAGTTGGAAAGTCAGAAACAGAGACAACAAAACAGAATGGATGTCGGTAGTTGAAGCGGTAATTTTCATTTTAGAAGTCTGCTTTTGAAAGTGGGTGTGGCCTGGAACAGATGATTTTTCAAGAAGTGGGTGGGAATGGAAATGGAAGTGTGCATAGGAAAAGTACAGGCAACATTGAATTTTTAAATTTTTTTGTGTTAAGTTTGGTCTAGATTGTATTGTAGTTGTAGGAGAACCGGCTGCAAATTCCGACCGTCATTTGATAACGAAATGTTATATGTTCCAGAGGCATGTGAAAACATGTATTTTATCGAACGGCACTTGTGCCAATCACTATCCTGAACGAAATGAAAAATTACCCTTTCCTGTGCGTTAATTTGCACTCAATTTCGCGATATGATAACGAGATGAGAATTATACAATCTAATACCAATTGAATGATAGATCTCAAAAACCTACCTGTGCCACCTCTTAATCTGAGTCAAATCCACGGCACAGCGTTTTATTCCATCGTGTGATAACGATATGAAACAAGGAGCAAATGGAAGGAGATAATGTTCCCTTTGCGAATTTCCAAACGTGCCGCGATTCAAACTGATATGAGTTATTGGCAGAGTGTCAATATTTCCGAGAATATTTCGCCCCTCGAAAGATAATATCCGATGGACCAGTGTAAAATTCATATTCTGCTACTAATATTAATTATGTATTATGAAATGTATTATGCATATTTATAGTTGTGAATAAATTATTATTATCATATGGTGCTCACACAACGTATTCAAAACCACATGTTGAGTTTTACACTGGTCCATCGGATATTATCGTTCGACAGGGGCGAAATATTCTCGGAAATATTGACGCTCTGCCACTAACTTAGATCCCTTTAAATCGCGGCACGCTTTGATATTCACAAAGGGGTCATCATCTCCTTTTATTTGATTTTTGTTTCAACTTGTAATCACATGACGGAAGTATGTCCGGAATAATGGTAGCAAATAAATCGCTGTTCCGTGGAATTGTCTTAGATAAACTCGTGGCACAGGTATGTTTTTGAGATCTACTATTCAATTGGTATCTGCTGGCATAATCATTTTCCCGTTATCAAATCGCGAAATTTAGTGCAAATTACCGCACAGGAAAGTGTAATTTTTCAATAATTTTACTCGGGAAAGTGATTGGCACAGGTGTCATTCGATAATACAGGGTGTATCTAAATAACGCCGAAAAAAATCATGGTGTGACCTTGTGATATTCTAGCAAATGAAGTTCATATAAACATGTGTCCTAGCTTGCTCCGTTTTTGAGATACAGGATGTTGACGTTGGAAGTATCAATTGTTTTTATTAATAACCCCTCTGTATGAGCTTTCATGGTGCTAAAATTCAGTATGGATGGAGACTGAGAAAGCCCCAACATTTCAAAATGATTCTAATTGTATTGACTAATCTCAATGGAAGTCTTGAAAACACCTACATTGAAATTTGGAGTCAAATCGGATTCTTATTGTTTCCTCAAAATTTAAGCTAAGTAGATACAAAAATCACACAGGATAAAAAAGTTGTTACATCAACAGTTGAATCTGATAAAAATATAGAAATCAGAAAAACCGGTGGTGTGCAATGACATTCATCATGAATATCGATAAATTCACCCACTGTAACGCCACTGGAAATATTATTTCGAATCTAATTGCACTGGAAGAAGCTCCATATTACTATTAACAAAACCACAAGGTTTGATTGAAATTGATGAAAAGACAATTGAGAAATGAATAGAAAAAAGATTTCTTATGGAAATATTAATACCCTGTATCTCGAAAACGAAGCAAGTTAGGACACATGTTTATACGAAATTTATTTCCTAAAATATCACACGGAATCTTCCCTTGAATATTTTCGGTGTTATTTAGATACACCCTGTATAAAATATTTTCACATGCCTTTGTGAGATATATCATTTTGGTATCAGATGGCGGTTGAAATGTGCAGCCGGCTCTTTTATTACGTTCTTTTTTAGCAAAGCTTCAGTCTTCCAAGTCATTCACAATTTAGAATATATTTGAATCTCTAGCTCATAGTTTTTTAAAGTAATTATAGATGATTCTGAGTTCCTATTGACTAGGTACCTGAAGGATAAAGATTTTCCTTATATAAAATGGAACTTTTAATAAAAGATAATGGTCCAAATAGGTAACTTGCTACACTGATAATCATAATGAAGGGTGATCCAATTTATGCATCCCATTTGCCATCAATGTAAATCTACCATCTGGCAATGAATATGTGTTTTCGAGGTCTCAAATGTCCGTTTTTAATAATAGATTCACCAATAACCATCCCAAACTGCGTCAAATATTTCAGTTGTTCTACATAACGAACTGTGTATCGAAATTGATGGGAAAGATATGGTCATGTCAATAGCAATATTCTTTTTATCTTGTTTCATTCTCACTACTGAGATCAATTAAGTTAGAAGGAGGTGAGACGGATTTGATTTGTCGATTGAATAAAAAGTTTTTATCTGTCAGGAAGGGCAAGGGAAGAATACATAACCCAACATAATTCAACCAGAATGTAAAATGGCTGAGGAAATTAATGAGGAGCATAGAAATATTATATTGCAGTGAGTATCCAAACGATTTAATCTGTGGACTGAAACTGCAAAGCTGAAAGAATGTCAAAATGAAAATATAACCTCACAATTTTTAGCACAGAACCACATAATTACTAGAATTAATCCAGTCTCACCTTTTTCTCACTACAATACCAGATGAATAGCAAGCTCAGTTGGGGTGAGTGGGAAGAAATATTCTCAATAAGTTCTTAAGACAACTCGCATCAGACTAAGATAAATGAAACGTGTAATACAACTGAGCTATTGAGCTGCACTGAGAATCTTGGTTAATCTCAGTCAGAGTTGGTCAAAAGAATATTACTAATAGTCCTACTGAGCAAACAATTGGCGATATAGTGGGTGAAATAAAAAAAACTGGAAGCATCCGAAATAGGATGGATCTTTTTCATCATCCTGTCGTCTGGTCAGTCAAAAATATTGCTGCTATTCACGATAGAAAATAAGCGTATGCCACCTGGCGGGGGTTTTCAACTCTCTGTTTACTCTGTTAACATTTAATTTTTGATTGTGCTTATCGCGTTCTAATTTTTTTTCTATCTCCGAGCGCACGAAAGAGAATCCATCAAAATAAATTGTTCAAATTATTGCCGTCTGGTGGGGCGATATGTTATTTTCTATCGCGAATTAGTGTTGAAAGTGGATTTTTTAGCACCCTTTGGCACATTTTATTGCGGTTAGCGGTGGTTGAGCGATCCATTTCGTTGATGAATCGTTGCCAACCCCTGGAAACATGTGCTTATTGACAGCTGGTTGATGTACATTGTTGTCAATACAGGAAACTCAAATTGGATCACTGTCTTGAATGGTAGGTAATCTGGAAAAGCAAGAACTGTATTAGGCACTAAGTGGGAAAAATATAAGAGACATTACGTAATAGATCAATAATTGTAGTTATATTTCAGAAAAAAATATCAAGTATCATGAATTTCAAAGAAAGGCACAATCAAACAGATTTTAATAATAAATTATTGTATTTTTATATTTGATGACGAGGGTTGGCCTTTGTAATTGTTATTTGAAAATAAACAGTTCAAAGATCATTTTAGGTTTTATTTCATTCCCGCTCCTATTCAGAATGAATGAATGATGAATTATTCAAGTGGGTGACCGATTCAAATAGTTCATCATTACGTTTCCATGTCATCTTAAAGTGATCTTTGAACTTTGGCATACATTAATTAATAGAATAGATTATTTGAATATTTTTTGTTTAGATAAACAAGTAAGCAAAATTCGGCAATAATAAGAATAATGGTCATAATAATAATAATTATTATAATAATATAATAATAATAGAACCAATGCTTTTCGAGTCAACATAGAGGATGATTTATGTAGGCCACATAGGAGTTGAATACTTTCAAATTGGTATGTTCTTGTAATCGCTAATTTCCAATCTACTTGAAATATTCTTAGTCCTCCAGCTATACAGAGTGTTTTTGGAGGTGTGACGAATTGATATTCATCATACGAATCTGCTATTAAAGGTCTATTAACATAACAAGTTTCCATTGTTCAAGTTTGAACCCTTTGATTGGGTAAAAGTATTGAAAAGGGTACAATTATGAAGATAAAAAAAGGATATATTTGTATCTAAAGAAATACATTGAGAATTCGCATTCTCTATGTGATAAAAATAACAATTCTTTCTCGGTTTATTCAACTGGATAGTAGTTGTTTTCTGTTGAATAAACCGAGAATGAATTGATATTTTCATCACATAGAGAATGTGAATTCTCAATGTAATTCTTTATATCCATTTTTTTTATTTTCATAATTTTATCTGAGGATGTGCCTTTTCAATACAGAGTGTGTCAAGTCGGCACCAACTTTCTCATTTTCGATTCGATCCAACTGGGAACTGTCGAGATAATTCGATATTCATTGATGTAGTAAATGTCACCTATATAGGTTGTATCCCCATTGCCAATACCAGTTTGAAGCTGACATGATTACTTATCAAGTAGGTTGTAACACGTTGTAGGTTCAAGTTCAATCGGCAGCGACAAAATTCGGTCTAATCCTGAATTAATCGTTCATCTCTTTGCGGCACCACCATTTCGATATTAATTGGCCCTAGAAGCACAGTGTTTAGCTGATTTACTCAGTCTGCCCGTTGTCATTCAGTTGCCATATTGAAATTACTCACAAATTTAGAAGACTCTGCCACCTATGATCACTTTTATGCAACCTAGTAAAGCGTCCTATTAGGTGAATAACTCATCAAATGACTGTATACCGAGATTTATACAATAGGTAGTAGGCTACTTGGGGTAGAATCGCAATTATACACGTAGGCACAGTAAATACTTATATTCAACTTCTGTTAGGTACAACTTGTCTCTACAATATCTGAATAATTAATGATGAGTCCAACCTTATCCCGTTTACATTACATAAAACTATATTAGTCACTATCAGCATAGCTATCAGTATGAGCCGAGTCAGATGCGTTTCCATAGGCGGGTGCCGCAAATCTGACTGAACGATCCATGAACAAGTGAGTTTGTTTTGAACTATTTTGCTCAGTTCTTTCTTGGCGTAGTTGAAATCAGTTGAATCTTGAGAGCGTACAGCCGATGAATGTTGATATATCCTAATCTAAATGAATCGGTCATGAATAGTAAATTATTGAATTTTCTCGACATCAATAGACGGTCTGCGCCTTATAGTACATACGTCAATACCGCTAACGATATTTTGGGAAATCTGAGAGTGGTAGAATAGTCATTCCTAGAAAAAATATATGTCGAAATATATCGCTCTGGAATACAATTCTTCCTAAATAGGCGTATTCAAATGATCAGACATGGCTGCGAAACGTGTAACGTTAGTGCACGAGTAATTTCGATTGGTAATCAAGGGCGGATCCAGAGGGGGGGTGATAGGGGCGATCGTACCTATAGTAACCTCAAAATATATTTTTGGAAGGAGATTCAACATTGAAGAATGGTATAAGTGATATAGTTTCTCTTATAAAATATTTGTCTGCAGTTCTGCAGAAGTGGGTGCTATGCTCAGCGCATTTGTTAAAAAAAATCGGACTGGAAAAATATTCAAAAAATATCTCGTGAATCGCTCCAAAGAAGAAACACCCGTGGGCTAGGAGTTCTGAATATGGTACAAAATGAACACCTTTCTGGAAACCCTCTGTATCATATAAGTATTTACAAATTTCATAAGAATGAATAATGATCAGTTCACTTTTGTTCTGGCCAAAGTAAACTGAAAAAGATACAAATATGCGAGAATGTATTTCACCAGAAATGAGGTGGTACTCAATCCACTTTTCATCTTTGTCAAAGAGTCGACACTCTTCGAGCGTTTCTGGCTGTTCGATTGCAAACAAGATTGCAAACAAACAGGGATATTTTTAGTATTCTTCAATTAAAGCACCAACATATGCTCCAAAGACCAAACCATTATAGAACTGATGAAATAAATTGAGGAATGAGAAATCATTCACTTAGGTTTGATTTTCTCTTTGCAAGAGGAAATGATTCTTGATATTGTGCAACTTTTTACATCATCAGGTAATTTATTGAATTTTGAGATAGCTGAGTAAACTTTTTTTGGCCAAGTGTAGAATTAGCAGCATCAAGATGAAACAAGTTATATTGTCTAGTATGATGTTCATAGATTTGGAAATTTCTTACCAACATGAAGTTAGATTTGAGGTGTTCATTGAGTAAGTTTTGTTCAGATAGTGCTCTTCCAAAGAAAATGTATTTGTTTCTTCATATAGTTGATTTGATGGTGGGTCATATGGAAGACGATACAGCAGTTCTAATGCTTTCATACAGTACAGATATTTTGTTAAAATTATTCTTGGCACATGAACCTCAAATATTTATGAGACAGGTCATTTTACTAAGGATGTGAGAATAGAGAATTAAATTTGCTATATTTGGGCCAAGTTTTGAACATCTTAGAGTACCAACTATGGGAGAATATTTTTCTTTGAGCATGCCAATATGCTTATCCCATGTTGACTTTTCATCAATCCAAATACCACTGTATTTGGTATAGTCAGTTTGTTTCAATCCGTCATTTTTGAGTTTTTGCCTACTGGAAGGAGGTGATAGTGACAGAGAAACTTTTTTCCTAGAGCCTCGTGGGCAGAATCGAGCGAATCGGCATAAGCAACCTGATAGCCAATCCGGGCGCCGCCCTGTATACGAGATCGGCGCTCACTAGTCCCATGGCGCAACTCACTTGCCTCTTGCCCAGTCACAGCAGCGAGAACATCTCGAACAGCAACCAGAAGTTCGTGTCCCCAGCTGCATCAGCTAGCACAAGTAAGTAACATTCTATCTGCATTACTTTTTTTTATTTATCATATATCTTCCAGTCAGAACAAGTTCTGGTATGAGGAAGAACATAATTATAAAATAATAAGTAATGAATATCTCTGAACAACTACACAAACATGAGTAAAAGTGAACATGAATAATAATTCATAATGAATCAGGATATCACAATAAATCACAAAAAAACAAATCAATGAACAAAGAAAAAAATTCTAGTCAGGGACATAATGTACTGATAAATTCTAAACATTTCTCTCAAACATGAGAGAAATGTCCGCAAGCAATCTATAAGGACATTTCCGTTATACAAGGAAAGACAATGCCAGAAGACGAACGGGGAAATATGGAGACTGTATAGTACCATCCTGCCAGCGATGCTTCGTATAGTGCATGATTTCGAGTGACTTCGGGAATTGGCATGATTCTGCCGCTTGGTGTGTGATGAGAACTTGACCTCCCTGCCGATTGATCAACGGACGACCCGTTGGCTCAGTTGGCAGAGCGTTGGGCATGTAACCCAGAGGTTGTGAGTTCGGCTCTCACACGGGGCGGTGGAATTTTTCCATTTTCCATTGTCACTCGAAATTATCTCATAATTATATGTATCTTTTCGGTCGAGTAACCGACAAAAATGATCACCCACTCCTATTGTTATAATTGACATCAAATTTCAACGGTATTTAATACTTTGGTAACACCATGGATGAGTTTATTAATGATGAGTACGCATATGTATGGACTTCAGAATCTTTCAAAGTCAATAAATCCGCAGCGAAGTGCAATATAAATTTTTTTATATATAAAATAATAACATAACCTTTCCGGACACCATGTATATTGAATTTAAATATTTACAAACTTCTCAGTGAGATAAAAACCCCAATATTGGTAACATCCCCATAAAGCTGCGTTCACAAGCAAACTTTTTACGTTTTGCTTTCTGAGTTTCGCATTCTGATTGGTGAAGCAAAATCTGGAATAGACAGGACCCAAAAAGCTGAATATTTTCAGCTTTTTGCGTTGCAAGATGCCACTATGTGTGAAAATGGCACGATGTAGGAAAATTGTAAAAATAAACAAATACTCAATACTTAACCTATGTTCACACCACCCCTCAATGATAGTCACACCCAATATTTGCCTTTTTATGGTTGATTTTTCTCTTTAAGGAGCAATTTACGTCAGTACTCAACATGAAAATTATTCGTTATTTAATTAGTATTATTGTTGTGATTGTTTCACTTCATTTCAGGATGAAGCACAAGCAGGGTTGGCACGAATTAATTCATATGAATTAAGTCAGTGATTTAATTCGTGAATTAATTCAAATTACTTTTTTCAAATAAGTCGTGAATTAATTCAAAATTTATCAAATGGGAACAAATCGCATTATTACCTTCAATTTAAACTAGTTTAAAATGAAATTTTCGATGGCATCTGACAACTGACAACCGTGAAGCACCACACGCGGAAAACAAAATTTTTTAAGAGCCGCTTTACAGTTTGCAATATTTCATTGCATGCAATTGATTGCTTCAATTCATATTTCCGGCAAAAATAATATGTAGGCTTTTCAACGCTGAATCGGAATTACCGGCTTGCAATGTCTTTTTGTCATAGATTCTGTGTATTACTTCTCACCGAGTTTTGAGTTGGGTCAAGAGTCGGGTAGAAGAAACTATGAGAAAGGTAAGAAAAGTAAGATCCAATGTGTATCTAATGATTCCGAAAATCTAACATGTCACCACTGGAATTGCACCAGTGATACAAATTACCACAATATAAATAAATATGTCCGGACTCATTTCTTGCAATGCATCGAGAAATTGCTTTCCAAGGTGACCCCAATCCGTAGGCGCGCCATGGATATTGCTGCATTTTATTGAAAATAACTGTAAAGCGCCTCTATAATGAAGATTGTGAATGAGTAATATAATTTGCATAACATAATTTTGTCATTCAATCAATAGTCTCAGTTTATATTGCAACGATTGCATATTTTAAGTATTTTATTGTCACGCTTTGAGATTTTTAACGGAAATTAAAACTTAGTTTTTTCGATGTTCTTGTATTTTGTTCAAGTAAATAGAATTTGATTTGTTCTCAAATGAATTAAATCAAAAAAGTCCGAATTAATTCAAAAAGTCAGACTTTTTTGACTTTTTTATAAAACTCATGACTTATTCCAACCCTCTGCACAAGTAACAAAACCAAGGCAACTGAGAAAAGCCATAAAAACTCACTTTGACGTTTTTTTTGTTGAGAATGACATTTGCTTCAGTTTAATTCACGTTCAATTTCAGATTCTGCTTCACCAATCAGAATACGAGATGTAAAAAGCAAAACGTAAGAAGTTTGGTCGTGAACCCTGCTTAACTGGAACAATATTTAATATTTTCAGCTACGAAACTCAAGGCCAGCATGGGTGTCCCCGGCAAACCGGGCAGCGGCTCTCTCAGCCGCAGACTCGACCAGCTCAATTCCAGGAAGCAGAGGAGACAGCAACAGGGCGGCGGCGTAACTAGGCCCGATTTGGGAACGGTTTCGATGAAAACAGCTCCCGAACAACCGGAACAAGCCGCTTCCACACTGGGAACTCTGAGTTCGCTCTTGTTCGGCAGAAAAGGCGGTCTGTTCTAGGTAAATCCGTCATGAATTCAGCTGTCAAGTAGTATCACTGACTCTTCACGTGAAGCAAATTTCCTAGCAGTGAACTGCCAGCTGTTAGTTACACTCATAAGGTTGTTTTTCCATTGTGATCATTTTGTCTGTGGGAAATCAGCAGATTGAGTACTGACAGTTGTTTTTGGAGTATAGTGAAAGCTGTAACAACAGGGCGGCGGCGTGACTGAGCTGGATTTAGAAAGGGTCTCGATGAAAACAGATCCCGAACAACCGGAACAAATTGCTTCTACTTTGGGAACCTTGAGTTTGCTCTTGATCGAAAGAAAAGGCGGTCTGTTCTAGGTAAATCCGTCATGAATTCAGATGTCAAGTCGTTTCAATGACTCTCCACTTGAAGCAAATTTCCTAGCGATGAACTGCCACTTGTCAGTAACACTCACAGAGTTATTTTCATTGTGATAATTTTGTCTCTTCAGGAAATCAGTAGATTATATTACTGACCGTTGTTTTCGGAGTATACGAGAAAAGATGTAACAACAGGGCAGCGGCGTGACTAAGCCCGATTTAGAAAGGGTCTCGAATTAAAACAGACCTCGAACAACGGGAAAAAACTGCTTCCACCATGGGAACGTTGAGTTCGTTCTTGTTCGGCAGATAAGGTTCTAGATAAATCCGCCAGAAGTTCAGTTGTCAAGTAGTTTCACTAATTCTCTCCACCCGAATTCTATTTCCTAGAGGTGAACTGCCACTTGTCAGTAACACTCACAGAGTCATTTTCATTGTGATCATTTTGTCTCTTTGGGAAATCAATAGATTCAGTACTGACCGTTGCTTTCGGAGTATACGAGAAAAGATGTAACAACAGGGCGGCGGCGTGACTAAGTCAGATTTAGGAACGGTCTCGATAAAAATACTGACCAACAAAAACCGCTTCCAGGTGGGGAACGTTGAATTCGCTCTTGTTCGGCAGAAAGGGAGGTGTGTTCTAGGTAAATCCGTTGATGTAAGACATAGGAAACCCCTCACAAATAAAATGAAATATCCCATAGTGACGTCCAGAACAATGACATCAGCGCTACCATGCGTTTTGGAAACCGAACTAATTCGACCACTGACAGACGTGCCGGCAATTTCAAAATGTAATTGGTTATAGGCTTTTTATTATAAAGAAAGAAGGACTGTGTATAATGGAACTTCATCAGCATATTGCCTTGTATTCTTCCTGAGATTTTACCTGAAATCTTTGAAGTCCAGTAACATATTTCCATATATCAAAGCAATTTAACCTCGAATTTCACTTAGCAACATATTTCACTACCACCACTTGGAGTCCAATAAATGTCACTTCTTAAGTTAATTAAATCAAAGGATATATATTGTATAACATTCCTTCCCTAACTATATTTGGGATATGATTGAATATTGATGATGCATTTCTGAAACTGTTCCCACCATTTTACTAAAAAATAAAAAATATCAACTACATCACATAAACAATAACAACAGCAGTAATGGCTGCACAAAAATAATGGCAGCTGACATGAAATCTCGACATCATCCATCTAATAGCCACCTATCGGATTCGAAGCTTCACTATTTCAGTCGGCCATGACAGTTTCTGTACGGAACATATGAGATTTCATTCTATTTGAGGGGGGTTTTCTATGATGTAAAGGAATGAATTCCACTGTCAGTAGTTTTACGGACACTCTTCAAAATAGTCTTGATGTGGAAGTTGAAGCAAATTTTCTAGAGGTGAACTGCCACTTGTCAGCAACACTCACAGATGAAATTCATTATGAATATTTTGTTTCCTCAGAAAATCTGTAAGTACTGACAGTTGTTTCCAGAGTATAGTTAAAGCTATTAAAGTAGGGCGGAGGAGTGACTAGGGTCAACCTAGGAACAGATCTATAGAAACAGACGGGTTTCAAGTACCTATATCGTATTATGAATTCGACTGTCAGATTTGTGTGTCAGTAGTTTTACTGGTTCTGCTCCGAACTAGTAGGCCTACCTGAGGTGAAACTTGAAGCAAATTTTCTAGCATATTAATGCCACTTGTCAGCTATACTTTCAAGAAAAATTTGTCAAAACGAAGGAAAATCAGTAATTCAGTACTGATGCAGCTATACTTCGGATTATGATCAAAGGTATTTCAATGGTGACATTGATATCATCGGCGCAACCACAAAATATTTGTCAATCAGTAAATGTGCGAGGTTTATTATTTCTTGGCGGGAATGTTTGCGCACAAACGTCTTGCAATTGAATCATCAAGTATTTTAATTTCCACCATACAGTCTCTATTCCATTCCAAAACAAATCTATTCAGGAAACACAAAATTATCTCAACAAAGTGTCATCTGATCACGTCATCAATGCAATTCACTTAAAGAAACGACTGATATATTCTAGGACTTCTTCAATCGACCTCAAAGTTCAATCTGATACGAATTTTAATCTGAAAGATTTCAAAATTATATTGGATATCAAAATTTCAGTAGATCTGACATATTTTATCATCTTTCCATGTAACACTTTCTTAGATCTTTTTATCCCTGAAAGGTCTGTACAACATCTCAGTACATATTCCTGAGGTCAGAATAAGTCGATTTGAAGCAACTTAGCTCAGCTCGAAATTGTTCCGTTTCGGAGATGCAGAGTGGTAAAGTTAAAAGATTAAAATCGAATTTTTCAGAATTTATGGGCATTTTGAAACGTATCACTTCAAAATTTGCTATCCGGGGGTTTTTTGAAATGCAAAACTCAAATGCGGACAGGACTAGGCCGGGAAGTATCACATCGTTGTTGTCACTGTGAATATGAAAATCTTGGTAGATATGGTTTTGATAAATGCAGATGATAATTACCATAGCAGCAAAATATCAGCTCACAGCTATTCGACATGAAATTAGTTGATTTTTGAAGGTTTGGTTGCAATTAACGCAATAAACTATCGAAAGCAGCTGCGATAGTGAGTTTGAAAATGTCCATACGAAATTTCCAATGTAATTTCACTGTTGCCAATAGAGGGCGCTTACGAATGCACTTCTTATAGTTTACAATGGCCATTACTTTTTTCTCAGTGTAGTTTCTCACTTTTTCCGGAAATAATGTTCCCCAACATTTTCAATCAAAATAGATACTTTTTGGATGTATGACAAATTGATATTCATCATACAGGACGTGGAAAGAAATTCTGAACGAGAATGCAAATTCTCAACTTGAGAAGATTTTGTTTTCAAATTCTTGTCGTGTGTGTTCAATAGATATAATTCAATGTTCGTCGTGGCGAGTACCCAGGAAAGTATTTGTTTTCTGTTGAATAAACCGAGAAAGAATTGATATTTTCATCACATAGAGAAAGCAAATTCTCAATGTATTTCTTTATTCATATATATATATTTATCCACTTTTTTATGTTCATAATTTATCTGAGAATATTCCTTTCCAGAAAAGGTACTTTGGTGAAAATCCGCTAATGTAAGCCGATCTTGGGATAGTTCGTTTTTAGTGTTCGATGCCGCACCAGAATATTTGAATTATTTTGAATAAAAAATGTTTTGCTGTTATCTTCGTGGATGTTATTTTGTCAGTGAATTAGCAGTACAAAAATGGATTTTTCACAATACTTTTTCGGAGTGTACTTTTTTTAACCTTACCACCCTGTATCCCGAAAACCTCGTAATTTCGGATTTAGGTAAGTTGCTCTAAATCGACTCATTTTCTCTTTTTGGAAAAGCAAACAGATCACCTGGACGGAAATACCGAATATAATAATATAGAATAATGACTATTAAACATCAAATTATTAAAAGAATCAGGTTCATAGTAGTGAGGCTTCAGTTTCGAAAGCATTTTGGAGTAAGAAGTATGAAAGTTTGTTATTGAAGATACGGAAAAAGCACTCCCTCATTGGTCAAATCCAGTCAATGAGCATCATCAGGTGCCGATGGGCCTGTTTCAATGTTGATTAATTTGAAGTAATAATCCAAACTATAGTACATTCCAGTTGAGAATAGAAAGTATTCGCGGGAATCAATGTTACCAGGTGGCGCTCGGTGTTCATTGTTCCATGTCAAAGCCACGTCAAAACTGGGGTAAAACAAACTCAATCCTCACTCAATGTACTCAATCCCATTAGTGCCATTAGCTTGTGTAATGTGTACTGATAAGAGTGATAAGTTTCCAAATTTCTTGACATTAATTGTCAATATTCGATCGAAAACGCTTATGCTGCCTGTTGTAGATGTTCTTTTGGCAGATATTTCGCTCTATTTGGATGGTAAAAGCCGACCAGTAGTGAAAGGAGAAGCAGTTCTCCGTGCTAATCATGTGATTTTGAGGCAGAAGACTTCAACAAAAGGCACATTTTTGCACTTTGTCTACAAACTTCGGCGATGAAATCTCCCCCTGTAGAACAATGGATTTGTATTTGTTCATGCAAAGCAGGACAATCTGGGTATTGTAAACATGTTGTAGCAGTTCTTTTATATGTCAATTGATTTGCTCGTCATAATTAGTTTGAATTGTTTGAACTATCTCCAATTGTTCACCCGTTCACTGTTCACTAAAGTAATGAAAATGTAATAATGTAAAAAAATTAAACATCTCAACCATCATCACTACCAACAGTGCCAACACTTTATGCCATTGACAAGTTTGACTACGGCTACAGCAAGCTGAATGCAATGTAGTCTATGCACTTTATCCATAGACAACAGTTTGTTTTCCCCCAGTTTGAAGTTCGTATTATGTAACCTAGATGTCGCCCACTTCGTGAATCTCGCGAATAGTGAGATCTGGAATCTGGATGGTTTAAACTCGCTTTTCATTAGTCTTAAACGCCAGACGAGTTTACACTAGCGATTTCGTTATTGATGATGAACAATGGAAGTGTTTAGTTCACCGCCTATTATCAATCTAAAATAAAGAAAGTTTTGATTATTGTCGATACCGGTTAACTAGCCACAAACCCCAAGATTCTATAGATACCATAAATTCAATTTCGGCAATCAATATTGATAGTGAGTTATTCACTCAAAATCTAATGATTTCATTCATTTTGTAATCTGCAAAATGAATTATCGATGTCAGCTACACAAATTAATTGGTTCATCACTAAACTCTGCAATCATTCTGAAATAATTGTATTAGGCGGATTTCCTGGTGTAAAGCGGGCTTTGATAATCCATGTTCTACTGTATTCTCATCTGGAATATACTCAATTTCGGCAATCAATATTTATGGTGAATTATTCACTCAAAATCTAATGATTTCATTTATTTTGTAATCTGCAAAATGAATTATCGATGTCAGCTACACAAACTAATTGGTTCATCACTAAACCCTGCAATCATTTTGAAATATTTTTATTTGGCGGGATTCCTAGTATAAAGCGGGCTTTGATAATCCATGTTCTACTGTATTCTTATCTGGAATATACTATAATTTACTGCTCACCGAGGCTCTGTACATTTTCCAAATTATTGAAATTCACGATATTTCGATAGGTGCTTACACGTTACCCAGAAAGTTAGTGTTTTTGAGAGGTGATTATGTCCCTAATCGTAAGAAAATAATGAATAACTAGCAAATACTATCGATACATGGTGCAATCAATATAAAATAGATGAAAAGGGGAAGCTTTCGTGACTGTTTGATAGGTTATATTCTTGGAAATATTCGTGGGAAGCAGTCGAATGTGACCAATATCGGTTAGATTTATTCGTGTCGTAAATTTGATTAATGTGTACACACCCATTTTTTATACGAGGTGTTTTTGAAATGAGTACATATATTCAGCACATCAATACAATACAGTCTGAGGAATATTCTCATGATATCAGATTTGTCTCTAATTCTTTCCATTAACGAAAAATAAAAAAATAAAATTTAAGAAACTCTTTAAAAACTTCCCATCAATCAACACGAAAACTATTTTTCGAGCTATAGTTTGCCCCCTAACCTCTACTCATTCCTGTACCTCGCGCTTTCTGAAGGCTATTTTATGCAGACACTCTGTGCCTGTATTATTTTATAATAACCCTGATAATGAAAGATCTATCATGTCTCAAAACGTATGGAAGTCAAAAATTCCTTAGGATATTCTATTTTTGTTCATATAAACATTGGTACTTCAATTTGCATATCCAATACAATCGACATGTTTGAAATTGAATATAGCATTCGTTTAAACTTTAAACTGGATGGAAGGTCTAAAAAATGTCAGTCGATTGAAATACGGAAATGCTTACCTGGTTACTTTGGCACAATGGTCACCATTTACTGTTATACCTTCCACCGAACCCTATTTGCTCAACGTCCTTCACCTTTTTCAGAAACTGTGTTAGCATCTTCAGATGATAATAACACTATATACCAGATGTGTATATCGTAAAACTAAAGGAAATGACAGCTTGAAATCACTGTACGTAACTATATCTACTTCTGTATGGTCCTAGATTTCCAACATCATCAACTTGTTCTATCAATTTGTGTCGCAATCGCTACAACATATTATGAGGGTCAAAGAGACTCGTCAAAACTAGGTTTCTTAGGTTCCTGTAACATCTAGCAGTTCTAATGTAGGTACCTATAGTTGCATATAAAAATCAGGTAGTAGTGGAAAATAATTCATCTAACCACAATGCTCACACGTACATCATAACCTTAAATTAATCAATCAAGTCGGTTTTGGAGGTGTTGGAGAATGTCATCGTCCATCTGTTTATGCCTCATATTTTCTTTCGTTTTTTTTTGCCAGCTGTTGGAATCGTCTCGTAAAATCTAATGGTCAGCAGACTGACTCACTGGTCAGTGCTCAGTTAGTATGAAAATGTTATTTTATGAGTTATCATCTGTCATTTGACTTATCAGTTGATATTACGACGTTCCTTGCATGCGAAAAATTATCTATACAAATAAATGTAACACATTTCAAAATTTGAATCTTTTCTCCCTTTGTGAACGTAAACGTTTTAGAATCGGTACTCCAGCTTCATGGGGAGAAAACGTGAGTGATGTTATTTATTCATCAAAATGACTACATATTCCATTCTTGCAGACTCCAAGACTCATAGAAAGAATACTCGGGAAATCCAATAGTTCATCTAACTGAAAGTGTTGATATGTCAGATAAATTTACTTCAAGAAGAACAAGTATAAAATGGCTGACACAAAATACCATCAAGGGAATTAAATGATCATGACATTCTGATTGATGCATATTTTGTGGCATAATGTGTTACTGGTGTGCCTACAAAAATCATTTCAAATAATTTCACAATGCCGTAGAGAACAATCATTAATTTAGCTGGCAGCTAGGCAGCTAGTGGGTAAGAGAATCTGATATTAGGGGTTTAAAGTTGTTGAGTAGTCTGATTAGTCTTATTGACAGTATTTTCCTTGAGTAGGCTTCATTTCGTTTAGGGCACAAGTTTCGTTGCAATAATGTTTTTTTTCATGTATGTTTCGATGACTGAATGAAACGATATACATGTATATTTTATACTATTGGTGATTTTTAATATAAAATTTTCTTTGGTTGAACATTTTCATATTTATTAATCATTTCATGGATTTCTATTTTTCTTGTACTCTAAGATTTTCAAAGATTTCGCTAAAAGAGCAATAATTTGGCACAAATATTATCAGCAACTGATATCTTTCGAATTGAAACAAGTTTGTTCTCTCAATATTTAAAAAATAGTTGAAAATGTATCACAAAAAATTTAAATCTGAAATAGAAAAAAAATATCAATTTGTAATATTTTAATCGATCCTTAAGAGAGTATAATAATTTTTCAATGTCTTCCAACTGATTTCTGAAATTTTCAATACTGATTCCAGTTTTTTGACTGAATTAGTGGAGCAATTCATCTCTTATACTGTTTCAATGATAACCTTTTGAGGTAGTTTTTTAGTATTCAATTAATTTCAAAACTATATTGCCCTTTTATAAATATCCTATTGTGATCACATTCTGATCTGATTATACTTTTATTTAATTTATTGTTAGTGAAAATTGATTACAGAATATGTTTTTTCTCCGCACAACCTACTCTACATTGTATTATATAATTTTATTTATTCAGCTTTTTGGTGCTATTATATTATTAGAACTTTTAAGGAATATGTACTACAAATACCAACTCATTCATGTTCATGGTATAATATTATGAATATTGTGTGCCATAGAAATTGCAGTACCCCGGATGTTGTGATTTTGAAGAAAAAACTAGTGGAGCGTTGGAATTTCTATATCATACAATATATTATAGGTATATGAGTAACTATAAATTCACCAAAAATGGTCTGTTAACAACATACACATATTACAAAATGTATTAAACAGTTACATTAAAGTATTAAGATCACAGATCGAAGGTATAAGTCAATGTGGTTGTTTCACATTTCATGAAAAAAATTATATAATTCGTGTGAATGTTTGATGGTTCTGAAAGTGATATGCAGATTCTTCAGAACGAATTAGGAAAGTATCATACAACTATCTATATCGTTAAAAGTGTATAAAGTATTTATTTTGAGTAGAGTGAATCGTCCTACTTAGCCTTTCTAGTGGTATTCATTGACTATTGTATATACAGTTTTGCTTTTACATATCCTGTTGTAGGTAGTGATTATTTTTGAATATAGCATTTATTGCTGATTAAATACATTTTGGCAATAAACGATGTTTTTCAGTTGACAATATAACCCATGGGCTGGATCAAAATATCACAATTAATCTACTTTCATTTATAATACAATTTGATGATGAGTTCTGCAGTATATAACAGGGTGATTCAAAAGTACTTTGACAAATTTGAAGAGGTGGTTCCTCACATTATTCTAATATGAATGGTCCAAATAATGGTACCATGTGAAAAAAATTGTGTGTTTCCATTAGAGACAAAAAGTTGGTGTCGACTTTTAGCACAATTTGTTTAGCTGGAGGACTAAAAATATTCCAGGTAGATTGGATATGATCAATTATAACACCAGTAAAATTTTCACCCAGTATAACTCCCAATGAACCCAGCATGTACAAATTCCAAATATCAAGATCTATCAAAATTTGCAAGAAAATACACGGGACCACATTTAATTTGAAAAAGTTGAGTGTATTTCCTGTTGAACCGGAAGTTCATTATTAACAAGAACAATCACATCACAAACAAACCACAGAATATGGAAGGCATTTTCTGGATTGAATACTTACTGTAGATGACAGAGAAACAACACACAACTGAAGAATCAGATAATATGCGGATTATTTTTGAATATTCGCATCATGAGTAGATGATACAAGGATTCGACGATGCAGGTGACAGCCGATATTAAAGTCAGGGAGTTAGGTTGACAATGTAGTTTTTCTTCTTCTTTTTGTATCTCTGGGAAATTAGGAATTACACTTTTGGTCGTGCCACAAAATAATTTGGGATTAAATAAAATCTCGATCATTATTAGGAATACTTAGGAATACGAATAATTTTTATTGGTACTGAAGCATCTTGCAAATATATAAGTATTCGATAAGTGGTTATTAGGGACCTGGTCGAACTATTGTCTTCTGTGAATGTGAATGCTATTGTCATTGGTCATATTGAGTCTCATTAGGTAGTTACCTACTAATTACAAATCTGACAGCGTCGAAATATGTAGTGATACTTTTTATGCTAACCGAATTCCGGGTTCATGATGTCATCGAATATGGCGTTTTTCGAAGTCGCCGAATTTGAATATTGAAAAAAAATATTTGCGATGATTTTGAATAACGAATGATTGCATCTTATACTATTTGTACACGGAATGATCACTAGAAAATAGGTATGTGGCAAAAATTCGACTAGTGTACAACCCCATTTTAAATTTGATGACGAATTTCATTCAAATTACTTGGAACGTTGCATAGCAAAAAACTTTCCTGTCTAGGCAGAAAAATTACACCTTTCCTGCCTCTTAAGTCTCAGAGAAAATCCACTTTCTATGCCGCTTGAAGAAAATAGTTATTTGTTTTACTAGGCTAGAAAGCACAAGATTCAATACCGCGGCTGATAGTTAGGATAGATAGGAATTCAGCCAAGGCATTAAATCAGCTTCTCTGCCGTGTGAAACATATAATTTCTTCTCCAAATTCGTCCAATTTCACCCAAACTCCTAATAATCCACGATTTTGTGTCGTCAATTTTGATTACCAATTTGGTTCGAAATATTACTTGGCATGTTGCATAGCAACAAGTTTTTCCTACTTATAGGCAGTACTTTTCTGCCTAGTCAGACAAAGTACAGGGTGATTCACCATAAATGTCCCCCCCCCCTCTAGCTCACTTATTTTTGAACCAATTTGAAAATTTTGAAAATAATCTGAAATTATTTTTCAGAAATTTTTTTCCCGTTGCATCAGAAAATACAGGGTGCTCGGAACAAACGATCAGCAGAGTACTTCTTGATTTTTTCAAATGGAACACCCTGTATTTCAGTGTATTTTTAGATTCTTCCTGAAGAGCTGATTTCATCAATGCATCACACTTGGGGTCTAGCGGGAATGATTACAGAGATATAGATGTTCAAAATCGATATTTTTGAACTTTAGGGTTTTTTGTGTCGAAACTATTCATTATAGGTGTAGGGTCAGGGTCAGAATCAGTCCCTCTTATAAATATGAATATTTGTGTAAAAATGATTTTTTTTGTAGTGGCCCGTACTCGGCTTATAATTTTCCCGATTAGGCCCTGTGCCCTTCAAGTCTGAGCATTCCTGCTCCAGGCACTAGCTAGAAGTTCAATACTATTAGTTATCATGAGTCATGAGGTGAGTCGGCGAGTGTATATTTGCAACTGATCAAACAACCAGAATTCAACTATTCTAAATGCACACGTGAATATTTATTTTAAACATATTTTAATCTGATAGAATACAATTCAGTTGAAGAGGTATGGACTAGTATGGAGTTTATTCCAGTATAATTTAGATTACATTCCAGTCAAACCAGTTTCATAATTCATTATAAATAAATTAAGACGAATAATAATAATATATGATCATTTATTATAAATTGAATGGTTTTCGTTCTGACAACCAATATTTCGAATGAACAAATCCATTGAGATAAGCCCAATAAACTTATCAGTTTGTTCCACTATACAGTAGATAGTTGGATATTACAGGGTGTGAAATATATGTATTCCACAGTGGAAAATATATTTTTCTACAAGCGTGCGTGATTCACCCTATACCCGCACGCAATTTAGTTTGGGAAGTGCCATTTAAGTATGTATGTTCAGAATCATCCCTCAAATTACAATATTTATTATGAAAATTAAATATTGAAAAATGAAAATTGATTATTATAAAAATCCCCCTATAGATTTGGATTAATCTGATGGGAAACGATTATTGTTGTCATGCCAATCAAACCTCAAATGAGTTTGTAATTGTCGAAGTGACAGACACAGCGTTACTGTCATTTTCGATTCAGTGGAATTGCCACAATGTGATCAAAAACTTCCAGCTATAAGGTGCAACAATAAAAAAATGAAAATACCGAATAAAGAAGATGTATTTTTGGGTCATTTCCTAGAAGTGTCTGAAACCTAGAGACCAAACACCATATGGGCCTGCTGGCTTCCGCAATGAACCTATACATAATGCGTCAAACTGTAAGTTCTATTACTAATAATCAGTAGATACTTAGATAGAGAATATATATATATCGCTTGTTAGTTGTTTCTATATGAATGACCCTAACAACACCAGTACATCCTAGGGACTTCCCATGGACGTCCCTGATTTTATACTAGGACATCCCAGGGATGTCTTTTGTGGGGACAACGTACATACTAGGGATGTCCCAGGGACATCCGCTGGCCGCTAAAAAAGGCATCCAAGGGATGTCCTTCTGGTACGTCCCTGGGATGTACCAAGTACGATGAAAGGATATCCCTAGGACGTCCCAAGGATATCCCAGGGACATCCTTTCGACAAAAGAAAGAAAGTTGCAGGTCGAGTAGGGATTGAACCCGGGACCTTTGGCTTACCATGCACGCACCTTGCTCCATTGGCTATCATGCCTCCTAAAGATTTATGTACTAAACAGATTTATAAACAGGACTTAACTACAGAAACCTGAATAAATACAACATTATTAGGAATTGGGTATAATTATTATCATTCTTGGGTGTTTAAAAATGAGGGGCATTATGCATGTACGATTTCTGTCTGCGAAAAATGGTAATGTCTCAAGAAGTTCTGAGACTTTATTCTTTATTTTCATTACAATCATTTTCCGGAAGAGAAACAAACATTTTCAAAAAAATTCAACTCAATAGTTTGATGAAATTCAATGACTCTGATGTGAATGGATATCAGATACTCCAGGGACACGAATAGGACAACCTAGGGATGTACCGGGCGGGATGTCCACTGGACAACCACTGCAGGACATCCCCTGGATGTCCCAATCATGTCCTTGTACCCTGTGTTGTTAGGGGAATAATTAATTGAACAAATCAATCAATTTCCTACGCTTGTAGAAAAAATATTGTTCCTAACTCACTTGTTAGGAAAATTACTATTCTATTTACTTTTACTTCTTGTTATAATTTTGGTAAAAAAAATAAGAGCATTTGACGAAGCGAAGAAAACTACTTATACATGATACCAGTAGATTAACTCATCGGTAACAATATTTTAGGAGGCCATGACTAAGAAGTTCATGATATCAAAATTGTTATTGGTAATTCTCTTGTTGTTTTTTGGTTAGTAATTAACATTATTACTGCGATTTTCAACTGTGATTTTAAGAAATGGCAAGTTATTATGCAGAGATGTTTCCCGCTCGACACGTTCCAAATTCTAGAACAATGTTGAGGATTTTGCGAAGATTGCGTGAAAAAGAATGTTTCAAAGCGAAAAATAGAGATGGTGGCCGGCCAAGAAGTTCGATGCCTCCTAAAATATTGTTACTAAAGAATGTATCTGCGGGTATGTCCCTACAAAAACTCAATTATCTCGAAAACGGTTCCATTGTTTGTAGTTTGTGTTTGAAAATTGTAATTGCAATTTGACAATAGCGAAATGGTAATAAATCAACGACGTGGATTATGAATTGTGGACTGTATTTCTATATAAATTGTATGTGTAGAATCCCAATCTTGACAATATATTGACAATGTATATTATTTTTTTTAATTAGTTACAACCACAAGAACAAATGATTTCCGTTGAGGCGTTGCAGGCATCATCTGCATCATTCTTTTGAAGTAATCGAACATCTTTCAGTCTAATTCTGTGATTTGATTTTCAAAAAGAGCGAATTTAGTGGTTGTTAAGTCGTAACCGCAAAGTCGAATGGAAGATAAAAGGACTTGCGCAGTTCTTTCTCGAAGACGGTGTTATTGGCTTATTTTTCGGAACTATAGCACAACAAAAAGCCATCAACAGTGTATAAATATATTTGATATTTATCCAGGAAAAAAGTTCTCACTTTTTTTTTGTAGGAAAAAAGTGATTTACGAAAAGTGACATTCTATAACTTGTCCATATAGATGAAATTTCAAACTTTTTTCCGGTCACAGGAAAAAACTGTTTTGATTTGATCGAATTTGGAAGGATATTGTTTTATTCGAATTGAGCATACATTTTTCGGATGTGTGTGACTGAATCCCGCCCTTTTATACCGTGGTATAAATGAAGACATATTATTGTCATTATTTTCATTATTATTATATCTTCCTTAACACTCTGACTGCCATGTCAGTCGATTTCGATTGACAAGAATTTTTCCACTGAGGCCGCGGCCATTTTTTGTGAGCGCGCATCTCCAGGCCGCGCGTTTTTTTCAATGCTAACGGTACAGAAATACGTCGTTTCATGCTTATTCAGTAAGTTTTCAGGGTATTCACGTGAGGTTTATACAGGGTGTCTGTAAAAGGTCTTCACAAAAGCATACCACATATTTCTTAGACGTCCATGTGAAATTACCTCAGTACAAAGTTGCATCGTTTGGGCTCCAGAGGGCCTTGAAGTTACAATTTTTAAATCGTTTTTCCCATATAAATTTAAAACGGCATATGCGATTTTGCTGGAATTTGGTATATTGATAGAGTTTTATGTGGCAAAGAAATTGTGTTAAAATTTTGTCCGATAATAATACATAGGCGTAGAACTTGATTTTTTAAATAATTGTACCTTTGAAAATTCTACGCCAATGGAAAAAAAGGAGTTTGAGTATGAAATTTGGATTCTATTTCAATTTTGAACATCATTTTCTCTTCGAAAAATAAAAATATGTAGAGAACGTGTTTGAATAGCTCACAAAAATAAAATAAAAAATTTTGGATTTACATGGACATTTAAATAGTCCCGTCTGTGAGACGTATAGTTAGTGACAACGTTATATATTTGGAACGTTAGTAGTTAAGGGTTAACATGAGTCTGATCTCGATTAGTAGCAGATCTACATAGGGTTAAATTTTAATTATTTCTTTCTATGAATCAAAATATCTTGCTCACTATCCTGAAGATATCAATTTGAAATTTGGTGTGGTTGATACTTTCTAGAAATTCAGCATTTCGAGCAATTTAGATATTTTTATCTACATGGTGATACGTTTTTGGAGGTATAGGCTTCTTTATCCCCCCCAAACTTTTTCGTTTTACGCCTTTTGACATTTTCCGGTTACCAAATAGGGTGGATCGTACAATTTAGAGGCTTTTTTGCTTCTCAATTTCTTTCAAGATACGAACCGTTTGAATTGATCACCTTTTGCAAGAAGATTATTCCCGACAAGTTGAAATTTTATATTTCATATTGAAAAGGATATTGGATGAGGAATATGGATACAACTGGATGGGGCTTAACCAGAGGCTCAACACGAATTTTCCGCGTTGGCTTTGGATTGGTCGGTTAAAGGCAACCTTTTATCCTCTGTATCCTTTTATTTATCTGGAAAACGGTGCTTTTCTCGAAAAAAAACTAAGATGCAGATAAATTCTTTAAATTGAACGATTCACCCTATTTGATAACTGGAAACATGTCAGAGGTGTCATCTACCCTCAAAAATCTTTGAAATGCTTCATTTGATGATCTTCAGAAGTGAGGAGTGATTTCAATTGATCGAAAAAAAACCTAAACTTTGACCCCCTGTATCTTCGCTACTGATCGAGATCGGACACATAATCACACTTTTTTTATCAAAATGATGAGATCCATCACCCATTTCAGTTTGTACCTTGAAACCTGAATCACCCTGTATAATTTGAAAAGACCAAAGAAAATCGTGCGTTTCTAGATGGGGAGAAGAGGTAGGTATTGGAATTTCTCTTGAACTTCTGAATGGTGTAGGTATTTCCGGTTTTGTAGAAAATGTCAACAGAAGTATTTCAATTGATGTGTTACATAATATGCAAATTTACCTAGGAAAGTAATTCTATAACCATTGAGAAAACCTCAAATAACGTTTGTACCTGCCTATTGTATTTGTTGGATTTGTTATTCATGCTTCATTCTTCTAAGAATTTTACTACCCATAAAATTTACCAGACATTCTCTCACCATTACTGATTTCGAAGAATAATGATTCCGTTCCATTCACATCTATAACTGTTTAAATATTTTGACATGGATAACGAAATGATAAACCCAAGAATCTAAAAGTCCCTTATCAATAAACGTCAGCATTGACTATCGCGAACTGAATCATAATTCCATTTAACTTGATCCAGTACGGCGATCACCCTATATAATGTTTCTCCAAGAGATGTTAGTGAAAGAGATACCACTAAGTTCGCAGTGCGAGATAAGCTGAGAAGAAATACGGAGGATAATCATTAAATAATAATAATAATTTGGGATTGGTGTTCGTGTGAAACTGAGTGTTCAACTTTTTTTCAGCTCTCTAGCTTCAGTTTATTGTGGTGCATGAAAATGAACGATTTAGTGATACTTTCATTATTTTTTAGTGTGTCAATTTTTGCACATGGTAAGTATCTATGTCTTAATATTCTTATCAATATATTAACTTTATCAAATTGCGTATACTGATCTATTGATCAACAATTTAATATCACTTATTTGTGGAATTATGTGGAGTTTATTTATGTTAGTTATAGGGTGATGGTCATTAAGCATAAACATGGTAGGTATGTAAGGATCAAAATTGACATTTTGATCCGAGTGAAACATGCAATTTTTTCTGCTACTATCTATCATTGATAAGATACCCACTATTGTTGCTCAAAACTGACCCATTTTTATTCCCTAGGAGTTGAAAAACTTCAAATTTTACTTATATGTGTTGCCCAGCAACATAAGTTCAAAAACTGATTTTGGTATAGAAAATTGACAAATTTTGAGCTATTCAAAAAAAGAATTCAGGGTAACACCAAAATAAATACTTATATTGAACATGGCAATGTGCTTTAGTCTTGGCATGGCTTCAGTGAAACCCACAGAAATATCCCAAATAATAATTTTTCGCAAGTCTTTCAAACGCGTATGGCTTTTTTATCGCTTATAGCGCACGAAAGGAAATCCCTATAATGCTATAATGTTCAAAGAACATCGTGCGTTCCTAGGGAGGATAGGGACAGGAGGTAGGTATTGGAATTTTTTTTGAGCTTCTGGAGATAATATGTTGTTGGGAATACTTCATCAGGCGATGAATTCCAGAGCCTAGCCGTTCTATGGATGAAGGAGTTTTGATAAAGTCGTGCTGTTCGACATCTTTCGAGGTTGACTACGAAAGGATGTGCTGACTGGGCTTGTCTAGTTCGTCTGACTGGTATTGCTAGTGAAGGGATGGTAGCAGATATTTCCGAAGAACATTTCCCGTGGAGGTATCGATAGAAAAGTGAAAGGTCGCCGACCTTTCTACGGTGTTCCGATAATGTCAAAGAGTGAGTGAGTGTGGCGTCACCCACCAGGCGAATGGCTCTTCTCTGGATGGAATCTAAGAGCATCAGCGTATGTTTTGGTGCTGAACCACATATGTGGGAACAGTATTCTAGAACAGGCCGTATCTGCGCTTTGTAGATCATGAGAAGCTGTTGAGGTGTAAAGTAGCTTTTCGCAAGGAACAATAAGAATCCGAATTTTTGTGAAGCACCTTTCGCGATGGATCTGACATGATTATCCCATGAAAGAGTGTTGCTGATGGAAATACCGAGCATATATATGGTGGGCTTGGTGGAGATGGTGGTGCCAGACATTGTAATATCGGGCATACTGAGTTCCGCCTTTCTAGAGAAAATACAGATGGCGTTGGATTCAACTAGGTTGTTGGTTCCCCAGGCTGTGATTTCAGCAAGGTCTTCATTGAAACCATTGACCTGCCTGCGCCGTGAGTTCTTAGTTTCCTAGGAAGAAATGGGAATTCTAGAAGAGAACGCAGTATGGAGGGTACTATCATCTGCAAAGCTGTGGATGGGGCGAGTTGTTACTCCCAACAGATCATTGATATGAAGAAGGAATAATATGTTGGTGTCAAAATTGATTCTTGTGGAATTGATGCCAATGGTATCAGACGATACACCGTCCACCACCACGTGAAGCGATCTGCCTGAAAGAAAACTCGATAAGAGATGGCATAGCTGAGGTGGTAAGCCGTATGATGGTAGTTTGAGGAAGAGTCCTTCTTGCCAAACACGGTCGAATGCTTTCGATATGTCCAACGCGACAGCTAGAGATTCCCCGTGTTTTTCTAATGAAGCTTGCCATAAATGTGTGACGTAGGCAAGTAGATCTCGAGTAGATCTTCGGTGGCGAAAGCAGTATTGTCTATCATTATTGATGATTCCTGAGCTCTCCAGATATTTGCTAAGCTCAATATTGATGGCTTTCTCCATCACTTTGGAGATTATTGATAACAGGGCAATAGGCCTGTAGTTGTTGGGCAGGTTCCCTTTTTTGGGGATTGGTTGGACTCTAGCTGTCTTCCAGCATGATGGAAAAATACCCGACCTGTACGAGACGGTAAACAACTTGCAGATAAGGGGTGTTAATTCTGGTGCACATTTTTTGAGGATAATGGGTGGAATTCCATCAGGACCGTTAGCCTTATTAGTTTTGAGACCAAGCAAAATTCGTCTGATAGTGCGTTGACGGAAGACGATTTCGGGCATTCGACTCTCAACGGGCGGAATGTCTGGCGGCACTTTTCCTTGGGAATCTGAAGTAGAGTTTGCTGCGAACATCTCTGCAGAAATATTTGCTTTCTCCTGCGATGTTGTTGCTGCAAACTTCATTCTCGTAGGAAATCACTATCATTCCGTGCTCGTTGAACAATATACTATTTTCTACTGCTATAACACAAAATTGCTCTCGTTTTACTGTGTTCGATACATCAATGAGGTACTTTGTATGTCATCAATTTTATTTCCGTATCTGATATCACAATGAATGTCAAATTTCAAGCAATGACAGCTCTGTCTAATAGACGAGCATTACTTGACAAGAAATCAGATGGCTACAAGACGAAGAAATCGAAAATGCTGCTGTTATCTAAACTGGTCAACATTGATAACGTCGTGGTCCAAAATATAGCCTGAACTCAAAGTAGAATAACTCACGAATTTCCTCACCAACCTGAAATCGGTTTTCACCGATGATTATCCTAATCTCTTGACAGTTTGTTGTGGAAATATGAAACTTCTGTAATTTCACGTAACATTGCTACAGGGTGATAATTGAATGGGTGTAAAATTGCATCGTGGTCGTCACCTTACCGAGAATTGTGAAATGTATAAATACAGTAACTTTCCATGAGGTTATTTGTACAAGGAAATCTAAAAGAGACTGCAGAATTGTCATAGATTCGATAAAAGGTTGTGTGGTGTTCTTGTATCACTTTGTATAGACTTCTTCAGAATTTTCTATGTTCGAACACAATCACATATCCGACGACTTTACATATAACGTTGATTCTTCGAAAAATAATTCCAACTTCCAATTTCATTCAATTAATCGTCGAAAAAATGCATCATTTTGAATGAATATTCATAACACAATTATCAAAGCTCTGAATTTGAAAATTCCGAAAACGTTTCGAGAGAAAGCATCAATCAAGAGGATACAGGTGAGAAAGAAAATTTAAAAAATTATCTGTTCAAACGGTAAGGTGACGACCGCGATGCAATTTTACACCCATTCAATTATCACCCTGTAGCAAAGTTATCTGGAATTACAGAAGTTTAATATTGCCACAACAAACTGTCAAGAGATTAGGCTAATCATCGGTGAAAACCGATTTCATCATTTTGTGTACACCCATTGTCAGTGTCAATTTTGATTACAAATTCCATTAAAATTACTTATAAAGTATAACTTTCCTCATTCCTGCCTGTTAAGTGTCACAGAAAAGCCACTTTCCCTGCCGCTAGAAGAAAAATGTTTTTCCGGACTGATGACGTAATCTATAATGGTGTTAAAAACTATCTGTAATCTTGAAAGAATAATGCAATAATTATTATAATAACACGTTGTATCTCCTTCTGAATCACTCCTAGTGGATAGCCATAAAGGATTGAAGAACAAAAAACTTGGTATTTCATGGTTTAATGAATGTTTCAGGTAAAACCCAAAATACTTAGCAATGAGTTGACAAACATGAAACATATGCACATATATATAAACTACTCAACACTAATTTCGTCGCACACCAAAATGTCGCCCCTGATATAATGTGAATAACTTTTTTCAGTTCTGAACAATTTGAATTTGGTTCACACTGTTCGATAGCCCAGTCCTTCAGCTATAATCTCGTACTTCATTGAAACATAAGGGTATCCACATAAAATCTCTACATGGTGTTTTCCGACACTGTGCAAAATTTCGGAATATTCAAAAGATTCTCAAATGGTGAAAAAAAATGTTTTCTCAACTTCGACAACAGAGGCACGAAGATGATCTCATTACCTCGAGATGTTTCGCGAATCAACTTCCTATCTCTCTTATTTACAGAGTGATCTCAAAAAATCAACTTTTTGGTTTTGCAGCCATAACTTTTTTCCACGTCAACCGATTTTAGAAATCTTAAGACTCATTTTGAAGATAAAACTTCAGATAAAGAGATGTGAATATCAGAATTGACTCAAGATGGCTATCAGAGATCTAGAGTTTTCTTGAAAGTGACCCAAATCTGGAACGCCCTCCGAATCTCGATTGGGAGGAGCATTGAATGAAAATCAACTTGTTCTCGGAAAAACAATTCATTCTGGATGCGTCCATATTTTCCTCGCTCTCAGTAGTCAAGAAAGTGCATGAGAAAACACAATTGAAACATGTTCTTGCAGAAACATCAGATCATTTTTCCTCTGTAATGCATGGCCCGTAACCAACGTTACAAGAATCACAGTAAGTGACTGACAAGTCAGGTAAGACGTCGTTTTCGAATCCTAAACAGATTTCGATAGTTTCGATGCCGCATCTAACGCGAATGTGGGTGACAACTTTGTTCTCGTTGATGACAATGCGAGACCGCATAGGGTTGTTGGTACATCATATATGATGAGCCTTAGCTGGTCGGGTTTGTCAGTCCAATGTGATTCTTGTAACGTTGGTTACGGGCCATGCATTACAGAGGAGAAATGGTCTGATGTTTTTGCAAGAACATGTTTCGATTGTGTTTTCTCACGCACAATTCTTGACTACTGAGAGCGAGGAAAATATGGACGCATCCAGAATGAATTGTTTTTCCGAGAGCAAGTTGATTTTCATTCAATTCTCCTCCCAACCGAGATTCGGAGGGCGTTCCAGATTTGGGTCACTTTCAAGAAAACTCTAGATCTCTGATAGCCATCTTGAGTCAATTCTGATATTCACATCTCTTTATCTGAAGTTTTATCTTCAAAATGAGTCTAAGATTTCTAAAATCGGTTGACGTGGAAAAAAGTTATGGCTGCAAAACCAAAAAGTTGATTTTTTAAGATCACTCTGTGAATAAGAAAGATAGGAAGTTGATTCGTGAAATATCTCGAGGTAATGAGATCATCTTCATGCCTCTGTTGTCGAAGTTGAGAAAAAAAAATGTTTCACCATTTGAGAGCCTTTTGAATATTCCGAAATTTTACACAGTGTCGGAAAACACCATGTAGAGATTTTATGTGAATACCCTCATGTTTCGATGAAGTACGAGATTATAGCTGAAGGACTGGGCTATCGAACAGTGTAAACCAAATTCAAATTGTTCTAAACTGAAAAAAGTTATTCACATTATAACAGGGACGACATTTTGGTGTGCGACGAAATTAGTGTTGAGTAGTTTAATTCCAGTTAATGGAAAAACCAGACAATTTACGTAACATAAGTAGCTACCTCTACCTCATCAAAAGCAGATTAAGCAGAAGGAATTTCAGAATTACGTGTTGAACTAGAACTATTCAACACGAGGATATGAAAATGATTGTCTCCAATCAAGTTTATTTGTCACAGAAATTCATTACCTACCTATGTGAATCATGAATGAAATCATGCAGCTTATACATTTCTTCATCTTATTTTTCATTCAATTTCTGAGAAAATACACAGAGAGAAGTATTTTATTAGATAGGAAATTTGTTGTTTCTGTTATAGACATATACAGTGTGGCCCATTCAACTCGAAACCAAAGCACCCTTATACAGGATGAGTCATAACTATTGGGACATAGATTAAGGGCGGATTGTTTGAACCAAAATATGGCGATATGATCAAATATGCCCCAATAAAATACTGCTGTGGAAATAGGAAAATACAGAGGGTGATCAGAATTCTGAATTTTGAACCACCCTTATTATCAAAAGTTGAGATTGGGACATGTGAGCCGTTTTGACCGATAAAGAATAGTTTCGACACATATAAAAATCCTGATGTTGAAAAATCTCGAATTTAAACACCTTATATCTCTGTAATCTTTTTCGATAGACCCCAAGTATGAGGATACATCGATAAAATTATCTCTTCGGGGAGAATCTCATTGGATCTTTCTTTTATTTTATTCAGACCAGGGTCCCTCTTATCCTGATATCTATTATGGAACAAAATAAAAACGGTATTGTAGTTTGATGCGAACAGCCCTTCTGCCCCAAATAAGTTTCAGAAATACATTCTGAATTGAAAGAGATCGAACGTAATAAATAAATATCAAAAACTTGAGAATAATAAATTTGGTCACTCGTTTGGTCATAATGTCGATATTTTCTCTAGTTTATGGACAATCTCGGTCTTTTGACCTTTGATTGATCACCTGGGTCATAATCAACTGCATTTCGAAGAAGCTGATTCTCACGAACCTCAGCTTTTTCGAAAGTCTTGATGTTTCGTTATCTAATGACTGACACGATTGAAGGGAGTTTCAGATCCCTGGCGATCTGGTTATTCCGAACATACCAAGGAGATCCTGTCACCATTCTCGCGATTTTGTTCTGTAATGTTTGTAATCTGGTGATATGAGATTTATCTGTGTGGCCCCAGACTACTGAGGCATAAAGTAAAATTGGCCTGATAGCCATGATATAAATATTCAATTTTTGTCTCAAACCCAATTTACTTCGTCTGTTTAGAAATGGATACAGGGCTTTAATGGCTCGTTTAGCTTTTGAAACTTGCTGTTCTATGTGCTGGGCCCAGGTGAGGGAGAATCTAAAAATGCGATAAAATACAGGGTGTTCCATTTGGAATATCAATGTTGCTACTACTTTCTAGTAAAAGCGGCTACACTCCATTGCTGAAAATATTTCAAATATAAGCATGCAGTTTTGCATGGATTTCTCCCGACTGATTCTCGATATAGAAATAGTGTAAGCTCTTCGTGACATACCCTGTATAAACAAATAAACTGTACAATATTTAATTAACCAGTTGTACCAACACAGTAGAGGATAACCAAACTACAAATGCGAAATAATATGTACAGGGTCTTCACGTATACTTTGAACCCCCCCCCTTTACTATTTTATTTATCAACAGTCTTATAATTTTTCCTGTAGATTTCGAATATGTTAACCGAAAAACAATTGAACATCTCAAAAAAAAGTTGTGGGCAAGATGTATAAATTTTTAAATGGAACACCCTGTATTTTATTGCATTTTTAGATTTTTCCTGAATAGCTTCATCAATCTTATCATAGTGGGGTCTAGCTGACATGATTACAAAGATATAGGGTGTAAAAATTGAGATTTTATCAACTTTAGGAATTTTTTGTGTCGAAACTATTCATTATTTGCCAAAAGGGTTTTTATGTCCCTATCTTAACTCTTGATTTATTATCTACTGACTTTTAATTGAAACGAATACAGGGTGGTTCAAAATTCAGAATTTTGATCACCCTGTATGTGTTCCAATTAAAGGTCAGTAGATAGTAAATCAAAACCGTTTCGGCCAATAATGAATAGTTTCGACCTAAAAAATTCGTAAAATTGAAAAAAACCTCAAATTTTCACACCCTATATATTTATCTCTAATCATTTTAGCTAGACCCCAACTATGATAGATCGATGAAATCAGCTCTTCAGGGAGAATCTAAAAATGCAATAAAAATACAGGGTGTTCCATTTAAAAATTTGTAAATCTTGCCCATAACTTTTTTTTGAGATGTTCAATTGTTTTGCTGTTAACATATTCAAAATTCACATTATAAAATAATGTTTTTTGAACGAAAAATTCGATGATAAATAAAATAGTTGAGGGGGGGTTCAAAATACAAGGTTGGGCAAAAGTATGGAACCATGTGAATGTCTCGGTAACCGTTTGTTAGATTTTTTTGGATATATGTACAGGGTGATTTCAAAACGTGGTGGATTTGAAAATGCTATCGTCGATGTTGCCACTTTTTCAGTTATTCCGAAATTATTATCAACTTCCTTATTTCAAATAGAACACCCTGTATTTTATTGAATTCACAGATTCTCCCTGAGAAGCTGATTTCATCGATTCATCACACTTGGGTCTAGCAAGAATGATTACTGAGATATAGGGTGTTCGAAATCGAGATTTTTCAACTTTAGGATTTTTTTGTGTCGAAACTATTCATTATTGGTCAAAACGGCTTACATGTCCCTGCGTAAACTTTTGATGCACTATCTACCGACATTTAATTGAGACAAATACAGGGTGGTTCAAGATTCAGAAATCTGATCACCCTGTATCTGTTTCCATTAGATACCAATAGATAGTAGATCAAAAGTTAGGATAGGGACATGATAGCCGTTTTGACCGATAATGAAAAGTTTCGACACAAAAAAATCCTAAAGTTGAGAAATCTCGATCTTGAACACCCTATATCTCAGTAGTCATTCTTGCTAGACCCCAAGTGTGATGAATCGATGAAATCAGCTTTTCAGGGAGAATCTGAAAATTCAATAAAATACAGGGTGTTCTATTTAAAATAAGGAAGTTGATAATAATTCCGGAATAACTGAAGAAGTGGCAACATCGACGATAACATTTTCATATCCACCAGGTTTTGAAATCACCCTTTACATATATTCAAAAAAATCTAACAAACGGTTACCGAGATATTCACCTGGTTTCATACTTTTGCCCAACCCTGTATAAGTGAAGACCTTGTACACCTAAGGTTTTTTCCAGAATCAACTTTCCGTTTGTCCAAAGAAGCAATACCAGTTCATTATTCGTTAACAATCAGACCAGAATTTGATGAGGAAGTATTCCATGGAGAAGTTTTGATTTATTTAAGGACGACGGATAATCTGCAGAATATTACTTTGCATAGCTCTCAACTCAATATCACCGAGTTGTATATCAATCAACGAAACGCCTCATTCGAACATGGACCAGATGAAAAACTAGTCATTAAATATGAAGAAGAAGACATTCAGCCAGGAGAGCATACTTTGTTCATCAAATATTCTGGAAAGCTGGTGGAAGACAATGTTGGTTTTATAAAAGCCCCATATGAATATAACGGAAAACAAGGGTAAGTGAAGAATATCATGCTAGGCCAATTTTTTCATTATGAATAATACCCCAACTTCGCACCAGGTGACGACACAAATTTCAAAACATCTAAAAACGTCTCCCATCTCTAGCTTCTCGCTCTGCCCCATCGATCTTCGCCTCGAATCTCCGTCATTCTTTATAGCACATTGCTTATTGTCACAACTACTCCTGGGGAAAAATATCGATATATCGATAAATATATCTACTATAGCTATCGATTTATCTATAACTATCGATATAGGTATCGATAAGTATCGAGATCTTCCCAATATATTGGAAACAATGAATTCTTTTTATTCATGTGACTCGGTAGGTATGTAGGTAATTAGGTAGTTTTTATGCTGATAAACACACTCAGTTCCAAAAAAAGTGACGCACTTGATATTTGACCTATCTTCTTAAAAAACAAATAGTAGACCGATTTTATTCATTGAGGTGAAATTTTTTTTAAGGCCTCCTTGATGGTGGTGGAATAACTCGAACCATGATTTATTCTTTTTTTTGACTCACCCTGTGTGTAATTGAGTAATGGTATACAAAGTGCTTACACCCTATACGAAAGAGGCTTTTTTTGCGAGCATTTTGTTCTTTTATTCATTGATTTATCTCTAAAATTTTACGAATTACAGCTTTTTTGCTGATTCCTTACGCTTATCCCACAAATTAAATTTATTGAAGGATCAGAGAACTCAAAATTGATTAGGTTGTACTCTGGTAGGATCACATTGTCTCTGAAAAAACAAATGCCGTTGCCATAGCAACTAATTTGTTGTATGCCTCCATATTTGACCATTTGTCGTTGTATCATTAATTGAGTGTCTTGTTTTATCATTGACTGAAATTACATAAATGCCTCAAATAAATCCTGAACGAGTAGCAAGATTAGTTATTATTTTTTTCATTATTTTCAATTGCATTTCCTCGTTGGATCCAACGCCCCATAAGTCGAAACTTGTGCGAGGTTAGGAAAGCATACATTTACAAACATCCATGGCCTAACTGGGATTCGAACCCATGCCTCGGTGGGAGTCCCCATACGAACTCAGCGCCTTCGCGCTCTCGACTACCGGGCCGCCTGCGCTAGTAAACGATGGGCGTAGTAAACGTTACGCCGCTCGTGCAGTGGGAGTTCATGAAGCAACTGCTCGTAGAGCAATCCGCAAGTACGAACAAACAGGAAGCACCGATCGGAGGGTCGGTTCTGGTCGCCCCCGAAAAACTTCTCCAAGAGATGATCGCTTCTTGAGATTGCGGATTTTACGGAATCGATCAAATACTGCGGTAAATGTTCAGCAAGATCTTCGCCAAATTCGTGATGTTGCAGTGAGTAAGCAGACGGTATGTAGATGTCTGAAAGAAGTTAATTTAAAAGCTAGGAGACCTACAAAAGGTCTCAAATTATTGCCCGAACATCGTGCTGCTAGAAGAAATTTTGTTGAAAATTATGGACTGTGGAATATTCCTGAATGGTCGAATGTCTTGTTTACGGATGAGTCAAGGTTTTGCCATAACATGGTGGATGAAAGAAAAAGAGGGTGGAGAAGAACTGGTGAACGGTTCAATCAAAATTTAATAACAGAATGCGAAAGTTTTAATGGTGGGTCCGTTATGGTGTGGGGAGGGATTTCAATGAATGGAAATACACCCCTTCATGTTTTTCGGGTGAGGCAGTCGATGAATGCCCAAATTTACATTGACATTTTAGAGCAGTATGTCTTACCTTGATGCAGGATAATGCTCGACCACACACCGCAGCAATAGTGCGAAACTTCTTAGAAGCTACTGGTATTACCACATTACAATGGCCTGCGAGAAGCCCCGATATGAATCCTATAGAACATTTGTGGGATGAATTAGGGGGAAGGGTACGTTCTCGCGAGAGATCTCCGGAAAGTCTCGCAAAAATGGCAGATGCATTAGTGGAAGAATGGGATCGTATACCAATGGAAACGATGAGCAACTTAATTTCCAGTATGCCTCGTAGATTAGAAGTTCTTAGAGTTGCTAGAGGAGGCAATACACGGTATTAAGCAGTCATCCTAATTTATAATTTTGTGTTCAATAAAAATGTTTTTTCAAATTATCATATCAGTTTATTTCATTAGAAAATTGTTTCTCGATAAATTCAGAAAGTTGGCAATCTGCAAGGATTCAGCAAAAAAAACTGTAATTCGGAAAATTTTAGAGATAAATCAATGAATAGAAAAACAAAATGCTCGCAAAAGAAGCCTCTTGCGTATAGGGTGTAAGCACTTTCAATGCCATTACTCAATTAACACACAGGGTGAGTCAAAAATTAAGAATAAATCATGGTTCGAGTTATTCCACCACAATCAAGGAGGCTTTGAAAAAATTCCCACCTCTATTTGTTTTTAAAGACCAACAAATAAAAAAAAAAAAAAATCGGTCTACTATTTTTTTTAAAAGAAGATAGGTCATTATATCAAGTGCGTCACTTTTTTTGGAACTGAGTGTAGTTTGGTTGTAGATTTTATAACCTTTGGTTTGGATAAAAAATAAGACTATTTTGAATTAGGCGTGGAAAAAAATCGATATCTTGATATATAATTCCAAAAATATCGATATATCGATACTTATCGATGATAACTTATCGATGGAAATTCACTAATAGTTCCATATGTAACGTTGCCCTGATAATGTTCGTATAGTTTATCCATGTAATGTTGAAATTTTAATGAGAATATATAGTTGATGAAATATTGCTATTGGAACTAAAATGAACGGGTCATTTCGTAACTTACAAACAATTCATCAGTAGGTATTTCTGTTATATTGTCAACACGAATATAGCAGCAACATTGATACAATATTGTATTTTCATATTACGGAAAGAAGCTTTACAATATATTGTGGCAATATTTTGTAACATCACATGTTTAGTTGGTCGGTAATCATAGAAGGCTTAGAAAATCTCTATTTCGGGAATATATTCATTGAACTGTCGTCATATACAGGGTGGAGACTTTAACTGGAATAAATTCGCTACTGGGGCAGTGAATGATTTTTCTGAAAATTCGCAAGACACATCAACGTTTAAATGTATTTACCTATATTTGGCAAGCAATATGGAGAATATAACCCTTCAGGGGTAACTGGAATCAACCCCAATATGATTTTTTTCAAATGCAATCCTATGGCTTGCGATCCCTCATTGGAAAGCTGGTTGAAAGAGGAATCCAGCGTACTGATCATTTTTCAGTTTGCGGTACGTTTGGAGGTCGCATAAAATCCAAATATAATTTCAAAGTTTGATATATTTTCAACGTATTTTCATCAAAATTTTGACTTTAAGTGACAGAGTGATATAGGGCATCTCCACCAGTTTGCAATAATGCTTCGTTACGAACTATGAATACGGCAAAAAAACGAAAAACACTGGAATATAATAGCAGATAGCAATTGTGGCAAAAAATTGCCAGCAATGGGCTTATATCACAAAAAAATTGTATTTCATAATTCGATAGAACTCACCCAAACTAGCTCACCACCGCAAACCGTTTCTTGCTGTGAGCTCCTTATGTTTTATGAAAAAATTATTGAAATCCCCGATTTTTCGGACCTCTGAAAACGAGGCGATGATGTGACGTCAAAACTCTAATACTGAAACAAGACTATTCCAGACAGAGATGAATGATACATGATTTCTGACAGAGTGAATTAGCGCGAGATCACAGTTGAGAGAATTAATATATCAGTTGCCTCAGTCTCCGTCGGGCGTTTGGTATTTTCTTTTAACTATGGCGAGATGAGGTTTCTACGTCATAAGAGGGTCCGTTTTCAGAAGGTACTATTATTTATGTCCAAAAATAAAACATTCCAGTTAATTTTTCGATCGAATTATGTTGTCAATCATTATTTATGTATAAAAGGATCATTATAAACATGGTTTGAGTTGAAAGTTCTACTAAGGTGTACACGCCCATTGTTCAACACACATTTTGAGAGATTTTTACGTTGAAAAAGAATCAATTTTAAAATTACATTTCAATTTTATGCAACCTTTGAACGTATGAAAAACTAAAATTCAAATAGTACGCTGGATTCCTCTTTCCACCAGCTTTCCAATGAGGGGTCACAACCCATAGGGTTACATTTGAAAAAATCATGTCGAGGGTGGTTTCAGCTACCCTTGGAGGGATATATTCTCGATACTGTTTGCAAAAGGTAGGTGAATACATTAAATCGTTGACGTATCCCGGGAATTTTTAGAAAAAATATTCACATTCCCGCTAAAGAATTTATTCCAGTTAAAGTCTCCACACTGTATTGATGTGTTCAATAGTCAGTATATGTTCTCAGCTCAATATCACCTTGTATAGCGCAGATTTGAAGTGAAATCGTTTTTTCTGTGACGGGAAAAAAGTTTGGCATTTCATCTCTGTTGGCAGATTATAAAATGTCACTTTTCATAAATTACTTTTCTCCCGTGGGAAAAAAGTGACTTTTTTCCCGGATATATATCACAAATATACACTGTTGATGGCTTTTGTTTTGCTATAGTTTCGAAAAATGAGTCAATAATACCGTCTCCGAGAAAAAACTGCAAGTCCTTTTATCTTTCTTTTCGACTTCGCGGTCACGTATATTACTAATCAACCACTAAAATTTTTTCAAAATCAAATCACAGAATTAGACTGACAGAAGTGACATCAGATATTTGATTACTTCAAAAGAATGATAAAGATGCCTACAAACCAATACCTCAATCAACGTCCCTACTGTTAAAAACTTGAAATTACTCGTCGATAATTTTCAGATTTCAAAATAATGTGATAACTTCTCAATATTGATCCTACGCGTCGGGAGACAACACAACCTGGAGCTAAAATCTACTACTTTTTTCCCTTGTATACTGAATAACTATTATTTCGATTGTTTGTATTTCTTGTCCTTCAGCATTTGAAAATTTTGATTTGAACTCAGACGGCATGGACTCTCAAATATTTGTTTTAGGTATATTTTCGTGACTGATTTGGAGCCGATAGTTGCCAGAAAAGTATTTCCATGTTTTGATGAACCATCGTTCAAAGCGAAGTTCAATGTACGATTGATTTCTCCAAATGATACATATAAAGCAATATCGAATATGCCTGAGATCGTAAGTACAAAACTTAAATTTACCATGTTCAGTGTGGACTGATAATGAATTTTCCTAGCAAGTGCGGAAAGTCATTCTTTCCCGCTTCGCGTCGTTCGTGTCAACGGCAGTCGCGTGCGGGAAAGACACTTTCCGCATGAGTTAGGAACAATGTTTTTTCTACAAGCGTAGGAAACTGATCGATTTGTTCATTTAATTATTCATTCATATAGGAACAACTAACAATTGAAATATATTCTCTATCTAATGATTATTTGTAATAGCTACTGTGAACTTACAGTTTAACGCATTATGTATAGGTTCATTGCAGAAACCAGCAGGCCCATAAGGTGTTTGGTCTCTAGGTTTCAGACACTTCTAGGAAATGCGCCGAAAATACATCTTCTTTATTCGGTATTTTCATTTCTTTATTGTTGCACCATTCAATAAAACGCGTGTATAGCTTCTCATACCTTTCTTAAGACTTCGTTGGAAATAACGCATCTGTATCGCATCCCTATAGCTGGAAGTTTTTGATCACATTGTGGCAATTCCACTAAATCGAAAATGACAGTAACTGCTAAATCTCATAACTAAGAGATCTAGGATGAACAGAGTTGCCCCTCCTGCTGACAATTGGGGCAACTCTGTTCATCCTAGATCTCTTAGTTATGAGATTTAGCAGTTGCATAGGTGGTGGAAAAATTCCACACAAGTATGTCAGGCCATCTGTCAGCAGAGGGATTTACTTGTAGTACCACTCTGTAGCGTATAGACGTAGGGGTCTGTACGTGTGACTATAGATGGCAGCGCCATACAGTGTATGTCGCGATATCTCTGTATCCTACCTCAGAGCTTTGCCACAAGATGGCTACAACATGACTACAACTTCATGTTATACCCTGCAATGACAGTAACGCTGTGTCTGTCACTTCGACAATTACAAACTCATTTGAGGTTTGATTGGCATGACAACAATAGGTCGCGTGCAAGAACTGTCAGATGACCGACCCTGGAGGCAAAACATATTTGTTTACAAGTGATCGAAATGGTTTTCCACAATTATTTTGGCATATGAATCGTATTTTTCCGCTATTCATCAATTCGCTAATGCCATCCCATTGTGCTGTTGTAAAATGCACAAAAACTGCAGCGGAAGATGAAGAAATCCGGATGGTACATTATGATTCAAAAGTAAGTACCTACTATAGTCACTCACATAGTTTTCATTTTTGAAATTTTGTTATTTCTCTGATTTCTCATCGGAATTCCTTCTGCAATAGGATCAGCTGATAGAAATATACCTGAAATTTTTAGAATAATGCAAGAAGATTGGATTCATGCAATCAATCGGTAGGACTGGTCTGACATGCTGACGATCGTGTGTGTTGTAGACATTTTCATTCTATTAGCAGCATTAGCTTGTATTGCAGAAGTGGCAGAAGGCAGAAGGAATTTTAATAAGTGATGACAACATTTCATAATGCTAACTATGTGAGATTACTATTTACCTGAAAAATCATATTCCCTAGTCTCTTGCTGAATTTTTTGTGCATTGTACAACAGCACAATACAAAGGCATGCTTGAATTGATGAATAACGCAAGAAACACGATTCGTATGCCAAAATATTGTGAAAAACTATTTCAACCTTTTGATTCCTCTGTAACCAAATAAAAAAGTGAGGTTGTGTTTCAATAATTCACAGAAGAATGAGGTTGTGTTTCAATATTTTGCCTCCAGGGTCGGTCTTCGTGCACGCGACCTATAACCGTTTCCCATCAGATCAATCCAAATCTATAGGGGTATTTTTATAATAATCAATTTTTATTTCTCAATATTTCTTAATTTTCACAATAAATAATGCAATTTGATGGATGATTCTGAACATAGATACTTAATACTGCAAGAAAGAAACTCAAACTCTCATATTCCATCACCTATCACTTATATTTTGTCATATCTTTGTTTTTCCCGCACTAGTGTGGGAAAAAATTTTCCCGCAATGTTGCTGGAAAATGACACTTCCCAAACTAAATTGCGTTCAGGTATAGGGTGAATCACGCACGCTTGTAGAAAAAGTGTCTTTTCCGCACGCAAAAACTTATTCGAACTCCGCTCCGCGTCGTTTGCCTAACTGTATTTGCGTGCGGAAAAGTAATACTTTGCGCACTTGTTAGGTAAATAACTATATTGGCATTCAGTTACTCCACTGTGTCGTTGGGGACCTACATTGGTTTTTGCAACACTTCTCGCGCTTTTTTATGTAAATAATCGTTGAATTCCAGAGCTCATTTCAAAAGTTACCGTCATGGCCGCCATTTGGCGATACGTCGAATAAATGGTGACGTCAGTATTTATGCTGTTTCGTTATTGGTCATATAATCTTCTATTCCCACTCAATTAAAATCAAGTTATCAAAAAGAGGTTAAGAATCCTGTCGTTGAATAAAACATAATAGGAGGAAGCCATAATATTGTAGTTTATTCTTGACTTTTTCGAGCAATCAGCGGCATGTCCAAATATTTCTTATACCCCATAACAAAATATCGTGAATGTTGGAGACTTGGCAACATTGTGCTGAATGCTGAGAACTGACAAGACACCGTCCACAATTCGTGCGCCGTGTTGTCACGTTTACCAGTTCGAATGTCCTGTAGCGTGAATCAATATGATTATTATTTACTCAAATGTATTATAAGCAATAAGCCACAACACATGAGGAAACATTTTGAGGAAATTGATTTTTGATTGCTTATTAGGAATATAACCAATACATAATTGAGATTTTCTCTCCTCGTTTCTATAAAATAAAAATATGAATATTATTTCAATATACGTGTAGTAAGGACAAATCAGATGATTTGCCACAAAATGTCACTGCGTTTAAAGAATTTTCCTATCAGAGAGCCTAAAAGAAAAATTCACTAGCTTGTCAGTGACAATTTGTATTGAAAAATTTTTGGAGAAGAGAAATAAAGGTATATAGAAAAAATATCAAATTTTCACTTATCTTTGGACGTTTCGGGACCGATTCTGCTCCCGTTTTCAACATGAAGAGATTTTTTCAATTGCGAAGTCGTATAATATGTCTTGAAGCTTTTCAGTTTTCAATGACAATTGGTGACGTTGGCAATCAAAGGAGTTACAGGATGTTTTCATTAATTAATCTTGAATTTATCATTTTCATGTTCAGATTTTAGTAGTGAATACCATGTTCTGTCTATATCAACTGAACAAGAAGCAATGCTATTGTCTCCGTTCAGAATAATGCAAGCAGATTCGTATCTTCGTTGTCTTCTGGTTGTTATCTTCTTTTCCAATGATTTTAATATTATTCCACTCTGCCATATGCTGTCCGTCTTCAGTAAGGATATGTTCAGCTTCAAGACATACAATACGACTTCGCAATTGAAAGAATCTCTTCATGTTGAAAACGGGAGCAGAATCGGTCCCGAAACGTTTAAAGATAAGTGAAAATTTTATATTTTTCCTATATACCTTTATTTCTCTTCTCCAATAAAATCTGAACATGAAAATGGTGAATTCAAGATTAATTAATGAAAACATCCTGTAACTCCTTTGATTGCCAACGTCACCAATTGTCATTGAAAACTGAAAAGCTTCAAGACATATTATACGACTTCGCAATTGAAAAAATCTCTTCATGTTGAAAACGGGAGCAGAATCGGTCCCGAAACGTCCAAAGATAAGTGAAAATTTGATATTTTTTCTATATACCTTTATTTCTCCTCTCCAAAAATTTTTCAATACAAATTGTCACTGACAAGCTAGTGAATTTTTTTTAGGCTCTCTGATAGGAAAATTCTTTAAACGCAGTGACATTTTGGGGCAAATCATCTGATTTGTCCTTACTACACGTATATTGAAATAATATTCATATTTTCATTTTATAGAAACGAGGAGAGAAAATCCCAAAAATTTGGAATAATGAATGTACCACCTCCTCGATTAACCTACAGACAGTATTTAACATAATTGAGAATTATGAATTATTGATTAACTAATATTTCTGAAGTTCCCAATCGTATTTCAACATATGGCAACTGTGCTATAGTTTGCCCCTTCTTACGAAATCGTGACGTCAGTTTTTATTCGATGATTTCAACACCTCTAAATCGACCAGAAAATTTAAAAAAATAATATAGGGTTTCTGTAGAAGGTTGGGAAATGGCTCGGCTGAGATAAAAACAAGTTGATTTAGGCCAACTTACCTATATCCAAAATCGTCTCGTTGAGTTGGTACAAGGCGTTGAACTTTTTTTGGAAAAAATAATTTTGCTCATAAAAAGAGTAGGCTGAGATCGATTTTCATAATTTATGGCATGGCATGTTTTGTGACTGCAAGTCACATTTTGAGATGTTTTTGTTCATCATCAGTGACCTGCAAGTGTTTCAAACAATCATGTCGCCGTACAAATTTGGTGACAACTGTTCAGAGGCATATACGTATCAATAAACAATACGGATCATAACGGGTGCCAGGATGAAGTCAAAAATATGAAACAAATGAATATCCATAAGGATTTGGTGGCATGATACGCATGCGCCATGCGCTATTATAGTAGTCATCAAAGACATGCGTTTCGGTGGACAATGACGTTTACTAGCCTTTCAATCAAAGCAGTATGTGTCTGACCGTTTCAAAACTTTTCCTTATGGATAGTCATTTGTCTTCAAAAATCGGCTTCATGTTTCGCTATGGAAACAGATAGAGATTATCCGTATTGATTATTAATACGTATATGTTCAGAGGTCGGACTGGAAACTTCCAGTTTTTTCTCCAGAAAGATATTCCCTTCAGAAATATTTTTTGTATCGTGTTAATTTTTGAGAATTCTCGAGGTTCATTTTATGCATTTTTTGGAAAAATAATCTGGTTGGGACATGGCTTGACTGTAGACTCCTGGGATAATTGAGTTTGTACAAGGCGTTAAAGTGCTCACCTCAGGTCCTGAATAATTATCGCTGAATTTGTAACGCGAGATTGCTTGTGAAGCCCGCGAGGACCAGCAACATATCAGTTTGTTTACGATAAGAATAACATTATAGCCATGATCAATAAACAGTCCGACTAATCAAATTGATTTTCAAAAATGCGCAGGATGCATCATATCAGAAATTATTTATTTGCAAATGAACCTCGAGACTTATAAAAATTAACACGATACAAAAAATATTTCTGAAGGAATATCTTCCTAAAAAAAAACTGGAAGTTTCCAGTCTGACCTCTGACAAGTTATCACCAAATTTGTATGGCAACATGGTTGTTTGAAACACTTGCAGGTCACTGATGATGATAAAAAACATCTCAAAACGTAACTCACAGTCACAGAACATGACATGCCAAAAATTATGAAATTCGATCTCAGCCTACTCTTTTTATGAGCAAAATTATTTTTTCCCAAAAAAACTTCAACGCCTTGTACCAACGCAACGAGGCGATTTTGGAAATAAGTAAGTTGGCCTAAATCAACTTGTTTTTATTCCAGGAGTCCACAGCCGAGCCATGTCCCAACCTTCTACAGACACCCTGTATATGAAATTGGAAGGTATTTGTGTGATTATTCCATTTGAAAAATGAAAAAAATAATCCACTCGCCTATTATTTCACGTTGTGACAAGAGAATTATATGCCATGCATTTTATGATATCGAATACATTCAAATTTGAAGTTGAACACTTGCCGAACGAGTTGGGAATTATTGAAGCACCTTTTGGGTCATGTACACTTCATTTTTAAGAAATGCATTCAACGACTCTCAATGACATCAACAATTCACAAAGAAGTGTTAATATTGAGAGTTTGTTTTCATTACAATGACTTAATTTCCATTTCTATGATAATTTTCATCATATTGACGTTTTTCTCTCATTGAAATGAATGTTTCTCTCATTATATTGACTTTTTTCATCGTATGCGCAAGTTGCGCAATGAAACTTGGAAAACTCCGAATACTTTCGAAGATACGAAAAAACGAAATTTTCCTAAACTTTTTTATTATTTTTAATGACACTTGATCATGGCCACTTCTTCTTCCTTACAAGTTTGGCTTTTCGAATATGAAATCCGACGTTTCGTCTTACAGAGGAATCATCATCAACTTATTTTTTTTATATTGTGGACCTGCATTTTTTTATTGAATTTTTTCTTACCCCTGGATACCCCAGAAGCTATGAAAATCATCACCAACAATTTGGTTAAATTTCAACTTTATCCTTGATTGCTCTGGAAATGGATAGAGAATTGAATAATGATGGTTTTTACAAAACAATATGAATTTCTGAAAATTCGATGAATTCTGAAGATGAGCCTTGAAAGTATGACTTGGAAATTACCGGTTAAATAATGATGAAATGTAATTTTTTTCTGCATTTATTTGTACAAGAATGTTCAACAGGAAGTGAAAGGAATTGCCAACCATTTTTTTGTCTTTATAAAAAGGTAACAACTGTGGATTACTATCAACTAACGACCGTTTTTTTTTCAGAAAAAATTCTCAACCCCTGCTGGTGTAGTTTATGATTTTGCTACCTCAGTTAAGATGTCGACATATTTATTATCATTCGCTTTCACTGAGTATCCATATCACGAAGGTATTTTAGAAGATCACGGAAGAAATGTATCCATAAGAATTTATACCTACAATGCTACTAAGGAAAACAACGATTTTGCAGTGGAATGTACAAAAAAAGCGATACAATTTTACTCGGATTATACGGATATAGCATATCCATTGCCCAAATTAGGTAGATAAGAACTCGGCAGATGATTATGTTTCCCTAGATTTCTCAGATTTTTCTTCCTCGTCTCTATAAATAAAATATTTTTTCTACAAACGTCAGTAAAAGTATAATTTTTGACGCATGCTGTCAGTGTCTAAAATGTCAGTTCATGACACTGGTGTTAAAAGTAAATCACTTTTTGCACTAGAGCTAAAAGTGATTTATTTTTATGAGAAATATGTAAACATAATTCAAAATGAAGTGTTTATTCAATTAAAAGTACTATAACTACAATTATAATACGAAACTCCATGGCCAGTCTCATTGGTAGATGTGACAGAATTTATTTTCGTGAAGCTTTTGTACCAGGGCAGAGAGCAATATTATTTGCAGAAGTTTTCGACAAAATTTGATCTGCAATGTTCTGTTTCCTTTGTAGCGAGTCTTCTATATAACCCTCTGTTACTGTACTGGACCTCCATCCACCATGTCTTTTAATTGTAGTAAGACTAGCACCAGAGTCCGCAAAAAACCTGGCTGAGAAACGTCGGAAACAATGTCCAGTATACAGTCTGTCCAAGATAAGGTTGAACAGCATGGGGATCTCGGAAACGGTAGGAGATACGAAGTCGCTTGAATGGGGAAAAAGTTGCGCATTCGGAGGCTCATATCAAGAGCCTTCGAAAATTTTGAAAATTATTTTTAGTTTTTGAGTTATATCGAAAAAAGTGAATTTTTGGAATTTCTATTTTATTTTTTTTCTCCGTTATTATCAGAGATACAGAAAAACTAAAAATACTTTTTCATTGCAACTTTTGATGAGGTTTAACGTGGTGATACCGATTTTTATGCGACGTTTCGTATTCGTGGAACCATCATCAACTTTTGTTTTTTAAATACGGTCCTGATAATTTTTTCACAGATTCTGAAAGGTTTTTTTATTCTGAATTCAACAATGTACTATACAAGGTGATTCGAATGTGTTTCGACTTATTTCTATCCATCATCAATGTTTTTTCGAACTTCCAAAAGAAAAAAAGCCATCAGTTTCACTTATTTCTCATCATTTAGGGTCAAACTTGATGGATTAGTTATTCAATACTGAAAAGTGAATAACAAATATTTCACTACATCATTCGATCAATGCAGCGTTTAAAATTGTTGATAAATTCTTACACGAATTACTTTAACAACTTAACTTTGACAATACCTACAGAGACATTCATAACAAATGTTCAAAATGATAACCATTATTTTCTGAACAAAGATATCCTCTTCTCACAGTTGTTTCTAAGACATTGCTAAGCATTTCTGGGGTTATTCTATTGAATGCTTCGAAGACACTGTCCCTTAGTTCTTCTTCATCCTCAAAGTTATTTGCGTGTACAAAGTTCGATATATCCCCTAAGACAAAATCCAGCTGTGTTAAATCAGGCGACCGCGCCGGCCAAGGGATAAAAACGCACGGACTTCTCTGGAATTATGTACCGGAGCGCCATCTTGTTGAAACCAACAGAGTTCTGAACTTCCGCAATCGGTAAATCATCCAGAGCTTCCTCAAGATGATTCTCAAACGAATTTCTATAACGTTCGGAAGTCTGTGTTTCATGGTAAATAGAAGGAACAATAATTCGTGTACCAAATATTGCAACCCACATATTAAAGCCGAAACGGTGTTGGTGTCTCGCTGTAATGTATAAATGTTCATTTTCTCGTGAACAATGATGTGTATTTTTTCTATCGAAGCTACCATGATTAGTGACCATGCTTTCATCAGTCCAGATGATTGTTCGAAAGAAATCTGCAAAATTTTAACATTTCCTGGTATACCACTCACAGAATGTCTTGCGCCTTTCGTCATCGCCTGGTTTTAGCGCTTGACATATTCTGAATTTGTATGGATGGAATTTTTGTTTCCGCAAAATGAAATGGGTTGTTGATTGAAACCAGTTGATGAGGTATCAGTGTGTTGACTAATTTTCCTTCAAAATAAGTGGAACTGATGGCATTTTTCCTTTGGAGTTTCGAAAAAACATTGATGATGGATGGAAATAGGTCGAAACACAAATGAACCACCTTGTATAATACATGGTTGAATTCAGAATAAAAAAACCTTTTAGAATCTGTGAAAAAATTATCAGGACCGTATTCAAAAAACAAAAGTTGATGATGGTTCCACGAATACGAAACGTCGCATGAAAAAATCAGTATCACCACGTTGACCGTCATCAAAAGTTGCTATGAAAAAGTATTCTCAGTTTTGCTGTATCTCTAATAATAACGGAGAAAAAAAATAAAATAGAAATTCCAAAAATTCACTTTTTTCGATATAACTCAAAAACTAAAAATAATTTTCAAAATTTTCGAAGGCTCTTGATATGAGCCTCCGAATGCGCAACTTTTTCCCCATTTAACCGATTTCGTATCTCTTACCGTTTTCGAGATCCCCATGCTGTTCAACCTTATCTTAGACAGACTGTATAGATGGGAATCAGGCAAATTGAGAAATTCGGCAATTTTGGCAGGCATCACACCAAATGTGTTGATTCCAACTGGAATCCTGGCACATTTATTTTAAATGCATTTTATAAGAACTATAGAAGGATTAATATCCACTGGACGAAGGGCTATGTACTTTTTGTAGTAGTTCATGTACAATGTACCACTTACAACAAAGGTGCGTTGCACATTAGTTTTTGTGTCTGGTATATGCACAACTAGTGAAGTTCCGGAATCCTCGATATTATTTAATGTCAAATCGCACAGTTCTTCTCGACGACAGGCTCCAAAAACACCAAAAATCGCAGCAACTTCCTGCATTAGATATATTTCATCTGGGGCTTCTGCGAGAAATTTGTCGATTTGTTCTCTTGTCAAAAAAGCCACAAGCTTGATGTGATATCTGCTTATGTCATGATAATTTATGTTCATAATCGACTTTAACATACAGTAATTCGACCAAAGCGTTGACGATTTCCATATTAAGGACTTTTCTTCAAAGTATGCAAGAAGAACTTTTTCACTGGCCTTATTTCCACTGACATTTTTCTGATCACACCATTTCAAGAAACGTTCGTATGAAAACTCGTTATGTCGCTTCGACTTACTAGGCAATAATTCAAAAACAGCTTTATTGGCAGCTTCTTCAATTTGCGGCGGAAGAAATTCATTTTCTTGGGCACTTTCCATCGAGGAACGAAGAAACGAGAAAGAATAATTCGTGATTCATTGACGTTAGTTGTCAAGAAAGATAAATCAACAAATTCAATTTTTGTATACCTTGGTAACTTGTTTCATGAATAGATTAAATTGAATTAGATTCAAAACTGATAATCTCGAGGCTGTTATTTAATCAATTAATAAGTAATGTAAAATAGTTATGCGTTAATTTGGACTTTTAATGGTGTTTGTAGAAAAAATAGTGTATGATATATGTGCTAAAAGTGTTTTTTGTTTTGTTCGAAGGGATGGAACACTCCGCCTTCGGCGTCGTGTCCCAAACTTCCCTTCTCACAAAATAAAATGTCACTTTTAGTACTTATATCATAAATAACTATTTAATATTGAAAAAATTGAAAATTACAAATTTTACATAACATAAAAATGTTATGAAGTTGATTTCTTCGGATACATGTTTTGAAACTTCTCATAGTGACAGAAGATATCAAAAAAATGTAATAGTTAAGTACAGGTTTTTCTAATTGATCTTGAAATAACCATTTTCATTCATTTCTCACACATTTTTCTGACTGTAACTGGGAAAATATGGCATATTTTCGAAATCGGTCAAATGTTAGAGATATCGAGATTAGCTTTTCACCAATCGACGTTTCACAAAAATCGAGCTCTAGACTCCTTTGTCAGGTTTTCTCTAACTGTTCTGGAAATAGGAAAAATTGCCGAAATCAAGCAATTTGGGACACCCTGTACACAAATTGAATTCTGTTTGTAGTCTCCCTGAAGATGGAAATAGACATTTCCGAATGCTCGGACTTTGCTGCAATCCCCACTAGCAAGCTAGGTTTATCTCTAACGTGTCAGCAACGACAACAACGACTATATGTACCGGGTGAACAATTATAAAAACGGCTGTCATCAATCCTTTTCCATCTTTGATCGTCAATATCTTCCGTTAGCGAAAAGCTATCATGTTGCAATTTTCGTTGGTCTGTTGAGATTTAGTTTCTCTATTTGATCGTGTAATAATATGCATACATTACACATGTGGTATATACCGGGTGACCAGTTATATTCTGACCCATTTCAAATGCTTATATCTCTGAAACCATTCAAGTTATCGTTGTGCAGTTTGGACTAGTCTATTTTGATATTTTTCAAGTTTTTTTTGACAGGTTCACCTTCTCTCTTGTACTTCCGGTTCTACCGGAAACAAACTAGCCATTATTCAGGTATAGGGCAACTTTTTTATTTCATCGAAGCACTCTGTATATTTTTGCACATTCAGAAAGACTGGTCTTTTCTCTTCCTAACAATGTATAACAAGTTATGTTTTCTTAGAAAACTATCAGAGTTATAACTCTTTGAAGCATCTACTGCATATTAGGGTGTTATCCTGAAATGCTGAATTACCGTATATTGAGTATAAATCTGATGCAGATTTATGATCAGTTCATTTGCTTTTTCAGTCAGAGTAAACATTTTTTCAACTCGAAGAAAGTACAAATGCTCGACAATCTTTATTTGACACATCTCATCTGGCATTTCATGTGTTGTGATCAGGATTTCCAAAGACGACTTTGGTTACATTGCAAAATCTCATTAAACCATTCCACATGCAGTAGTTGTTTCAAACAGTTATAACTCTGATAGTTTTCTAAGAAAACATAACTTGTTATACATTGTTAGAAAGAAAAAGGACCAGTCTTTCTGAATGTGCAAAAATATACAGGGTGATTCAACGAAATAAAAAAGTTGCCCTATACCTGAATAATGGCTAGTTTGTTTCCGGTAGAACCAGATGTTCAAGAGAGAAGGCGAACCTGTCAAAAAAAACTTGAAAAATATCAAAATAGACTAGTCCAAACTGCACAACGATAACTTGAATGGTTCCAGAGATATAAGCATTTGAAATGGGTCAGAATATAACTGGTCATACCCGGTACTATACAGGGTGTTTCTTAATTAGATGTCAATATTCGGGGAAGCGATTCTTGGGCCCATTCTAAGAAGAAAGTTTCATATGAACGTATGACCTAAACGTCCTAACTTTTGAGATACAGGGTGGCAAAATTTTCCAAAATTAATAGTTTTTTTTTATTAATATCTATAATTCCACTTCAGATATTCTAATGGAATTTGGCATACATGTACTATGTATCAAGAGGCATCAGTCAGTGTACCACTTTTTTTTTTTGGTTGCCACCAGTGGCGTTCGTATGGAATTTCACATACCTATTTTAGTAGACATTGATGGTACGCCACTGATTAATCTCGAAATTGAAATCACTCCTGAAATTCCCAATCATTTCTGAGCAAATTTGATCATCACAATTTTTTCAATTTGTGGCACGGTTTTCGCTTAAAAAAATGAAAAGCTTTTCACTACATGAGAAATAGAGTTTATTTTTTAGATCAAATTTCAGAAATTCAGAAAACAATTCATAGTTTATCAACTTCGTATTCGTATTTGGTATTCTGGAATTATAACTTCTCATTGTAGTAGGCTATTTTCATTTTTGAGAACTTCATCACCCTGTATCTCAAAAGTTAGGACGCTTAGGTCATACGTTCATATGAATGTTTCTTCTCAGAATGGGCCCAAGATTCGCCTCCTTGAATATTGACATTCAATTATGAAACACCCTGTATATAAAATAATACGGCTTGGAGCGTATTTTTCCAACACTTGTTCTATTACATTTTAACGAATGTATCTACAACTTTACGAGAGCACTGAATTTACCATACGCACTGAATACAAACTCCATGTGTATTTTTATATATTTTTGTATTCAGCCGATTCAGCTCTCCATGGAGATTTCAAAAAATTGATTAATGTTCAGGGTGTTCCATTCCAAAAAAAATGTCGCGGACGTCATTACTGAAAGGTGAATCACCCTATATATATTCAATTGTTCATCATAAATGTGGCAAATCAAGATCAAAAATCGACTTGCTTCAAGAGATTTCTTAGAAATGGATAGTTTGGCTTTGACTTCACGAAAGCATTGTATTTTGTGGAAACGAGGAGAAAAAATCTCAAGAAATCTAGAGAAATGATTTAGCACTCGACTTCATGTCATCGTTGTTGATAAAGTATAGTAGTCCACTTGCGCATCATTAGATAACATTATATTTTCCTCATTACAGATATGATTGAGTACAAAAGGTTAGAAACTGCAGCTACTGAGAATTGGGGACTTATCACCTTCAGGGAAGGACTACTGACTCCAAGTCTACACATATACTCTAAATCTCAGATAAGACTTGTCGTTTATCATGAGCTCAGTCATTTTTGGTTCGGAAACATGGGTAATGAATTCGTTATGCTTATTACCAATCAAGACATTAAATCAAACATTTTTTAGTAACCAATGATTGGTGGAATGATCTTTGGTTGCAGGAAGGATTCGCCACATACATGAGCTACAAACTTTTGGCTAAAGACTTCAATACTATCCAGGTATATATAGATATATCTACTGTAATCAAATGCCGTAACCCAAAAATATCCCTGTATTTTCATCTGTTTTGGTGGGCGATACGCGGTTTTTTTACCAAGTTATCACACTACACTGCTGTTTTACCTAGAGTCACTGGATGGTATTAGTTTGATAAGGGTTCGGACACAGCTGAACTTCTGTCCTTTTCTATTTTCTATATTACAATATGGTTTGAGTGGATAAAAGAATAAGACATATATTCTGCTCTTTGTCTTTTCAATTTTCCCAGTAGCGTCTGACTGTCAGATACGATTTTAGAGGTTAGATTTTCTGTCAAATCAATCATTAGGAAAGTTTTGTATTTCGTGCAAGAAATGTATTCAAAATATTCGTAGCAGAGCGCTTTCGACTGTTAAGTCATCATCAGTGCGTACTCGTCAGGTTAACAGGGAAATTCGTCCATAAAAATATCTTTTGTCCAGTTTAAAACTAACGACATTTAAGTAATAGTAATTTTCCTAACAAGTGCGGAAAGTGACTCTTTCCCGCACGTGACTGCTGTTGACACGAACGACGCGAAGCGGAGTTCGGGCAAGCAGTCGAGTGCGGGAAAGAAACTTTCCGCATGAGTTAGGAACAATATTTTTTCTACAAGCGTAGTAAATTGATTGAATCGTTCAATTAATTATTCAAGCAAATAGGAACAACTAACAAGAGATATATATTCTCTATCTATTAATTATTGGTAATAGCTATTGTGAACTTACAGTTTGACGCATTATGTTGGTTCATTGCGGAAGCCAGCAGGCCCATTAGGAGTTTGGTCTCTAAGTTCCAGACACTTCTATGAAATGAGCCAAAAATACCTATTCTTCTTTCGGTTTTTTCATTTCTTTATTGTTGCACCATTCAATAAAACGCGTGTTTAGCTTCTCATACCTTTCTTAAGACTTCGTTGGTGATATCGCATCTGTATCAAATCCCTATAGCTAGAAGTTTTTGATCACATTGTGGCATTTCCACTGAATCGAAAATGACAGTAACGCTGTGTCTGTCACTTCGACAATCTCAAACTTATTTGAGGTTTGATTGGCATGACAAATTGACGTCTCCCGTCAGATCAATCCAAATCTATAGGGGGATTTTTATAATAATCAATTTTTATTTCTCAATATTACTTAATTTTTACAATAAATAGTGCAATTTGATGGATGATTCTGAACATACATACTTAATACTGCAACAAACAAACTTAAACTTTCATATTCCATCACCAACCACTTATATTACTAGCGATTTTATCATATATTTGTTTTCCCGCACTAGTGTGGGAAAAAATTTCCCGCACTGTTGCGGGAACATGACACTTCCCTAACTAAATTGCGTACGGGTATAGGGTGAATCGCGCACGCTTGTAGAAAAAATACGTTACAAACAAATTAAAATGTGTTTCCCAAAAGGAGGTAAAATATGGATTACATCTTGTTAAGCAGCCATTGTCGCTGCGACATGTCGTGTTGAAGTGAACTTGATGAGTTCACTTCAACACGACATGTCCCTCTTGGGAAACACATTTTAATTTGTTTGTAATGTATTTTACTTAAATGTCGTTAGTTTTAAACTGGACGAAAGATATTTTTATGGACGAATTTCCCTGTTAACCTGACGAGTGTACTGAAGATGATTTAACAGTCGAAAGCGCTCTGCTACGAATATTTTGAATAAATTTCTTGCACGGAATACAACACTTCCCTTCTTTGGTATATATTCACGTGCACACAGCCCAGCAACCCTCACTCAAATCAATCATTGTCGTAGATGGAAAATAGAAATTGGGTATAAACACACACTTCAATTTATACAGGGTATCCGGAAATTGAGCGCAAAAAATCAAGAGGGTGATTATGCATGAGAAAACATGAGATTTATTTCATAAATACGACTTGAGTCCGGAAATGCATAGTTTTCAAGATACTGTGCGTTGAACTTTTTAGAAAAAATCTGTTTTTTATGCACATCTCAAATATCCTTCCACCGATTCTGTTGAAATTTGGCAATGATATTCTTTGTCATGAGGCGTCCCGGAGGCACCCTACCGAATATTATTGTCAATAAAATGTACACCACTGATCTTTTCAAATTATATATCTTCATATCCTAATGATTAACTAAAAATACATAATTTGGGTCTCTTGAACTTTTTTGCTATTTTGCTGCGTTTCCGTGGAAAAAAATAAATACCAATTCATTCTATAAATTTGTGCAAAACATTACTTGAAAAACAGGGGTGAAATTAAATGTGTAATCCAAGTCCATAGACATAGAATGAGAAGGAAGATTCATTTTCTTCAAATATTTTATAATTCATGTTTGACACACTTTGTATTATCGAAAACTACGCCTTCCTGTACCGAGAATACATAGTTCTCAATATACAGAGTGTTGAGTATCAACATGTATCAAGAAAAATTTGAAGAAAATCAATCTTCATACTTATACTATGTCTATGTAATTGATCACGCATTTATTTTCACCCCAGTTTTTGAAGGAATTTTTGGCACTTCATGCAATAAAATGGTATTTATTTTTTTCCATGAAAATGAAGCAAATTATCAAAACAATTCAAGAGACCGAAATGTTGTATTTCCAGTTGGTCAATAGGTCATGAAGATACAGAATTCAAAAAAATCAGTGGCGCACATTTAATCAACAATAATATTCGGTAGGTTGCCTCCCGGGACGCCACTGGATTACATAATTCCAACTGAATTATGGCTATATCATCCCCTCATGACAAAAAATATCATTGACAAATTTAAGGAAAATCGGACATTTAAGATATTCATGGAAAACCGCGATATTTTTCAAAAGTTTCAACACACTGTATGTTGAAAACTATGCATTTCCGGACCCACGTACATATAAAATGGATTTTTTATTAATGTAGAATCACCCCTTTGATTTTTTGCGCATAATTCCCGAACACCCTGTATAATGATATACTTTTTGCAGAACCATAGTTAGAAAAATGAAAAAACTCATGTAACTACATTTCAATATGACAAAATAGACACATGTAGATATACTTATAGCTAGTTCCTCATTGTATGTGAAACTGTACCGGGTGATAAAGTTCAAAACATGGAGATTGTTTTGATTTTCCACATTTTGCTGCATTCACTCTCTCCTAATGATTTCTTAATTTGGTCGGTATTGAAAACTCCATTCAATGATACTATATCACGTTGCAATTTACTTGAATTTCTCAGTTTCGATATCAAATTCTCAATTTCATTATACGTAGTTTTGCAATCAAGTCCTATAACATGTTTCGCATTTCATGTGATGATGATATTGGAATTTTTGTCAATAGTCTGTTTTGTAAATCAATGGAACAACGGATGTTATAAATCTTCTGTTTGAAAATGGGCCTAAAATATAGTTTCATTCCAATCTGCTGTTATAATAAGAAGTAAATTTTAATGTACCGGGTGTACCACTAAGAAAGGACGCCGGCTGTATCTCGGAAACTATTCGCCGCACAGGTTTCGGAAAAAAATATTTGTTATAAAAGTGGCCAAGAAAAATCTCTGGAAATTATTTTCAAGTTTCCAGGACAGCCGCTAGAGGGCATAATAGCATTGGCCAACTTAAAAACGGTTTTTTTTTAATTTTATATATCAAGACATATCAGGAACACTTTTTCCATGTTCTCGAGTAGAATAGAATAGAATAGAATAGGTGCGGTGGCCGCTAGATGGCATCGTTAGAAAAATCAGCCGATACGCCATTTTTTTCGGAGAATTTCAAATGGAACCATATATTTTTCCTGTTATGATATGAAAGTTGAGTAAACGAGAAGAAAAATGGTGAAAACTGCGAATTGATACCTCTTGAAGAACCGGAGAAATACTCGGAATAATATTAAAATTTAAACTGTTAGAATGTCAAATGCCTCCTCATTCGTTATCGGCATTTTGACAAATAAGCAATCCACAATGAACAGTGAAAACTTCAAAACCAATGGAACTTCAATTATACTTTGACGTTTCTTTCATTCAAATTAGCAATGTCATTACTAAGAGTCTCCTTCACTATTGTGAGATATATAACAGCAGTTTGTGAAACCAAAATAAATGAATTATTGAAATCATAATTTCATAGATACAGGATATTTCTGATTAGGATTATTGAAGTTAGATTCCTGTGGTGAATATTTTCATAATATTATTTCGAGTATTTCACCGGTTCCTCAAAAGGTATCAATTCGCGGTTTTCACCATTTTCCTTCTCGTTTGCTCTACTTTCATATTAGAGTAGAATGAATATATGGTTCCATTTGAAATTTTCGAAAAAAATTGAAAATTGTCTGATTTTTCAAACAATGCCATCTAGCGGCCACCACAGGATTTAAATCGACTTGATTCGTGATTCATCTGGAAGAACCAAAAAAACCCTTCATGATGAGACCATGATCTTTGAATTCCGTTACACCAAACTGTAGTAATGAGAGTTTTTTCAAAGTTCTATTCATCCTTCCCTCCCTCTTTTATTTGAAGAGCTAGCGCGATTTTTTTGATCGAAATGATTGGAAATCAACTCGAGAACATGAAAAAAGTGTTTTTGATATGTCTTGATATATCAAATTTACATAAAAACCCGTTTATTAAACTGGCCAATGCAATTACGCTCTCTAGGGGCTGTCCTGGAAACTTGAAAATAATTTCCAGAGATGTTTCTTGGCCACTTTTGTGATGAATATTTTTTTCCGAAACCTGTGCGGCAAATAGTTTTCGAGATACAGCCGGCGTCTTTTCTTAGTGGTACACCCGGTATGTACTCACATCACAAATTTTGCTTCTCTTCAAATTAATTTTCCATTCAGGCCATTCCATACATTCCTTCCATATAAGGGAATGGTTGATATTTCCTTGGGAAAATTCAAAAAATGGAATCGCAATTTCCTTCAGAATTCCCGCAATTCATTACATAGCAGGACATTTTCATTCATGCTTTTTTATTAATAGTTTATGAGATTTTATTTCAATTCTGACGTTCATAGATAATAAAATTTATTGTCAAATTCAAATAATTTTGAATGAAGAAGCGCGGACCGACTATGATGGTGTTGTCGTTGTCACAATGCAAGTTGTGTAACTTGATAAATCTAAACATTCAAAAACACTAACAGTTGTCATTTCTGTGTCCGAACTCTTAACTAACCGCCTCGGTTAATTAGTTTTTTTTTATTGTTATATATATATATATCATATGTTTATGTATCCCTATTATAAACAAATATGTTTCTTGGGGTGATGAAGAACAACAACAAATGGTTTTTGTCCAGGTTACGACATTTGAACTTCAAGTAGAGTGTTCACATAACACTCATCTAAGAACTTCAATTAGTTGCTATCGTGAAAACAATAAGTTTATGTTTATTTGTAACAAATTTAGGTTTCAGAAATGAAGGACTTCCAAAACGACGAATACTTCGAAACTGAAATTTACAAAAGCAGCTTACCAATTGTATCACACGTATCCAGACAATCAGACATCTCGAAAAAATTCCATAGCGTCGTCTACGAGAAGGTAAGTGCTATTTTCCGAGGATTGTTCATTCAACAGGATGGTTCTTTTTCTATACATCAATGCACGTACCTATACAAGTCAATGATTGACAATGACAGTTTGACATATCTCTCGGAAACTTTTTTTTTCATTTATTTTCCTTTGAACGACAAAAGTACATTTTGTATAGGAATAGTCAGTCTAGAAGAATACATTACAAAGTAATAAATCATATGGAAACAGTGAAATGAAAGCTATATCCAGTATGCTGGACAGTTCTGACTGAATAAAATTCATCAATGGAGTAAAAATGATGTTCTGACAGAAACGATTTCAAACCAAATTTTAATTGTTTAATATCACAAGATGTTTTGATATCATGTGATGATAAAATATTCTGGGGCCTATACAAGATGTTTCAGATTTCAATTTACATACGATACCTGTGATGGTTCCAAATCACCTCCCTTTGTGACTGAGATACAGGACGTTATCTTGATTTCGGCAAAATCATCATCTGGTCATAAATTTTGAACCACGTTGTATAATCTATCCATACTTGACGTAGAAATATTCCAATTATATTACAAATCAAAACTAAATAGAAATCGAGATCAGAATCCAGGTCCGTCATAAGGAAAAACAGAAAACTTCTTAATTTCAAAAACAATATGGAAAGAGCAGGAGAAAATTAATAAAGTGACCTACTTATTACGAGTGCGCATCCAATTTGACAGATGGTTCATTATTATGTTTTGAAATATTCACCCCATTTTGAGGCATTTTCATTGTACTGTAATTCAAAACCCAATTTTTGATACAGAAAAATAATTGTCTTCAAAGTTAAACTTCATTAGAGTCAAATTAGGTGAACTATTGATTGATTTGTTCGTTTGACAGAATAGCTTGTTGATGATTTCAAAAATTTTTGAGGACTTACTTTATACTTCACTATTTTTCCATAAGCTGCGGTGAACTAGGCTGTGCAAAAAATTTTAAAATTCTGACAGATCATAATCACCAGTGTGAACATTAAGTTTATTGTGTTGAGGCATAGTTATAAACACTTTGAAATGTAACAACCCAATAAACAAGTACCAACAATTATCTTAACGTTACCAATAATATCAAACTAGTGTTAAACTAGTGATTATGAACTGTCAGGATATCAGATTTTTTGCACAGCCTACTTTACCGTAGCTCATGAATCATTAGTGAAGAAAGAACGAGCCCTCAAAAATTTCCAAAACCACAGATGTTATTCTGTCGAACGAACAGATCTATCTATTTTACTCCAATGATGTTGAACTTTGAAGACTGTTATTTTTTCGTGAAATAATTGGATTTTGAATTACGAGTTCAATGAAAATGACTCGAAATGGAGCCGAGTTTATCAGAAAATAATAATAAAACATCTGTCAAATCAGATGCGCGGTCGTAAATAGTACGTCACTTCATTCCCTGCTCTTTTCAAATATCGAAACTGATCTACAATAATGATATAAAAGAAGTTTTCTGTTTTTTCTCAAGGCGGACCTGGATTCTGATCCCGATTTCCATTTAGTTTTGAGGGGTAATATGAGTGAAATATTTCTACCAAGTATGGATAGATTATATAAAGTGGTTCAAAAGCTATGACCAGATGATGATTTTGCCAAAATCAAAATAACATCCTGTATCTCAGTTATAAGAATTCAACAAGTTTATCTTAATAATGTTGTATCATTTATATTCACTTGTAAAGAATCAATTTTAGTAGTTAGATAGTTATGAAATCGAATAATTTTTGTTTTCTGTGGATTCAATAGGTCGTGATCACTGAAAAACTCAGAGGCATTAGCTAAAGTAACTTCGCATTCATTTTTAAGACATTCAGTGTTCTTTGCCGAAATAAGTAAGGATATATCATCCGCATACGCGGTAAGTTTAGAATTCATTGTTTCAAATTAAAGATTATTGATGTAAAACAAAAATAATATAGGCCCTAATACGGACCCCTGAGGCACCCCTAACCGGACCTGCCCTATTTCAGAGGAAAATGTTGGAATATGTTCAATAACTTCAAATTTAAGAGAAACACACTGACTACGATTATTGAGGAAGGAAGAAACCCAGTTAAAAAAGCACACTCGAAGATTTTTGACACACTTTGTGGAATAGTTATAGGTCTGAAGTTGTCTAGTTTATTTGATTCATTTCTTTTTTGAATCGGCAGAACCTTTCCCCGTTTCAAACTTGATGGAAAGCAACCTGTTAAGAATGAGAGATTAACTAAAAATGTGATATGGGCTCTATAATGCTAATTATAGTTATTTATTATACAAGGGAAAAAAGTAGTAGATTTTAGCTCCAGGTTGTGTTGTCTCCCGACGCGTAGCGGAGGGAGACAAAAAACCGTGAGCTAAAATCTAATATTTTTCCCGTGTATAATACACTATTTTTTTTCTGTGACAGAAGGAAGAACGAATCAATATTGAGAAGATATTAAATTATTTCGAAATCTGAAAATTATCGACGTGAAATTTCAAGTTTTTAACAGTAGGGACACCTGCGTTTTATAGGCATCTTTATCATTCTTTTGAAGTAATCAAATATCTGATGTCACTTCTGTCAGTTCAATTCTGTGATTTGATTTTAAAAAATGGCGAATTTAGTAGTTGTTTAGTAATATACGAAACCGCGAAGTCGAATGGAAGATAAAAGGACTTGCAGATCAATCTCGGAGACGGTATTATTGACCCATTTTTCGGAACAATAGCACAACAAAAGCCATCAACAGAGTATATTTATGTGATATATATCCGGGAAAAAAGTACTCACTTTTTTCCCACGGGAAAAAAGTAATTTATGAAAAGTGACATTTTATAACCTGCCAACAGAGATGAAATGCCAAACTTTTTCCCGTCACAGAAAAAAAACTTTTTTCAGAACAAAAGCTGGTATTTCATCCATGCCAGCAGATCTCTTATTTTTCATCTTTTTCCTTAACATATTCAACATTTCAGACTGTTTCAATGTCTTCTGGCGGATAAAAAGATAATTATATGTGTATAAACATTTCTCCAGATTCCACTTCAAAGTCGTGTTATTCTCATTTTTTCTGGAATCATGTTTGAACCATTGATAAAATAGTTGAAAACAACAATTATTTTTTTGTAGACGTTGTGTGAGTAGTATCACTGGAAAATATACTGTTATATAATTCCGGTTGAGTATTTCACATTTATTCACCGTCTGAAATTCTAGCAACAGTTTTAACGAAATTATCCTTTTCTGGCAAACGAATTTGGTGCAAAATCCTGTTGGATACTCTGAACTGGATTACTCCAAGTGTAGCAGTGTTACCAATATTATGTGTGCATTCATTTCAATAAAATGTAATATATTATATATTTTGAAAGTTCAAAACAACATTTGAGGTTGAGAATTCTTGGCAAAATTATATCAGTGACGTCATGATGTCATTCACCATTTTGATTGGTTAAGGCCAGATATACCATCCTGTTGGATCAACAATTCTTGGCTATTTTTCGCGAGATCGTATATTCTGTATACAGGGTGATTCACATAAGAACCGACATAGATCAGGGGCATGTAGGGGGTCCAAAAATATGGCAATTTAACGCAACTTACCTCAATACCCAGTTGCTTCCCTAAGGAGTTATAGCCTTTGAAAATGAAGTTATAAATTTTGAAAAAAATCAATATCTCCGTTATTCTTGAACTTAAAGCAACCAAATTTGGTACACTTTGTGGATGTATTTAGGGCGTTACTTGACAGTAACTAGAGTTTAATTGAAATTTGTAAAGGGGGTATACCGGGTGGCGCACCATTAATATTCAACAGAATTTTGTTAACCCTTGATGGATTTGAAAAATCTTTGCTTTGTTTTGTGGGCAATCCAATTCTTAAACTTTTCTTACTCTAGTAATTTTTCGAAAAACCTCATCATTTTCATCAAAAACTCGAATAACTGAAAACGCGCGCTATAGGTGTGTTATTTAAAATCATCGAAAATTCAAAAGTTGGCTATGAAAATAAACGTCAAACAAGAAAGCAGGGCATTTAAGTGATCAGTAGAAATTGGCTGGAAAATTATTATTTAGATACGTAACAAAATACGTAATGTACGTACAGATACTGAAATGTGAAAAGCTGGGATTAACAACTAACCAAAATAAACACAAAACACTTAAACAACAACCAGAACAAACAATTGTTTATCGATAAATTAAAGAAATTGTTCAAAATGATCGCCGTTTTCTCTTACGCAAAAATGTATTCTTCTTCGAAAATTAAAATCCACCCTATCTAATAACTGTTGATTATTCCTAATAGATGCGCATTTATGAATAATGCGATTTCATAATTCTTCTTGATACGAGCGAAGAATACACAAATTTTTTCAACGTTCCCCACAGAAAGAAGTCACATTTGTTCAGGTCAGGTGATCTTGGGGGCCAACGTTGTGGGCAATTATTTCCTCTTCCTATCCATCTATTGGGATACTGGTGGTTTAAAAAATTTCTTACGTTCATACTAACATGAGGCGGTGCTCCATCGTGCATAAACCAATGTTGCAACCTTAGTTGTAAAGGTACCTCCTCGTAGTCCTCGTCAAGTAGATACGGTAGGGTGTTTTGTAGAAATTCTAAATAATTTTCACCATTCAGCCGATTCGGTAAGAAACCAGGACCAATTAAATATCGATCAATAATTACCTTACAAACATTCATTTTGAATTCCAGTTGGAAATGCCGAGGAGTTATTGCATGTGGGTTTACGTCAGAATACTCATGATAGTTATGGAGATTTGTGATACCTCTGCGAGTGAAAGCGTGAAAGTCGCCTCATCCGTAAAAAGAATTTTCTTTTGGAAGTTATTGTTATCTTGATGTAGAATAAACTGTCAGAAATTGACACGTTGAACCAAATCTCCGGGTAAAAGTTCTTGGACTTTTTGTACTTGATAAGGGTGTAGTAGATTGCGACGGATAACTCGATGCACAGAACTCTGCGATATACCAATTTGTCGAGATAAACTCCTAGTACTAATATTTGGATCATTTTCAAAAGCATTTAAAATGGCTACTTCAACTTGCGGCCTGAGTGCGACAGCACGTTCTCGAGTATTATCAAAAAACTTGCCCCTTTTTCTAGCTCGTCTTTCAACATTAGAAAATGTTTCTCTATGGGGAATGATACGGTTAGGAAATTTCCTACGATATTCTTCTACACTTCTTTTACAGTTCCCACTTCAAAAATCTAGCACTAACAGCATGTCAACTTGCTCGTTAAAAGAAAACTTCCCGTTCATTTTAAAAACACTCAAACAACAATTACTCAATTGAACAACTTACTTGCTTAATTGTCAAGTTTGACGTTTATTTTCATAGCCAACTTTTGAATTTTCGATGATTTTAAATAACACACCTAGAGCGCGCGTTTTCAGTTATTCGAGTTTTTGATGAAAATGATGAGGTTTTTCGAAAAATTACTGGAGTAAGAAAAGTTTTAGAATTGAATCGCCCACAAAAAAAAGCAAAGATTTTTTAAATCCAACAAAATTCTGTTGAATATTGATGGTGCGCCACCCGGTATACCCCCTTTACAAATTTCAATTAAACTCTAGTTACTGTCAAGTAACGCCCTAAATACATCCACAAAGTGTATCAAATTTGGTTGCTTTAAGTTCAAGAATAACGGAGATATTGATTTTTTTCAAAATTCATAACTTCACTTTCAAAGCCTATAAATCCTTAGGGAAGCAACTTGGTATAGAAGTAAGTTGCACTAAATTGCCATATTTTGGGACCCCTACTTACCCCTGGGGCCTTATTTTTGAAAAGAGTGAACTAGTCCGCCGAGAGAACAGTGGGCGTGTGCCTCACTTTAGTAACGAATTATTCCGTTCCCCGCTGTTTCTCTCGATAGATAGCAAGAGAAACGGGTACTCTGTTCCATCATCTCTCTTCTTCTTCTTCTTCTTCTTCTCTGCACAGGTGGGCGGGTGCGTAGACCCCTGCACTCAGGCCTCTTCAGTCGGGCCCATTGTGCGCCCACTTGTCCTGTGAATCAGCTGGGCATGCCGATTTCTTTGACGAAATTCAGCAGCTTCCTCAGCTGAGTCACTTTCACATCCTTTGGGTGCAGTACAATGCTCCCAAAGGCAGCTTTCCTCTGATGCACCAGCGCGGGACATTCAGTGAGTATGTGTGATGATGTTTCATCATCCTCCAAGCACCATCTGCAGATGGGATCATCTTTGATCCCTATGAGTTCTAGGTGCTTGTTGAGGTGGTTGTGCCCAGTTAAGAGCCCAACTACCATCTTGAGATCCCTTCTATTAAGTGACAGGATCTCTCTCGTAAGCCTTTTTGAAGGTTCCTTTATATGGAGCTTTGATTGTCTCATTCCTGGTGTGTCCCACCATGTTTCAAGGAACTGCCTCTGTAGCATTTCCTTCATGAAGGACATAGCCGTACTATTGGGTATTCCCAATATCGGTTCTGGTCCAATGGGTGTCGTTCCTGAACCGATCTTGGCTAGTCTGTCTGCCTCCTCGTTCCCCGGGATACCAGAGTGTCCTGGAACCCACATGAGGCTGACTCTCCTAGTTTTTGCCATATTTTCTAAGGCACTTCTACACTCGGACACCAATTTAGTTGTGATCCTATTCCATCATCTCTCATAATCCACCGAAGAAAGCTGTGGAAAGTGAAATTGTAATTATTTTATACCAAGCATTCCCTCGAGGGAATTGTTCTCTGGAGCCCCTGCTCTATGTCGGTTGTTATGTGAATCACCCTGTATGTAAACAAAACTGTTCAAGGGTGCGGGATTACTCCTCATGCTGGAAGATGTGATAGGAGAGGACAAATTCAGGCTGGCAATTCAGACATATCTCAAACGACACGCGTTCGGAACCGCTACCACCAATGACTTCATAGCGGCCGTTGAGGAGACTGTGCCTGATGTTCCACTGCGGTCTTTCCTAGAGAGTTTTCTGTATCAGAACAAATTCCCGATAATATCAGTCAACAGAACGGCCGACAGAACTTACATATTGAGTCAGAAAGTTTGTGAAGTTGTAGCAGAGGATAAACCATGGGGGTGAGATCGTCAAGTTCAATCTTAATATTTGTAAAATTTTTGTCAAATTTGTATATCGCTACCTCAAAGTTGGGAACCAACCGTTACCACCGATACAACAAGGCCTGCATGCTCCGTGGGTGACGTCACTTAGTCAGGCCTAACCAGCGGCTCGAAACGACAAGCGCTTATAGCGCTATAAGGCGACCGCGTATTTCGATTTTAGTTTCATCATTGAGCCGATTTTGCTGTTTTTTGATCCGGTTAAAAAAGGATGCCAGTCGTCAACTGAGCCCTTCTTCGCACCCCATTCGATTTTATTATGGAAAAACGAAGTTTTAAAGCAAAAACCAGGATAAAACACAAATATCCACCTACAGCAACCCATTCGAATTAAATATATTGGCAAAAATTGTGGTGAAGGTAAACTTCACACCTACTTATACAGGGCCCGCAGAACATAAACTTATCGTGAGATTGATCGAAAGAAAATTGTAGAAAATGTATTTTATTTTGATTGACATGCCGTTTGTTACAATTACCTATATTTATCTTGGAGAATTCCTATTACCTGAAAAAATAACCAGTGAGTGTTATCAATTTTTTGTTGTTGGATTTTTCACCCAAGTGGATCGTTACAATTGAAACCGTAATTTTTAAGGGTAAAACTGCATTTAGCATGCGATGGTTTTTTTTTGAAAATTTTTCTCGGTACTCACGTATTTTTGTCTGATAAACCGAATTTTATAATGAAAATGTGAACAAACCACTATTTATTGAGATATTTCAAGAAAAAGTTCGAAATTTCGCCTTCTTTCTCCCCTTGTGTTGGGGGCATTTGAAGCTACTTGCTCTTATTTCGTCATTGGACACTTTATATACTCATGATGTACTTCGATGGCACATTTTTATATAGAAAATTCAACAGGAAATATGATTTTTATGGCGAGTTTTTCATATTTAGTGAACAAGCATTCCAGATGACGACCATTTAATCAATAGTCAATCAAAATACGAGATGTCAAATGTCAATAGATTGCTTTCGAATGACATTACACACGCCATTATTTTGAATGATATTCTTCCATCTTTTCACTAAATATGGATTAATCTCAAGAAAATCATATTTATAGTTGAATTATATATAAATTGTCCAATATGATGAAAAAATAAGGGAAATTTGTTCTAAATGCCATCCAGAAGACAGGTGAAAAAGAAGGTGAAATTTGGAACTTTTCAGTCAAATATCTTCATGATAAATATCATGATGAATGCAGTTTTACCTTCTTTGAGTAGAGTGTTTGTAGTTCATGTTAATATGATAGTTGCAATTTGATCATTGGAATGAATTCTGCATTCATTGCCACGAGGCAAATGACCATTTTCAGAAAGAAATTTGAGAATGAGAATTAAAAATGCCTGTTTATTATGAACATTCAAGTAAATTTCCTCGAATTCAGAGATGATTTTGTTGACTATAATATACAAATACAAAACTAACTGCACAATCAAAGCTTTTCTATCTTTCCTCTACTTATACTTTTCATGAGAGAGTAATTGTCTTCTATTATTAATTCATCATTATAAATTAAGCTCTGTTTACTACTGAACTTAGATACTTAGATGGAGTAAAATCCTCGCGGTGAATTGCATATACTTACCCACATTTTCGATAGCTCCTCGTCCAACGGGAAACTAAAAGCATGAACTTTTGAACCACCCACATAATTCCCCCGACAAAAGGGAACACAACACTTGAAAGGCATTGTTATTTAGCCGATCACAACACAAAATATTTCACAAAACAGTAATTTTTCCGCCAATTATTTTGATGAATAAACAACAAAAGAATTCGGGACCGTTTCAAAAACATACGTGAATCACCGATGAATTAACACGAACTGACGCGTTAGTCGACAAGCGATAAAATAAAACACTGGCCTCACTTGGCGACGTCACGAGCTGTTTATGTCAGAGTCTGCTGGCCTTGTTGTATCGGTGGTAACGAACCAACTCCCCAGAAGTCGAAACTTGTGCGGGGTTAGGAAGAGCGGGACCTACAGCTTATAGTGGAATCCGAACCACTTCTAGGGCATCGAGGTGCTGCCAGGATTACAACCATGAATCACACATTTTAAAGAAAAATGCTCAGCCGATAGCCGGATTCGAACCGACAGTACCTCTGCATCGTGAACGGCTATCTAGCGAATTTCAGCGCATAGACAAACTCGGCCACCCATATACAGGGTGACATTGAAATAAGTGCAAATAGTTCAAGCATTGAGTAAGCTCGACGTATACTATCGAGTGGTACCAATAAAAGAAATATAGGGATCAAAATAAAATTTGAGTAGACCCCTTTTTCCACCCAAAGTTCCACACTGTAGCAATTCTGACGTCACCTCTGTTCAAATTTTCGTGCGGAAAGCACAATCACGCGGATATCAATCATTTAAATTGTTTTAAAGAGGCGTACTCAATTTTTTTCTCGTTTTTTGTTCAATTTTCGGGATGAAATTTCTTGTTACTCAGAAGAATTATGAACAATCTGATATGGAAATAATCGTTAGACTGCATAATATCGATGTGCTGATTATATGTACTTATTTCAAAAACACCTTGTATAAAAATTATGAATCTCTATTTCCCTTTGTCATGCCATTACGCGTCGGCTGGACCGATTTCACTTATACCTACTTTTTTGTTGTGTTTGTTATTGTCACGAGCAGGTTGTTATGAAAGAAAGAAATGAGAAATTCAAGATGGTGGAACCAATATATGGCGAACGAGTTTTGTAATTATATTCCCATTCTATTAAAAATTCGAAAATTCAAGATGGCGACTCCAATATGGCGGACAACTTTTGTAATTATCACCAGGTTCTGTTCAAAATTGGTATCATGGGGGTTTTCGGGTTCGGAGATGGAAATTATTTCGTCAAATTTTGGAAATTCAAGATGGCAGATCCAATTAATATATAAATAAATAATATGGCGGACGAGCTTCGTAATTATGATCCCCGATTACATTTAAAATTGCTATCTGTGGATATTGTGGGTTAGAAATTAAGATTCCATTCTCAAAATCTAATATGGCGGACGAGTTTTGTAATTTTGATCCGATTAGTGGAGCAGTTTTCAACTGGACTTCGCCGAGGATTATTAAAATAAAGACATTTTATTATTATTATTATTATTATATTCAAAATTTGAAAATTCAAGATGGCGGATCCAATATGGCGGACGACTTTTGTCACCAGGTTCAAAATTGGTATTTGGGGGTTTTTGGGTTCGGAGATTATGATTATTTCGTAAAATTTTGGAAATTCAAGATGTCAGATCCGATATGGCGGACGAGCTTTGTAATTATGATCCGATTCTATTTAAAATTGCTATCTGAGAATTTTCATGGTTAGGAGTTATGATTCTTCATGTTAAAATTGGACAATTCAAGATGGCGGATCTAATATGGCGGACGAGCGTTGTAATTATGATCCTATTCCATTCAAAATTGGTATTCGCGGATTTTTGGAGTAAGAAAGCATAATTCTTTCGTCAGAACTGAGAAATTCAAGATGGCGGATCCAATATGGTGAACGAGTTTTCTAATTTGGAGATTATGATTTCTCCGTCATAATCAATACATCCAAGATGACGTATTTAATATGTTAACATCAGAGCTTTGTAATGAATATTGTTTCGAAAAACTATTGGTGCAGTACGCTTCTATAGGTAGCCAAACTAAAAAGAAGTAGAAAATAAAATAATAAGAGTGTTACATTTTATAATATATTTTCTAGAAATAATGTTTGTAGCAAAACAACGTTTGCCAGGTCAGCTAGTATTATAATAATAATAATACTGATGAAACCTTATTCATGGTTTCATAAAATAGTGTTTTACCGCAAGAGTAAGATCCTGAAGAAATAAAAATGAACAATATTAACTAAAATTAAGAAAAGACGTAGTGAGAAACTGTACCCATTAATGATAAATGACCTGAGTTTCAAAATATTCCATATTCAACTGGCTATAATAGACATATAATGTATTGTCAGTATCTCCAAGGAAGAGAGAAGGGAGTCCCTAGACTCCAGAGGTTGGCAACTTGGTTTCATTATTAAGGCAGTCGAACAGTACACATATATGATGAATGCTTTCATTCTCATGGTGATTGCAAACTGAAAATACACGTCTGGCAAGAATAATGTTCCTATAGACAAACCGTATGCGAGGGCATTTTAGGGAAGAGATAAAAAAGCGACGTTGCCATACGGTTCGTATCGCGTTAACCCCTCCTTCGAGCGAGTAAATTTTTCGGCCCGACCGAAGGGATTGTTGTTTGCCCAATAAACTCAATATAAACACCTGGAAGGATATCCTGTGAACGACGAGTGAGGCAAAAATATTGTTCAGGAATCCCGCAGTGGTTGATTTTTTTATTGACTCAAAAGTGAAATTCCATTTTTATTCTTAGAAGATTTTAGGAAGGCAAATGAATACAGAAATGGCATTGAATATTCTCATTCAAATGTCACAATATATTGTACAGGGTGAGCAAAGCTGAATGTCTCAGCAATATCAGAAGAAATAGAAAAACGATAAAAAAAAATTGAAAAGAGGTTCTTGAATGGTATCGAGTACCGAAGGTCTATTTTAGGCCTCATTTTTAAGAGTACCTATTTTTCCATTTCACTATTAGAAGGTGAATGAAAGAACAATGTTAGGAAGAATTTTTTCATTAAAGATGAATACTTATCTGCGTCGCCCAGAATGTACACCTTCATTTTTTCCTTTCTGGAGAAGGGGGAGCTCGAAAGGCAAATCTGAAAAGATAATATTATGATGTAGCTCTTGAGTTTGAAAATTTGAACTTGTAGTTTTCAACCTTCAGAATGTTTTTTTTAATTCCTCATCAATATTGTCATTCTACTTTTTACTTTTTGTTTCAGTGTTTTCACTTTTCTTTGCAATAGAATAGGCCTTCTCGAATGAAAAAGTTTGTGGGTTTCATAATCAATAAACTTCGAAACTTACATGGGAGCTGGAAGTTCTAAACAAATCAATGTCCATATGGAAAACATCGTCCTTAGAATCCAAGTTATGAACATCCACAGACACATCCTGGAAATAAATTACTATAGTTTTTCTTAGAATCTGAACAATTTTCAACTTACCCATGGAGGACAATTTCTGTTTGTCTTGCTTGTTGTGCATCCACAGGCAACACAATATAAATAACCATTGTTTATTAATTCGAAATCACAAATCTTCCCAACAATAATCAATTCACACCAACAAATTCAGTCCTTTTGAAGAAACAGAACACGCCAAATTTAGCGATATTTCACATGAAAAACAATGAAGTTCTGTCTCCACTTTTTTGCCTGTTTAGATGAGAAAAGAAGATCTCAAGTACTCCAATCATTGAATAAAAGAAAATGCATACACTCATCCGCCGTTGTATAACACGAGTGTGAAAGAGACAGGTTACCGTAACGCAATCTATCTTTGTTGCAGCTGCCCCTGACACACTTTGTGCTATTCGAGAAACCGGTAGTCTCCCTTCCAGGTGTTTATATTAAGTTCATTATGTTTGCCACACATGCCATACTCAAGTAGGTGGGGCAACTATGCTTGTACACGGTTTCTCTATAGGAAAATTATTCTTTCCAGACTTGTATATCCAATTGGGATCTATCAAGTGAGACATAATATCATTCAAAGTAAATTTGATTTTGAGATTATTACTTGATCGCAACTGAGCAATAATTCAAGTGGCCTATATCGGAAGTCGATAAAGCAAATAATATTTTGGGATTTTTGGAGGATCTGAAGTTATCACAAAGTGACAGAAAGGTGCTAAGTTGTAGAAAATTAAGTATTAGCTTCGACCAACTCATCGTAGTATTTTGTTAATATTTCTTTTTTTTTAATATTGCCGAGGAGAATAGCATAAGTTTTTAGCATCAGCAAAAACAATTCAGTTCTTCAATTGTCTGGCCCAATTAACATTCTTTTTTCCCTCAGTGATTTTATTAGCGGTCTGAAACATATATTCGCTGATGCTTTATCAAATTTCGAAAATTTCAGGCAAAGGTGGACTATCCCTGTCACTTATATCACGGACCAAAATTCTTCACCTAAACTTGTATGGCTTGACAGAGACATGATTAGACGTAAGTAGTAATAGTAAGTTGTATGTATAAACTTCTCTACAAAATCTTCGTATAGTGTCAAGTCAAGTGTCAAGTCGGCATTATATTCCCCCAGAGGCGTCCTTCCTAGACAATATGAAAGCAACGCCATCTGAGTAGAAACGAAGGAAAGAAACACTCCAAAACTGAAATTCCCATACGGGAGTGGCTGGTTCCCGACTGGCGTAATTTCAACTAAACTACTTACCAGATGAAGTGGGACAGCCAAAAAATTGACTAATTTTGATAAGCTATAACTCGAACATTTCTTGGCCGATGTTGAATTTTCAACGAAAGATAGGAAGCGTCATCCTTGTGCTATGCGTCATTGGCGTCGGGTTTTCATTTTTGCGATTCGTTCTCTTTGTACATAGTGTGAATTAAGAGCCGGAAAAATTTCAAATTTTTGACCAATAATATGGGGAATGTGAGGGACCCTAGAATTCTTTTTCAGATATTGGGTGAATGGTTGGTCTGATACCTCGAGACTTCTTTCCCAGCGAGCACAAACATCCCTGGGATGTTTTTGGATGTTTTGAAAATGTTGGCATGAAGATGTTATTTTGAGACGTAATATGCACTCACCAAATAAGAGGTCTTTGAAGGATATTGAAGTATTGTTTTTGTTCTTCTGTGGCATTTCTTCGTTCGCCTACTGAGAGGTATCCGTCTGGGATGTTTTGGGATGTTTTAGAAATGTTGGCATGAGGATGTTTTTTTGAGGCGTAATATGCACTTCCCAAGGAGGTCTTAGAAGAATATTGAAAGTATTGTTTTTGTTCTTTTGTGCCCTTTCTTTGTTTGCCCCACCACAACGTCTCATGCTTACGTCACGATACGATGAATTCTGATTTGTTGTTCGCAATTGGCATTCGCGTTTGCAGCGTGTCACGCTTACATCACGCTGCTAACGAACAGAAAGGAATTTGGTGAAGTTTATTGTGTCAGAAGACTTATTTAGTTTGTAATAGTGACCATCAGATGCAAGATGTGTTGTTCGGTGCCTCAGTGTAATCAATATATGAAAGTACGAATTTATCAATACACACAAAATCAAAATTATGCATTGTGGAGAACATTTCAAAAATTGGAAACCTATTTCCAATTATATGTTTGTGTGTAGTAAGCACTACTCAGAAACCGATTAAGAAGGTAATTTCATATCAAGAAAATATTTTTATGTTCAATCTATTTTTAATGCATTTTTTCATTCATGGGAAATGGAATCCTAATGCAAAAGTTCATTTTGACAAAAGGCTTCAGAAAAGTACCTCGCAAATGGTTTTTTTTACAGCGATTCAATGTGCGCAAGACGCGTTGAAAATGTTTTGTTGTGTCCATGAAAAGGCTTTGAAAAGAACTAGGGATAAGGTCGTTTTGTGACATATCAAGGACATCTCGATAATTGCCGCCTGCGGCGGACATTGGCTGTTCTATAATACTTCTATTCATGTTTGAACAGAACATCGCAGTGGAGGTTTAACATCTCTGAGATGTTTTTGTGCTCGCTGGGTTGAGATTTTTATGATAAATTGCATTGCTATGGCAAAATCGCCATTTTATGAAATTCCATTTTCATTTTAAAATGTTGCCTCTTTTAGTTGAACAATAACAGCCAACATCTAAACTGCAATTAGGAATATTTCTACTGAAGATAATTAACAGCAGTGGCGCGCAAAAAGGGGTTTCTGATATTTAGCAACGAAAAATTCGTTTGTATTGAAAAAATTCAACAGTTTTATTGATCGTTACAGTTGAAGAGGTGTCATACCCTCAATTTGCATGATGTTGTCGAATTCAGAGGCGTGCAAATGGTGATTCTGTAATGTGGACAAATTCAAATTCCAGTCTCATTATCATTGTTATTTACTTATTCAAGGTGAGCATCCAAGTAATCCATTGACGTATTAAAGAGGATCCATCATTCAAGGCGATTCAGAAATTTTGATATGGAAACATTTTTTAATGATTTCATCAAGTGTTGTTCTTTGTTCGCCCAGTGAAAATTTTCTTGTATCATTATTTATGAATGAAAATTCAGGAGCGTAACTCTGGCTTCTGATGTTTCTCGAGCCGTACAATTTGGTAATCTCGTTCAATTCAAAAAACTTTTGCCCCCCAAAAAAATGTTCGTGTATTTTTTCTTTATAACTTTTCTCGTCCTCTTTCTGATAATGCATTTTTTTAAATGAATATTTTTTCATTTTTACTTCTCGGACTCGATCACGACACGATCAAGAAATTTTTTACTGGGCGAACAGAGAGAACAACACTTAGCAAAATTATTTAAAATGTTTCCATATGATGTAAAATTTTTGAATCGCCTTGTAATAATGGATTATCTTATTAAATCATGAAACTGCAATTTCAATCTGTTGTTTTTTTTCCATAAAAACGTTTTTTTCCTTCCTAAATATCATAAGCCCCTTTTCTGCACGCCTCTGAATTTGTCAACATTATGCCAATTAAGGGTATGACACCTCTTCAACTGTAACGATCAATAAAACTGTTGAATTTTTTCAATAAAAACGAATTTCTCGTTTCTAAATATCATAAACCCACCTAACTGGTGTTAATTATCTTCAGTAGAAATATCCCTTGTTGCAGTTTAGATGTTTGCTGTCATTGTTTAACTAAAAGAGGCCACATTTTGAAATGAAAATGGAATTTCATAAAATGGTGATTTTTCTATAAAAACGCAATTATCAAAGAAATTTCAAAGATGTCTCGAGGTATCGCACCAACCATACAACCAACATCTAAAGAAGAATTCTAGAGTCCCTCACATTTCAAGAAATAAAAAAAATTCCACTCGTCTAGAAAAAATTATGATTTTCAAAATTTCTAGTGGAAATTGACGAAAAAGATGCAAAATGGATTATTTTAAACCCCCAAGGCAAAGGAATGTACAAGGCCGTATTATCAACAGACATGTGGAAAGAAATTGCAGCAGTATTTGGGGTACATCAAAGACCTTATGTGAGTTGCAGAAGTGATTTTCGAAATGTTCCTTTATTTTTTATAGGACATGGATCAACAATTAGCAGACACTGTGATATCAGATGCGTATTACTCATTTCGTTTCAATATGCTCAGTTGTGACGTCATAATCGATTTGATGAAGAAGATTCAGAAACCTTACATCACAAAATGGACCCTACTGTTTCCATTTTATGAATATCTTACAGAAAGTCTCGTATGCGGAAATCATATGGAAGCGTCAGAAATGTTTTGGGTGAGTATGTAACGAAAATTGTCTTGAAAAATCCATTGTTGATTATTATTTTTCTTCCAAAACTCTTCACTGCAATAATAGCGATCGAGAATCTAGAAATAGCGACGTTTTCAAAGATTTTTTTTGTAGGATATTTTTATTTCACACTTTCGAATTTTCATTATAACTATAACAAATCCATAGTAGTTATAAAAACTCTACAAACGATAAGATTTCAACAAAATACCTAAAAACACTACACAAAACTATTCACAGAGTAGTAATAACCTTTCTTGGGAAAATCACGTTAGATCAATTGCTAAAAGTGCATCCCAAAAACTTGGTTTTCTGTTTCGGGCCAGGAGCTATTTCACTTCCAGTCAGCTGCTTATGATCTATAAGGCACAGATCCGACCAGTCCTGGAATACTGTTCCCATATTTGGAGTGCAGCACCCAAACATACCCTGAATCTGTTGGATTCTGTCCAAAAAAAGGGCAGTTCGTCTCGTGAGTGACGCCTCGCTCACAAACTCACTCACTTCTCTGGAAGACCGTAGAAAAGTTGGCGATCTGGCTCTATTTTATAGATATTATCATGGACGATGCTCTTCTGAAATATCAACAATTGTTCCTCCCTTGGCAGTCCCCGCGAGATTAACTCGTCGAGTTGAGGCTTCGCACCCGTTCATGGTCAGTTTGGAGACCTGCAGAACATCTCTTTCCGAAAACTCGTTCATCCAACGAACAGCGAGGCTCTGGAACAAATTGCCAAGGGAGGTGTTTCCCCGAGGCATATAACCTCCAGAAATTTAAGGAGAACACCAATTCCTACCTTATTTCCAGAACCAGAACATAAAAAAATACTTGTAGGTTGAATTGCCCGAATTCAGGGTATGGCAATAATGTGCAAAACCGAATGCGAGTGAGACATAAAGGCCCATAACTAGAAATTATTCCCGCATATACAGGGGGGATCGAAAAAATCTAGAGTCGGGGGAATTTCTTTAATGGTATACTATACAAGTATGCATACAGGGTTCTTCACTCAAAAGTCCGCACGCCAATATCTCGAAAACGAATAAGAATATTCAATATCTGAGAAAAGCAGTCAATGGATGTGGCTGTCGACTTTTTTTTTTCAGTTCAAAAAGTAAAACGCCTACTAAGAGCTGAGCGTCGCGACGCATCGAAAATATAAATCGATTACATTTACTTTGAAATTAAGCGCAATCAACAGTACATGTTATTCATGAACTTTTTTGTTATTTACTCGAAGCCAGATATTCGATTGGTCTTTGACAAGGATAAGGATAAACTCTTTTTTCTAAAAGCGTGCGTGATTCACCCTATACCCGCACGCAATTTAGTTTGGGAAGTGTCACTAGTGCGGGAAAAACATTTATATAATATTCTCGCAAAATATGAGTGGTGGGTGACACGATATGAACATTTTAGGTTTTTTTGATGCAGTATTTAGTAAGTTTGTTCAAAATCATCCATCAAATTGCACTATTTATTATGAAAATGAAGAAATATTGAAAAATAAAAATTGATTGGTAAGTATATGAATCCCTATTCGCGAGATTCATGAAGTGGGCGACATCTAGGTTACATAATACGTACTTCAAAACAAACTGTTGTCTATGGATAAAGTGCATAGAGTACATTGCATTCAGCTTGCTGTATCTTTAGTCAAACTTGTCAATGACATAAAGTGTTGGCACTGTTGGTAGTGATGATGGTTGAGTTGGTTGATTTTTTCACATCATTACATTTTTATTAGTTTAATGAACAGTGAACACGTGAAGAATTGGAAATAGTTCGAACAATTCAAACTACTTATGACGAGCAAATCAATTAACATATGAAAGAACAGCTACAACATGTTTACAATAATACCCAGATTGCCCTGCTTTGCACGAACAAATACAAATCCATTGTTCTACAGGAGTTCCTCTGGACCCCAACTTCAATTTTACTTTATGTGTGGAAGATTTCATCGCCGAAGTTTGTAGACAAAGTGCAAAAATGTGCCTTTTGTTGAAGTCTTCTGCCTCACACAAAATCACATGATTAGCACGGAGAACTGCTTCTCCTTCCACTACTGGTCGGCTTTTTCCGTCTAAATAGAGCAAAATATCTGCCAAAAGAACATCTACCAACAGGCATTATTAGCGTTTTCGACCGAATGTTGACAATTGATGTCAAGAAATTCAAAAACATCACTCTTATCAGTACACAGTACACAAGCTAATGGCACTAAGGGAATTGAGTGAGGATTGAGTTAGCTTTGACATGGAACGATGAAAACCGAGCGCCACCTGGTGACATTGATTCCCGCGAATAGCCTTTAATGGATATGATGTGTGAAACAATTGTATACATGTCCATAAAATCACAAATTAGTTAGTATAATTCTCAGTGACAGACAGAGCGTTACTGTCATTTTCGATTCACTGGAATTGCGATGAAAAACTTCCAGCTATAGATGCGATACAGATGAATTATTGTCAACGTAGTCTTAGGAAAGAGGTATGAGAAGCACTACACGGGATTTATTGAATGGTAAAATAGTAGTAGTAAACACATGAATAGAACTATTATAGAACAGTCAATGTCCGCCGCAGGCGGCAATTATCGAGATGTCCTTGAAGTGTCACAAAACTACTTTCTCCCTAGTTCTTTTTAAAGCCTTTTCATGGACACAACATAACATTTTCAACGCGTCTTGCGCACATTAAATCGCTGTAAAAAAAACATTTTCGAGGTACTTTTCTGAAGCCTTTTGTCAAAATGAACTTTTGCATTAGGATTCCATTTACCTTGAATGAAAAAATGCATTAAAAATAGATTGAACATAAAAATATTTTCTTGATATGAAATTACTTCTACTAATTATGAGTAGTGCTCACTGCACACAGACATATAATTGGAAATAGGTTTCCCAATTTTTGAAATGTTCTCCACAATGCATAATTTTGCAACTGCGGAGAAGCAGTGTATTGATGAATTCGTACTTTTATATATTGATTACACTGAGGCACCGAACAACACATCTTGCATCTGATGGTCATTATCACAAACTAAATAAGTCTTCTAACACAATAAACTTCTGACTTCACCAAATTCCTTTTTGTTCGTTAGCAGCGTGATGAAAGCGTGACACGCTGCAAACGCGAATGCCAATTGCGAACAAGAAGAACAAAATCGAAAACAAATCAGAATTCATCGTATTGTGACGTAAGAATGAGACGTTGTGGTGGGGCAAACAAAGAAAGGGCACAAAAGAACAAAAACAATACTTTCAATATCCTTTTAAGACCTCTTTGGGAAGTGCATATTACGTCTCAAAATAACATCTTCATGCCAACATTTTCAAAACATCCCAGGGATGTTTGTGCTCGCTGGGTATAAGCAGGAATAATTGATTGAACAAATTAATCAATTTCCTATGCTTCTAGAAAAAATATTGTTCCTAACTCATATGTGGAAAGTGTTTTTCCTGCACTCGACTGCCTGCCCGATCTCGGGCATTCGGGGCTACAGCCTCGGGGTCTCCACAAAAATGGGGCTCCCACAATTAAGAAAAAAAAATCTTTCGACTTTCGACGGGTGAATACTAGTAAGCAACTTTTCCTTCAATATTTTTTATGGAAAAGTTATTTGTTTTACCCTCAGTTACTTTGTCGGGACATGGTTATATTATTCTTGAATATTGAAAAATAATTTAATAAAATTTGTTCACTCCAATCTGAAAATATCAATTTGTCAAAATGGCCCTGATAAGCAGTTGTTGCCATTTACTACCTATCTTGATAGAGTATCCCAGAATGTTCAAAATGCAACAATAAATAACATTTTTCTACATTCATGCAGAAAGCAGAACTTTATTGAACTATATTTAGCGGAAAAAGAACTTCTTTATTGCACTCATCATCTGTCATTCTACTTCAACGTGCTGTCATCATGACAAACATTTTTTATATCGCAACTGTGGTTATAGAAACGTCATATATTCATATTGAAAATTGCACCAATTGTTCATTCACTTTCAACATTGAGGGTAAAAATAAAGTTTGAGTTAAATTGATCGTAACGTATTAGTTCATGTTTCAATGCAAATTGATATTAATAATAAAGTATTCAAGTTGCGTTTTTCATTTTCCTACACCTAGTGCCGCACCTCAATAAATCATTTTTTGCTTTTTGCATGAACGTAGAAAAAATGTTGTATGCAACTCGTGCAAAAATTGTTTATTGCACTCGACGTGTTGTCCAACTCGGTCTAACGGCCTCGTCGGACAATTTCACGTCGAGTGCAATAAACATTCACTTTTTGCACTTGTTGCATAAATAACTATTTGACAATATAAAAAGTTGAGATGGTATTTTAGATAAAAGACTGTAGAAAAACATATATTCAATGAATTTGTCGTTAACAGTTTTGGATGAAAAATATAGTATAGCAGTGGTTGAATTGTGATTTATTTCTGTAGAAGTTCATTACGAAGAGATTCGTTGATTCCGGTTACAAGAGGCGACCTGAATTTAAGAAGAGATCGAGTTGTGATGATGGTAAATTCTCGTTGATTTTAAATAGAGAGGGTGACCACAAGAATAATAGCCAACCTGCAATTTTTCTATATCATATGAACTGATATCAATTTCAGATTGAATATCTATACAGCCACTTCAGATATTTCTACTTTTGGCGTGTGTCCAAACAATTTTTTGACGCTTTGAGCAAAATTGAGCTTTGGCTTTCGACGTTGCATCTTCGATCTATGCAACATCGTTGTTACGTTGTTTCGGCATTATGACCACTTCCGGCAAAGTTTCCACCAATCTCTCTTGGCGTTTTGATAACAAAATCACGAACTTCTCCATTTGGTGAAGGGTCGTGGACCCGAGCTATTCACCATTCATTTGACTGATAGACTTCGAAACATGTATGTCCCAAGGTTGGTACAATGGGCGTGTACACCTTAGTAGAACTTCTAACTCAAACCATGTTTATAAT